AATAATGAATATTTTTCTGTTTCAAATTACTAATAATACTTTTTTCTGTTTCACATTATTAATAATAATAATTTTTTTTCATGTTACTAATAATAATTTTCGTACTGTTTCAATTTTTAATTTATAATTTTTTCTATCAATAATAATTAATTCTATTACATGTTGCTAATAATAACAATTTTTCTGTTTTAGTGTGTAAATAAAATTTTTTTCTGTTTCACGTTATTAATAATAATTTTTTTTTCAGGTTACTAATAAAAATTTTTTTTCAGGTTACTAATAATAATTTTTTCTGTTTCAGATTGTTAATAATGAATTTAATTTTTTTTCTTACAGGTCTTCTTCCACACAGTAAAAATTATTTCGAAAAATAAATTTTTTTTGGCAACACTCCCAAAATATATTTATTATTAATAATAAATTTTACTGTATGTCGTGGTTAGGCCTAATGCACATTTTAATTTCATTTCCAAATTTAAAAAAAAATTAAAAATTTTTTTTTTCATTTGAAATTGAAAAAAAAATTTGTGTAATGGGGATGCACGTTAAAAAAACGCGTCTAGTGTTCAACCTCCTGGGTGATGTGGAAGAGAGCACAATATTTATTATTTTTTTTTAAACAATATTAAATGTATTAAATATTTTTATTTTATTTTTTATTATTTTTTTTAATTATATTTTTTAATTATATTTTTTATTTTATATTTTTTATTTTATTTTTTATTCTTAAATAATAAATAATAAATAATACCTAAATAATAAATAATAATAAGAAGAATTAATTAATATTAATAAAAATTAAATAATAATAAGAATATAAACAGAATGTAAAAAAAAAATAAATTTAATAAATAAAAATAATTGGATTAAAAAAAAAATTGAAAGAAATATTTATAGAGAAATTTTTGAAAAGACTATTAGCAAACAAAATATGAAGTTTAATAAATTGAATAATAATGATGAATGATTGAAAGTGACGAGGAGGGATGATCAAGGTAAATCGAATATTTGAACATCTGAACGATTACAGTTTGCTCAATGCAAACGTCAACTGTCCAATTCAATTAATACACGTTGAATTAGAATAAGCGAATATTTACAATGCACTGTCTCGTTTTGATGAGTACCAATCATGACCTCGTAAATAGTCTATACAAATCGACTCTGACACACAACAATAGTAGAATTCTCAACTTGTTTGATCATCAGCTACCAACAGGCTTCCATCATTTCATTTTTCACAATTTTTTTTTTATTTTACTTTTTTTTTCATTTTTATGGCGAAATTGTTTCTCTAATTTTTTTTTTTATTTATTAATGTCCCGTTTATATTTTTTTTATTAATCCATTTATTTTTTTTTTATTAATAGATCCATTTATTTTTTTTTTTATTATAATCTATTTATTATTATTTAATTATTTTATTTTATAAATTATATTGCAGGAGAGATTACCATTGTCGATGATGAAAGTTTTCGCACAAGTTAGAATGTTAAATAAATTCCAAACAAGAATCATTACTAAGAATAAATGTTATAAACTTCTCGAAAATCAAAGATGTAAATGCGAAGAACTAAAGCCAATATCCGACGAATATCATCTTTTCATTAAATGTAGGGCACTGACCGATTGTAGAAAAAAGTTTTTTGTATTAGCGGACGACGAGGACGCTGTAAAAGCTAGTTGGTTAGATTTAATAAATGATAGAAATCCTAGGTCAGTCAAAAAAATAATATGCTATATTAACGAGATTTTAGACACCACTTTTCCTGAGTAGGGGCCTATTGTCAGACGGGATAAATTTTATGTATTTAATTTCGCTTTCTGTTTGTTATTTTAAACGTATAATGTATGATTGTGTTTGTATTATTATGTAACAAACTCCTTTGTATGGATAATGAGATCCTTGAACAAATAAACAAATTATAAGTTATTTTATAATTTTTATTTATTATTATTTACTTATTATTTTATTTTATAATTTATTTATTATTTTAGTATTTTTTTGGTATTTTTTGTAGTATTTTATTTAGTATTTTTTTTGTGTTTTTACTATTTTTTAGTATTTTTAGTATTTTTACTATTTTTTAGTATTTTTACTATTTTTTAGTATTTTTTTAGTATTTGGACAAGGTCTGCCAAGAATTTACAAGAATCTAAAACCTATTTATTATTATTTAATTATTTTACTTTTTATTTTATAATTTTTATTTATTATTATTTACTTAATATTTTATTTTATAATTTATTTATTATTGTATTATTTCATTATTATGCAATTTTTTCCTTTGTAATTTATTTATTATTATATCATTATTATTTAATTTTTTATCTTGATAAATTGTTTAGAATTATGTAATTATTATTATTTTTTTTAAACTTTAAAAGTTTATTTTTTAAAAATCTCGTCCGCACGGGGAATCGAACCCAGGACCCTTAGAACGCGAGTCACGTACTCTGACCACACAGCTACCTTAACTACATTTAATTTTATTTCAATATTAAATATTACTAACCAAAAAAATATTTATTTTTGAAAGTAGGAAAAACAAATATTTAAACTAAAAAAAAAAAATACTTCTATACTGTAAATTAAATAAAAACAAGTAAATAAAAAATAAATAAATACAAATCAGTAAATAAATAACTAAATAAAAAATAAAAATAAATACATTAAAATAATTAAAAAAAAAAAAGTGCATAAAAATAATTTTAAAACAAAATAAATATATAAAAATAGATTTAAAAAAATACATAAATAAATAAATAAAAATAAATAAATAAATATTGTTAAATAATAATAATTAAATAAAAATTATAATACAAAAAAATAAATAAAAATAGTTATAAAAAATAATTTCAAAAAAAATACATAAATAAATAAATATAGATAAATAATAATAATTAAATAAAAATTAATAAACAAAAATAAATAAAAATAGTTAAATATATAAATAATTTTTTTTTTTTAATATTATAAGAAAAAAAAACTTATTTTCCATATAAATGAATTGATTTTCTATTTATTTTTAGAGAAATTGTATTTTCTCTGCGGAATTGTATATATATATATATATATACAATGTTGATTTACATAAACTTTATCCACTCGGGACAGTTGATGGTCCCCTCTCGGTTATCGGGTAAAACGCGTGGATGCGTCATTCGCCAGTCGACCGTACCATAGACTTGGGGGTATTATCATTGAGTGTAAATCATTCCAATTTTTTTTTATTCATTTCTTTTTTTATTTTTTTTTTTTATTTTTTATTTTTTTTTTTTTTGGTACTAGTGATTTTTCTCCTACGATTTGCAATGTCTGCTCCAATGAACAAATTCCCTCCAATGTCCCTTCTCTTTTGATATCGATGCAAGTAATACGTCAAGTTGAATCGCGATAGTGATTTTTTTTCGCGATATTGGACACTGAGAGAGAGAGAGCATTTTTTATCTTCGCGAATTCTTTATAGGGGAAAAAAAATCTACTTTTCCAATTTCAAATAATATTATTTTTTTTTTATTATTTTACACTTAATTTAAATAATTAATGTTGTATAAAAAAAATTAATCGTTTAATTAAATTAAAAATTATAATAAAAATTATAATAAAAACTAATAAAAATAATATAAAAATGATATAAAATAATATTATAATTGTAGATTATAATAATATTATATATTATAATAAAATTATAATTATATTATTTTATAAGAAAAATAATTGGAATTTTTTTTAATTACAATATAATAATATATAATATTTATATATTTAGTATTTTATTTATTATTCTTTATTATTTTTTTTTTATTTTTAACTCGCGCTTATTTTATTATTTTTTTTTTTATTTATTTATAATTTCTAATTTTTTATTTTTATTTCTCGTATTTGTTTTTTTATTTGTAAATATTATATAATATTTATATAATAATATAAAATTCAGTATTTTTCTTTTTTTATTAAATGCCTTCTTATCTTTTTTCACATATTTATAGCAACTTATCTTTAAATTGTTGTTAATCTAAACAGATTTTATAATTTATTTGTTTATTATTTATAATCATAATAGTATTATATTACTTTTTATTAAATATATTATAATAAAAATATTTAATAATAAATTTTTATAATAATAATAATAATAACAATAATAATACAAATTTTGATAAGAAAATAATTATTTTATTAAAAATACAAAAATAAAATAAATATACGGTGTTTAAAAAAAATAATAAGAATAATTTAGCCGAGTGTGCTAAAGCATTGTATTTGTGTAGTTCTTAAACAAGTTAGATGGGTTCGAATCCCGGTGGATGTAGAAATTTTTCAATATATTACAAGAGCGTAACTTGATGTATAATTAATAATAAATAAATAGTGAAAATAAATAAATAACTAAATAAATAGAAAATAGTAAAAATAATAAACAAATAGCATAAATATAATAAACAAATAGTATTAGAAATAATAAATAAATAAATAATATAAAAAAATAATAAACAAATAGTATTAAATAAATAATAAATAAATATAGTACAAAAAATAATAATAAATATTAAATAAATGGTAATAAATAAATAGTTATTAAAAAAATAATAAATAATAAACTCTTTGGTACAAATAAAAAAAAAAAATAGTGTACAAAAATAATAAATAAAAAATAAATAATAAAAATTATTGATCTGAATTGATTATAGATCGATAAATAAAATATAAAAAAAAAATTAAACAAATTGTATTAAAATAAATAATAAATAAATAGTACAAAAAATAATAAATAATAAATAAATGAGTAATAAAAACAATAAATAAAAAAAAATAATAAAAATTATTGATCTTGAATTAATAATAGATCGATAAATTTAAAAAAAAAATATTTTGCCTAATTCTTACAATAATAAATTGGAGATATAAAAGAAAAGCTTTTTTTTCTTTTTTTTTTTTTTTTTATTTAATTAGCGTTTCTATGACAACGATGACTGATTAGGTCTTCGTTGAACAATCGAAGAAGACTTCAGTCTATCAATTGCAGTTAAATGAAATAAGAGGACAATAATTTTTTTTTTTTTTTAATATCGCTTATGCATTAAATACTCGATATTTTGTAAATAAATTTAAAAAAAAAAAGGAAATAATTGTTTTAAAAATGTAAAAAAAAAATTTTTTAAATTGAAAAAAAAATCAATTTTACACTAAGAAATAAAAATTTCATTGAGCAAAAGTGCTTCGAGAAGCTTTATTTATTAAATGTGCCAAGGTGTTTAACCTACTTTGTGGTTTGAAAGGTACGATTAATAATTTTTCAATAAGAAAAAAAAACATAAATTTTGATTTAATATTCTTTTTCTTCAAATAATTTATTAATAAAATTATTGTTATTAAAATTAAAAAAAAGGAGATTAATTTACAATTATTTTTTATTTTCTATTATTATTTTTGTTTATTTATTTTAATTAATATTTACAATTTTCATTTTTTTTTTAATTAATTTTTTGTTACTTTTTAATATTTTTATTTTTAATTAATATTTCAATTCATTTTTTTTTATTTACCTACGTTAATTAATATTTCAATTTTTTAAAATTTATTTTTAATTTTTTTTCTTTTAAATAATATTTAAATTTATTTTATTGTTATTTTTATGTATTTTTTTATTTATTTTGTTTTCTTTTTTTTTTTATTTTCCCTTTTTTTTTATTTATTTCAATTAAATTAATTAAAAAAAAATTTTTTAATTTTCAGATTACCATCGAAAAATGTATTGCAATACAAACGAGACAAATGATAATGAAAAAATTAATAATAAAAATGAATTTGGATGGTGGATAATGAATGAATGTGAAAATAATATAATTTCATCACAATTGAAAAAAAATTCACAAAATTCCAATTTTCATTCATTTTCAAATTCTCTAGAAATAGAAAATGATAATGATAATTTAAAGAATTTAGAAGATTTTAATTTAAATGATGATGATGATGATTTAATAATTTCTTTAAAAAAAAAATTAATTCCAAATAATGGAAGTCAGAGAAATAGTAGTGAAAATAATGAAAATAAGGGAAAAATTGAGAAAATGGAATTGACATTAAACGTCGATTTTGATAAAATTCAAGATGAAAGGGAAAATTTTATTGAAAATGACTTTAGAAAATCTCTTGGATTTTCCTATACTCCAGAAAGATTAGTGAAATCCAAAGAATATAAAATTCTTTCTCCACCTTTTCAATCTGCCTGTATTCACTCTTCAAAGTTCAGACAAAGGAAATTGAGTGAACTTATCGATCCCCATAAAATTGGTACGTTTTTCATTTTCCCCATTTTTTTTTTCTCTCTTCTTACATTTTACATTTAATGGATATATTTTAAAAATAAATTAAAAAATTGTGAAAAAAATTTTTTTCTAATCGAATTTTATTAATAATGTTTATTCTGGAAAAAAAAATTAATAATTAAATTTATTATAAAAATATATAATTTAACATATGTTTAATTTCTATTATTAATTTTATTTTAATTTTTGTTAATTATTATTGATAATAAAAATTCTATTATATAATTTATTTTATCAAATTATATATGAAAAATAATAATTTTATTTTTCTTGGAAAAAAAAAAATAATTTGAAAAAGAAAAGTTTCCTAATTTACAAAATGAGAATTTATATTTTAATAATAAAAAAATTATTTTTTTTCAGGTGGAATAAATTTACAAAAACTTTTATGTCCCAATATAATGGCAATAAATTATTCCAATTATTTTCATATGAAACGATATATCGATTTTCAAGATATAAAAAGTCAATCTAAAGAGGTATATAAAATAATAAATTAACAAATTTTTATTTTACATTAAAAAAAAAAAAATTAAAATCAATAAATATATCTAATAATTTTTATTATAATAAATAAATAAAGTAATTAAAAATCAACTTGAGCAAAAATGATAAAAAAAAATTATTGAAATAATAATAATAATAATTAATTAATTAATAATTAATAATTAATTATTATTATTATTATTATTATTATTATTATTATTATTATTATTATAGTAAATATAATAATAATTTTTACTAAATTAATTAATAATAGTTATCTAATTAAATAATATTTTTTTCAATTAATTAATTTTATGATAATTTTATAAATTTAAAAAAAAATTATTTGGTAACGGTTTTTTTTTTTTTTTATTAAAAGAAACTAGGAAAATTAGATTAACAATTATTTTGAAAATGAATTTTCTTTTTTTGTTTATTTGTTAATTAAAAATAATTTCTCAAAAGCAATTATAATCGATGTTAAAGGGCAGCTTTTCCAGTTTAATATCAAATTTCAAGGAACTTAAGACGCTTTCAGAAGAAAAGCAGAGGAACCGCAAGTTCTCATCTTCTGAAGAGGAGAACACTTCTGGAATTCAAAGCCCAGGTTGGAGTTTAGATACTTGCAGTGAACCGACGAAAGCACTTCCAAGAGTCGAGGTAGAAAAACAAAGAGATTTTTATTTTTTATTATTATTTTGAATAATAATTTTTTTTTGAAACAATTATTTTAATATTAATTATTTATTTTTTTTATTATTATTTTAAATAATTTATTTTTGAAACAATTATTTAAATATTATTTATTTTTTTCTAAATTATTATTTTAAATAATAAATATTTCTTGAAAAAATACTTTTAAATAATAAATTTTTTTGGAAATAATTTATTATTTTAAATAATAAATTTTTTGGAAATAATAATTATTTTTATTAATAAACTTTTTGAAAATAATTAATATTTTAATTATTTTTTTTTTTTTTTTGAATCAATTTGAAATAATAATTATTTTATAAATAATAATTATTATTTTATTTATTTATTTATTTTAATTAATTTATATAAAGAATCTGAAAGGGAGTTCAAATGAAGAAGACATTGACGATTATGAAATAGAATCATCTGAGATTTCAACAATTTTATTGGACGATTCGGAAAATTTATCTGAAATACAATCAAAAATAAAAAAACTTGAAAATAACAATGGAGATATGCAAAAAAATATTGAAACATTAAAAGAGGATTTTCAGGTTTGAATTTATCGTTTTATTTGTAAAAACAATTTTTTTCAAAAATTTTTCCTTCTTTTGAAACAATTTGTGTTACAATTTATTTATTTCATAATTATTTTTCAAAAATTTTATTTTATTGGAACAATTTGTTACAATTTATTGACCTATTTATTTTATATATATTTATTTTTGCAAAAATTTTGCTTCTTTTAAAACAATTTTTTCCATTTTTGAAATTATTTATTACAAATTTTTTGCCAAAATTGCTTGCTATTGAAATTTGATTTTTTTTTTTAAATTTGTTACAATTTATTTATTGGTTGTTTATTTATTTTTCCAAAATTTTGCTTCTTTTGAAACTATTTTTTATAATTTTTTTTTTCAAAATTTTGCTTTTTTTGAATCAATTTGGTAACAATTTATTTATTTATTCAAAATTTGCTTCTTTGAAACTAATTGTTATAATTTATTTATTTTTCCAAAATTTACTATTTTTCGAAACTAATACTTAGTTTTGGAAAAAAATAATTAAAAACAAAAAAAATAAATAAATAAATAAAAAAGTATGTACAACATTTGTTTTTTTGTAAAAATTTTGATTTATTTGAAAATTATTTACAACTGCCGTCAACGGGAAAAGCAATTTTTCCAAATACATCAGAAATAATATATATAATTATAGAAAAAAAAAAAGAAAACGATATTTTTTTCTTCTTCATTTCGTAATAATTGGGACATTGTAAAATTATGTAAAAAAATTTTTTTTCTTTTATAGCCTATTTATATATATATATATGGGAACTTTTTTTTCTTGTTTTTATTAGATAGATTATGTTTTCAACAAAGGAAGCACATTAAAAAAAAAGAAAAAAAAATTAATAAAATTACCCAGAGAGGAAAAAAATTATTTGCTCTAAACAAAAATTTTGTTGTTTAAATTTTAAAAAAAAATTGTTTAGCGCAATTTTTTTTTTTTTTATTCAAATTTGCTTCGAATAAAAAACAAATTTTTATTAAAATTTGGTTCGAATAAAAAAACAAATTTTTATTAAAATTTGGTTCAAATAGAAAACAATTTTTTATTAAAATTTTGCATCGAATAAAAAAACAAATTTTTATTATTTCAAATAATTGTTACGGAAAATAATTTTTTAATAAAATATGGATTCGAATAAAATAAATTTTTTTTTTCAAGTTTGGTTGGAGCAAAAAAAATTAATTATTCAAATTTTTTTGAAATAAAAAAAAAAAATTGTTTCACTATTTAAATTTGATTTGAATAAAAATTCTTTTATTCAAATTTGATTCGAATTAAAAAAAAAAAAGCCTTGAAAATTTAATTTTTTTTCTTTTTTTTTTTTTTTTTTTTGCAGAATGACGAGTGGAAAATAAATATTTTACTGGAAGATGCAATTAATTTACGTAGAGAAATACAAGAATTGCAATATTTAGATAATCTTGTAAATCTTCTTCGTGGCGAACTCGAGAGAATATCCCCAAAAACATGGCCATTTATTCGCAATCACGTGGATCCTTATAGCGAAGAAATTAATCTGATTATATGACAATTTTTCCTTTTTTTTTAAATATATATATGTGACGTTCCATGAAAAAAGGGACCTTAGCTGCAAAAAAATGAAAATTGAGTTTTTGATATCAGTCGATAGATCTTGAGTTGCTCTTTCAGATACAAAAGTTAAAAATTGTACTTTTCTATTTAGTTTTTTTGTTATAAAGCATTAATCATGACCATGTTAATCGCGTTCCAGCACGGACTACAGAAACCATCCCCACCACTTCTACACTAGTATACTTGTCGTAAGCGTGAGCTGTAGGAACGATGTAGTAGTAAGGTGGTGGGGCTGATTTTCGATGGAGGGTCTCAACCAATCAGGGACGCTCTACTTTAAATACCTTTTCTGGAAAATGCGTCTATTGCAGCTAAGGTCCCTTTCCTCATGGAACGTCACATATATAATATATTTCCACTTAAAACTTTTGCTATTTCGTCCTTTGTTTTTTTTTTCTTCTTCTCTTTTGATAAAAACTATTTTTTCCCTAGTCTCGAGAATTTTTTTTTTTTTCTCATTACATGAGAGAAATACAAATTTTCATTATATGAAAAAATTTACACAATTTGAAAAAATTTTCCCTTTTTTTTTACCCCGGTTTTTGTTTCTTTAAATATTTTTTCCCTTTTTATTTCAAATTTTAATTTTTGTTATTTATTTTTATTTATCTGAACAAAAAAACGGCATTCAAATAAATAATTATAAATAATTTTTTTCTTTTTTGTTTCTTTTAATATTTTCCCTTTAAAAAAATTTTTTTTTTTCACAAAATTTCCCCCGCCTTTTATATTTTTGTTTCTATTTACAGAGACTTACGTATATAATTATGAGTCGCACATTATTCAGCTTAGCATATCTATTAAGAGGATAATTATATTTGTAAAAAAAAAGAAAATCCATTTTTTTAAATCTACTTTAAAAAAAAAAAAATGATAATTTATTGTTGTGTTTTTTTTTTACAGGGCAAAAAGTTTGTTTTCTTTCCGCCAACGAATTTTCAAATAAACCAATTTAAAAGTAATTTAAACAATTTTTTTTTTTCAATTGCAGAAAATGAAGAGAGAGCAGCTCCTATTTTGAAAAAAAAAATTTTTTTTCTTTCCCCCTATATACAAATTTAACTAAATTTTCTTTAAAAATACAAAACTGTGTTTTGAGCGAAACGATTTTTTCTCTAATTTTTAAAAATATTCACTTAACCAGAAGTGTAAAAATAAATTTGTATAAAGCCTTTGAAAACTTAAATAGTCATAATATTAATAATTATTATAAAAAAATTATACAAATTATTATTATTATTAAAAAAAAAAAAAAAGAAACAAAAAAGAAAAATAATAGTAATTATAAAAATTAATAAAAATAATAATACAAAAAATAATAATAATAATATCTAATAAAAATAATAATTTTAATAATATTAATAATTAATAATTTCTAGAGAAAATTGTTGAAATTTCAATGAAAAAAAAAAAAAAAAAAACAATTTTTTTTTATAATAAAATTTAAAATTAAATTCATTTTCATCTGGCTATTTTTGGCGATGAAACAACATTACTATTATGTGAAGAGACATGTGTCGAAGGCGATGGTAATAAACTTGGTTTACAAATAATTTGCTCACAACTACTGTTTTCTTCTAATTTAAATGAATCGTGCGCCGAATAATTTGTGACATCAACTTCGGGTTTAACTTCAATCATCATTGAATCAGATGGTGAATGACTACGTAAACCAGCGAAACTATTTAATCTATATTTACAAGATGACAATAAATGTCGACGTAAATTTCTTGCTTGACGTAATGTTGCACCACATAATGGACAAACACCAGGACAATCGGAGGCGCCACGTATTTTACCAGATGATGCTGCTGCGGCCGCAGCAGCCGCTGCAGCTGCAATTAAACTTTGATTTTGTGAAACGCAAGACAATGGCGGATAACCAATGCCCAATGATGCGGGAAATTGTGGAATATGAAGCGGTGAATATGGTTGCATTGGCATTAATGTATGTAGTAGAGGTGGTTCTGAATCGGAGGTAGATTCATGATGAAGATTTTCACTCATTGGCACGGGACGAACAAGTGATGGCGATGGACCACGATGATCCATACCTGAAAAAAAGAGAAATAAAAATTGTCATTTTTTTTTTTATAGAAACGAGATTAAAGAGGAGAGACAAAAACAAGAAATATAATTACAGGGTTGACACAATTATTTTTTTTTTTCCCCCGATTTCTAGTTAAAAATTTTGATTTTTTTCCTTATCCTACACGGGTGCGCCAGAAGGAGGTTTAAATAAAAAATGAATTGGCACTTAAAAATAGTAGAAAAGTAATCTAATAACAGCTGCGACTTTGTGCGCCCTGCATGCTGCTGCTATCTGACGGCGACAGGAGGTAATAAACCCCTCATTATATTACTTTTCGTTTTGCAATCGTGTTTTTGTGTATGGATTCGTATAATCTTTAGGATTTATGAAAATTTATATAAGATAAGGATCTCTAGCTGCTTTTATCAAATAAAAAAAATATATTTCTTGATTTTTTTTTTTTTTGATTATCTGTCGAAAAATTTTTCAGAAATTATTCAAGAAAATTTTCGATTTAAAAAAATTTTGAAATTTGATAAAATTATCAACTTATGCAGCTTACTCTAACAGCAATCGAATCAATTTTTCTCACAATTTTTTTGCACGATTCTAACAATTTTATAATTTTTTAATAATTAAAATACGACCGCACAAATGATAATGTCAAAACATTGAAAAATTTTAACCAACACAAAATAATGTCAAACAACACATTTAAAAAAGAAAAGACCTATAACAAATACTAACTTCAGGTGTGTACAGAATGAACGAAAGATATTCACGATTATTATATGTAATTTTATGAGGAACCAGAATTTATTTAATGTATTACTTTTATGCGTATAGATAATAGATGTTTTAGATTTGGGTTCATATAAATTTATTAAAAATGAAGTTATTTTCTTGTTTCGTTTTTATATTTAAAGAGTGTCGAACGGTATCTGAAATTCTTTGGCAAAGAATAGAGAGCTTGTAATTATCGCTCTGAACGTGAAATAGTATTGATTTTAAAATACTTTTTTTCTCGAAACACGAACACTTTTTAGCAAAATCAGTCAAAATCCTTCATCTTATAAATTTCCTAAATCCAAAAGACTGTACGAATCCATAGAAAAACATGGTTGCAAAACAAAAAGTAGAAAAGTAATCTCATAACAGCTGCGACTTTGTGCGCACTGCATGCTGCTGCCATCTGACGGCGACAGGAGGTAATGAACCCCTCATTATATTACTTTTCGTTTTGCAATCGTGTTTTTGTGTATGGATTCGTATAATCTTTAGGATTTATGAAAATTTATAAGATGAGGATTTTGGCTGATTTTGTAAAAAGTGTCCATCTTTCGAGAAGAAAGTATTTTAAAATTAATGTTTATCATTTTCACGTTTAGTGCCATTTTTATAGAACGATAATAATTAAAGGTCTCTTCTTGCCAAAAAATTTCAGAGATCATTCGACTCTCTTAAATAAATTTTGTCACTCTTAAAATCGTTCTTTTAACATTATAATTTAATTTTTTTAAATTGGACACAAACACTACAGCAATAAAATTATTTATATGTAAAATTGAAAATAAGTAATTATTTTATGATTTATTACAGTATTTATTAGATTAAATAAATTCTGATTCCCCATAAAACACTGTTTTTTTTTTATATAAAAACTAAATTTTATTTAAATCGGGCACGTAAACTGATTTTAAAAACTATTGAGAAATGTTTTTTATTCATCTAAGAATCATAATCAAAAAGTATTTTTAAGTGCCAATTCATTTTTATTTAAACCACCTTCTGGCGCACCGTGCCTAAATGAAAAAAATATTTCAAGAGATTTTCAATAACAGGCCTCGAATTGTACTCTTTTTACTTTTTAAAAATTGAATTATTAAAAAAACGATATTAATTTGAATTGTTTTGCAAAATCAATTATTTTCAATGATTTAAAATAAATTCCGCGGAATTGTTTGCAAAATCAATTATTTTCAATGATTTAAAACAAATTCCGCGGAATTGTTTGCAAAATCAATTACAGGGTGTCTAACGGTCAGGAAAAGTCAGGAAATTTCTTAAATTTTCTGGAATTTTTTTTTTTTTTTAAATTAAAGTAACTATATTAGTTTAAAAAAAAATTTTTTTTACTTTTTTCCCCAAGCAAATGTAAATTAAAAAGTTGTCCTTCACACTCAATTATTAAGCATGTGAAAATATATTCATTAAGTAAATAATTATTTACTACTATTTATTGAATAAATGATTTTTTTAAACTTGGATAACAATTAATTTTTTTTCAGTGAAATATTTGGTTTTTTAATATAAATCAAAAATTATTTGAATTTTATTTTAGCGGTTTCAACTGCAAATAAAGTAAATTATTCATTAATACGAATAATTTATTATTTTAATGCTAATAACCCGCATTTAACTTATAAACATTTTTCACGGCGTCGAATATTAAATTATCGGAATTTCTATTTTTGAAAATTGTATAAAGTGGAATTTATATTATACAAAATTTTCAATTTACATTTAACTAAAATTCGATTTAATTTCTATTTAGCAAAACTCTTATAATTTTCTTATAGTTTTTAAAATTTTAAATTAATATAATTTCAATTTAACGACATTTATGTTTGGAAAAAAAAAGAATAAATTAAAAATAAATTGAATTTCAGGAGAGTTATAATTGTAATTATTAAATTTCAAAAAATTTAAAATGGGAATTATTTTAGAAATAATTAAATTTTAGAAGCTTTTAAATTAAAATTTTCGAAAATAATTGAATTGTAGTTGATTTTAAGTTGTAATTTTGGAAAATAATTGAATTTTAGGTGATTTTGGATTGAAAATTTTGAAAATAATTGAATATTAATTGAAAATTTTTAAAACAAATAAATTTCAATTAAAAAATTTTGGAAAATAATTGAAAATTTTTAAAATAATTGAATTTCAGTTGATTTAGAATTGAAAATAATTTAATTTCAGTTGATTTTGAATTAAAATTTTACAAAATAATTGAATTTTAGTTGATTTTAAGTTGAAATTTTTAAAAATAATTGAATTTCAGTTGATTTAGAATTGAAATTTTTCAAAATTGAATTTTAATTGATTTGAAATTTCAAATTTTGGGAAAATAATTGAGTTTTAGTTAATTTGGAATTGAAAATAATTGAATTTTACCTGATTTTGAAATGAAATTTTTTAAAATAATTTAATTTTACCTGATTTTGAATTGAATTTTTAAAAATAATTGAATTTTAACATTGATTTTTAATTGAAAATTTTTAAAACAAATGTATTTCAATTGAAATTTTGGAAAATAAATGAAAATTTTGAAAATAATTGAATTTTAGTTGATTTTGAATTGAAATTTTACAAAATAATTGAATTTTATTTGTTTTTGAGTTGGAATTTTTGAAATTAATTGAATTTCAATTTATTTTGCATTGAAATTTTCGTAAATAATTTAATTTTAATATTGATTTTGGATAAAAAATTATGAAAATAACTGGATATCAATTGAAAATTTTTAAAAAAAATAAATTTCAATTGAAATTTTTGAAAATAATTTAAAAATTTAAAAATAATTGAATTTCAGTTGATTTTTAGTTGAAAATATTGAAAAAAATTGATTAGCAATTGAAAATTTTTAAAACAAATAAAATTCAATTGAAAATTTTTAAAATAAATAAAATTCAATTGAAATTTTTAAAATAATTGAATTTCAGTTGATTTTGAATTGAATTTTTGAAAATAATTGAATTTTAATATTGATTTTGAATAGAAAATTATGAAAATAATTGAATATCAATTGAAAATTTTAGAAAATAATTGAATTTTACCTGATTTTGAATTGAAATTTTTGAAAATAATTTATTTTCAGTTGATTTTGAATTGAAAATAATTTAATTTCAGTTCATTTTGAATTGAAAATTTTGAAAATAATTGAATATCAATTGAAAAATTTTAAAACAAATGAATTTCAAGTGAAATTTGGATAATAATTGAATTGTAGTTTATTGTGAATTGAAAATTTTGGAAAATAATTGAATTTTAGTTAATTTTGTATGGAAAATTTTGAAAATAATTGAATTTCAATTGACATTTTAGAAAATAATTTAATTTTTGTTAATTTTTGATTTAACAATTTTGAAAATAATTCAATTTCTATTAACATTTTGGAAAATAATTGAATTTTGTTTGGTATTAGATTGAAAATTTTGAAAATAATTGAATTTTAGTTGGATTTAAAATGAATTTGTTTGAAAATAATTGAATTTTAGTTGATTTTTTTAATTGAAATTTATTATTTAATCCTAATATCCACATTTAACTTATGAAATTTTTTACGGCGTCAAATATTAAATTATCGAATTTCTATTTAGCAAAATTTTTTATAAAGTTGATTTTTTATTATGTAAAATTTTCAAAAAAAAAAAAAGAACTTAGTAGAATTTTTCTTAAAAGAGAATTGTGTTAAATAAAATAATTAGTTGGAATTAAAATTTTCTTTAATAAAAAAAGTTAATTAAAAATTTTGTTAAATAGAAATTCTCTTAATTGGAGATTTATTCAATGACAATATTCTGTTAAGTAATTATTTTCATAAATCAAAATTTACTAAAATAACAATTCTGTTCAAAAAAAAAAAAAAAAATTGTTCCTTACTCAATTTTTCTTGACATAAATTCCGTTAAATTTGAAATTGTATTAATTTGAAATTCAATGTAGTAGAAAATTTGCTTTATATAATTTTACTAAATAAAAATTTGATAATTTAACATTTGACGACATAAAAATTCTTTTTAAATTAAATGTTGAGAATACTTATACGTCTCCAAATTAATTTATTTATTTCACTTAAATTGAAAATTAAAGAAAAAAAAATTACAATTTTAGTAGAATTTTTATATTTTACCAGTAGTTTTCAAAAAAAAAAAAAAAAATTCCCTGACTTTTCTCTGATTTTCCCTGACTCATGGCAACCCTGTATTAACAATTTTTTTTTTCTCAACATTTATATAGAAGACGAAACACATTGCAAAGTAGAAAGAAAATTTGCATTTACCTGAAAATAAAAATTTGCTTTTACCTGAAAAATAAAGAATGAAAAGGAAAATTTTAATTTCTGACTTGCAGAAAATAAAAGCAAATTGAGAAAAATAATGATAATAGCAATAATATAATAATAATAATAATAATAATAATAATAATAGTAATAATAATAATACAAAAAAATAATTACAATAAAAAAAAATTGTAAATAAAATAAAATAGTAAATAACTAAAATAAAAAAAAAATTATAAAATTTAAAAAAATTAAAAATAAAATTACAATAAAATAATTTAATAATAATAAAAATAATAATTATTATTATCAAATAAGAAATAAAACGGCAATAAAAAGAATTGAAAAGAACTTGGATACAAAAAAAAATAATTAAATTATTACCATCTTCGGTTTCTTCATTCTTGCGATTTAATTCCATATTTCTATTGTTGGCACGTTCCAAATACCTCATTTCTCTTTCGGTGGTTTCAATTTTTCTTAATTTTTCCGCTGATGTTGATGTGGTCTTTCTTTTTTTTCTTCGTTTTCTACTTGAAACAGAAGACGTTGCTTCTTTTGACGTTTCACCAGTAACTGTTGTTGTTGAAGGTGCTTTTTCCTCCACTTTCTAAAAAATTTTAGTTAAAAAAACAAATTAGAAAAGTTTCTCCCTCTTTTTTTTTTCTTAAAGTATAAATAATTTATTATTTATTTTATTTAAAAGATTATTATAAATTTTCCATATAAAATTATTATTATTAAATAATTTATTTTATAAAAAATAGTAAACTAAAAGAAAAAAAAAAACCGAAATACCTTTTTTAAAAGTGAGTTATTTTTTACAATAAATAATAAAATAGAGAAAATTACTTCAGGTACTATCGTTGGTGGTGTTAGTCCATGAATATTTAGACAATTGGCTGCTTGTAGCAGAGAAGGCAATTTTGAAGGTTCCACTCTGACTTCACCTCGATAAACAAATTCCAAAATAGTCTCCAAATCCTCGGCACCAATTCCCGCTAACATTACTACCGGATGTTCACACTGTGTATCCTACAAAAAAAAAAAAATTATTTTCATATTTTTCTTTGCATTCTTTGTTTATTGAGATTTATGATTTCGAAAAAAAATTGTCGAAAAAATATATAATTTTTATTGAAACAAATTGAATCAAAATATTATTAAAAATTAATTATTTAATTTAAAAAAAAAAATTTATTGGCTAATTTTTAAAAATAATTGAATTTCAGAAGTGTTTAATGTTTAAGAGTTTTCATTTAAACAATTTTTGCATTTATAAATATTCAATTTATATATTTAAATAAAAAAATAATTGAATTTCAGAAGAATTATTAATTACTAAAATTGAATTAAATAATTAAATTTGTCGAAAGAATTTTTAATGAGAAATTTAAAAAAAAAAAAAAAATCATTGAATTTTAGAGAATTTTTAAAATAAAAATTATTAAATAATTGAATTTTCAAAGAATTTAATTGAAAATGTTTTAAATAATTTAATTTTTCAAGAATTTCTTAAAAAATTATTGAAAATAATTAAATATGGAGAATTTTTAAAATAAAAATTTTAAAATAATTCAATTTTCAAAGAATTTAATTTTAATTGTTGAAAATAATTATTTACATAGACTTTCTAGATTTAAATTTAAAAAAAAAATGAATTTTAGAGAATTTTTAATTGAAAAAAGTTTTTAAATAATTGAATTTTCGAATTTTTTTCAATTAAAATTATTGAAAATAATAATAATAATAATAATAATAATAATAATAATAATAATAATAATAATAATAATTAACTACACAGAATTTTTAAATTCAAAATTTTCGAAATAATAAAATCTTCAAAGAGCTACATTTTGTTTCAATAAATAAATAAATTTTCTACTAAAAAAAAAAATTCATAGGTATTTTGTTAAATTAAATAATTTTTATTTCTATTTTATAAAATAAATCTCATTTTTAAAAGAAAAAGTTGTAAAATTCCTACAATTCTTTTATTTAAAAATAATTGAATTTAGAAAATAATTTCAAACAAATTTTTAATTAAATAATAATTGAAAAATATTTTAAATAATTTTTCAATTATTCAATTCAATCAATTTTTCATTTTTAAATTTTAAATATACATTTAAATAAATAAATAATTGAATTTCAGAATAATAATGATTAATTACTAAAATTGAATTAAATAATTAAATTTGTCGAAAGAATTTTTAATGAGAAATTTTAAAAAAATAATTGAATTTCATATTATTTTGAAAATAATTGAATTTGTAGAAAATTTTTAATAGAAAAATGTTTTAAATAATTTAATTTTCAAAGAATTTCTTAAAAAATTTTTTTGAAAATAATTAACTATGGAGAATTTTTAAATTGAAAATTGTTAAATAATTGAATTTTCCAAGAATTTAATTGAAGTTATTGAAAATAATTTAATTTTCCAAGAATTTTTTAAAAATTATTGAAAATAATTTTTTATGGAGAATTTTTAGAATAAAAATTTTAAAATAATTCAATTTTCAAAGAATTTCATTGAAATTATTGAAAATAATTATTTACACAGACTTTCTAGATTTAAATTTAAAAAAAAAATTAAATTTTAGAGAATTTTTAATTGAAAAATGTTTTAAATAATTTAATTATCGAATTTTTTTTCAATTCAAATTATTGCAAATAATAATAATAATAATAATAATAATAATAAATTAGACAGACTTTTTAAATTAAAAATTTTCAAAATAATCAAATTTTGAATGAGCTACATTTTGTTTCAATAAATAAATTTTGTAATAAAAAAAAAATCATAGGTATTAATTAATTAATTTTTATTTCTATTTTATAAAAAAAAGCCATTTTTAAAAGAATAAGTTGAAAAATTCCTAAAATTCTTTAATTTAAAAACAAAGAGAATTTTAAAAATAATTGAATTTAGAAAATAATTTCAGACGAATTTTTAATTAAATAATAATTGAAAAATATTTTAAATAATTTTTCAATTATTCAATTCAATCAATTTTTCATTTATAAATTTTAAATATATATATATATATATATATATTAAAATAAATAAATAATTGAATTTCAGAAGAATTATTAATTACTAAATTCAATTAAATAATTAAATTTGTCGAAAGAATTTTTAATGAGAAATTTAAAAAAAAGAATAATTGAATTTTAGAGAATTTTTAATTGAAAAATGTTTTAAATAATTGAATTTTCAAGTTTTAAAATAATTGAAAATAATAATAATAATAATAATAATAATAATAATAATAATTAACTACACAGAGTTTTTAGATTAAAAATTTTCGAAATAATTAAATTTTGAAAAAGCTACATTTTGTTTCAATAAATAAATAAATAAATTTTGTATTAAAAAAAAATCCTAGTTATTTTGTTAAATTAATTAATTTTTATTTCTATTTTATGAAATCGCATTTTTAAAAGAAAAAGTTTTGAAAAATTCCTTTAATTTAAAAACAATTGAATTTAGAAAATAATTTCAGAAGAATTTTTTTGTTTTAAAAAAAAAGTTGTTTTAATGTTTTGAATTTAAAAAAATAATAATACAAAAAAAAAATAAAAAAAAGAAAATTAATTTTTTCGTTTTAAATTTTAATTTTCTAATTAAATTTTGAATATTAATTAATACCTTTAACAAATCAAGAAGAAATGGACTTGCAGCCGAAAGAACAATTTTATGAGCTTGAAAACTTCGTCCTCCTGCTGCTAAAGTAACATCGACTAAATCTCCATGACCTCGTAGAATTTGTACAGCAGAGGTTAAGGATGAACCAAATTCACCCCACGAGAGGCTATAAAGTTGACCACTGCTTCCCATCCTATTTATTTAAAAAAAAAAAACAAAATTCTTTTCCTCATTCCTCTTTAACCATTAAATTAATGTTTTTCTTTTTTTCCAATATGTTTTAAATTCCCCACTATTTTATCTCTCTAAATTACAAATAATTTCATTTTTCCTTTTTTCTCGCTAAATATTTTTCTATTTCTCTATTCTATTTTTAATTATTATTATTACTGCGATTATAATTTTATAATTGAGAAACAAAAGATTATATATATATATATGTATATATATAGCGGCGTCAGAAACCTAACCTCAAAAAAAAATTTTTTCATTTTCCATTAGAAACAAAATTAATTAATAGTAGAAATAACTTACCTCTCTTTTTTTTTGTTGTTGTTGTTGGAGTTTTAAAAACTCTACGAATGAACTAAATTGACGATTTTATAATAAAACTTATTTTTTTTTTCGACAATTAATGGAAATTACATTTGGAAATTGAAGAGAAAAAACGGTACTTTAAATTGTTTTATTTATTATTTAACACTAGAGTTAGAAAAATATATATTTTTCACTAGTAAATTCAATTTTCAAATGATAAATATTTATGATAAACACCAGACTATAAAAAGGAAATTAACTCACACACAGGCTTTGAAGGAAATTTTCTCTGGTTATAATAGAAAAGTCAGAAAAGTGACTTCATCACCTCTATTGGTCAAAATTTGAAACAATATTTTTTTTCTTTCGTTTACAAATTTACTATCGTGGATATTTTTTTTTTGGGGGGGTTATTTAATTAGTAATTTTAATTACAATTAGAAAAGGTGGGGGAAATTTCTTTTTTTTCCATGAAAATTGTAATTTATTTAACCCAAAAAAAGAGAGGAAATTATTTTTTTGAAAATACCGCCATTGTGGAGCTTTCTGAAAAGTCCACAAGTGGCGCTGTATAAATTTTCGTTCGCGTGTCGAGGTTATGTTTGTGGGAGTTTTTCTCCATATTCGCTCTATTTCTCTATATATATACTGTTTGGATATTTTTTTTCAGACGTTATTATTGTTTTTTTTTTTGTTCAAAATCTTTCAAATTGAAAAATATTTTGACGCGCGTTTTCAATTTTATTTTGTATAAAAAGAACGAGGAAAATATTGGTAAGTACTCTATACATATATATATACTATATATACGAAATATCCTCTCGCATCAGTGTCCTAATTTTTTTTTTCTCCGACATATTTTTAGTTATAATTATAAATTTTCCGTAATTTTTAACCAGTGAAAAAATAGTTTATTTCAATTTTATTGTAATTCTCAATAAAAGCAATTCTGCTTTATTAAATTTTAGTTAAAATTAAAGGTTAAGTGGCGTTTTTTTTTCTCTCTCTCTCTCTCTTTCTTTTTCCGAACGCGTTGTTTACTTGTTATTAAAAATTGGAAAAAAAAAAACAATTCTTTTTTGGGAGTGTTTATTTTGGTAAAAAGTGTAAAAAAAAATAATTTTTCAGATAAACAAAAATGAGTGAAAATTGCACTTACGTGCAAAAAGTTATAACAGTTCCTAAAACATCGATAATTCAACATCAAATAAGTGATGAAATTATTAAAATTTTAATTGAATTTCCCGATGGGGAACAAAAACTTGTTGGATTTCAAGTTTCCGATGAGAATTGTACGATTCAAGATTTGTTAATGCAGGTAAAATAAAATATTTTGTTTTTGTTTTTTGTTTTTTTTTTTCTTGAATTTTCGATCGTATTTCCATAAAAATTAGTTACAATTTTTTATTTTAAATAATTATTTCCTTTTTTTGACGAATTTTCATTTTTCAAATTAGTATTTGGAAAAATTGATTTTAGAAACGAATTTTTACTTTACAGAATTTTTAATTAAATTTTTATTTATAATTTTTGTTTACAATTTTTTTTTTTATTTACAATTTTAATTTTTATTTCTAATATTTATTTTTAATTTTTATTTACAATTTAAATTTTTATTTATAATTTTTATTTTTATTTGTAATTTTTATTTACAATTTAAATTTTTATTTATAATTTTTATTTTTATTTGTAATTTTTATTTACAATTTTAATTTTTATTTACAATTTTAATTTTGATTTACAATTTTAATTTACAATATTAATTTTTATTTACAATTTTAATTCTTATTTCTAATTTTTATTTACAATTTAAATTTTTATTTATAATTTTTATTGTTATTTGTAATTTTTAATTACAACATTTATTTTTATTTACAATTTTTGTTTATTTACAATTTTAATTTACAATATTAATTTTTATTTACAATTTTAATTCTTATTTGTAATTTTTATTTACAATTTTTATTTTCATTTGTAATTTTTATTTTTAATTTTTATTTACAATTTTTATTTTTATTTACAATTTTTGTTTATTTACAATTTTAATTTTTATTTACAATTTTAATTCTTATTTGTAATTTTTAATTACAATTTTTATTTTTATTTGTAATTTTTTATTTTAATTTTTATTTACAATTTTTATTTTTATTTGTAATTTTTAATTTTAATTTTTATTTTAATTTGTAATTTTTATTTACAATATTTATTTACAAATTTTAATTTTTATTTACAATTTTAATTTACAATTTTAATTTTTTATTTGTAGTTTTTATTTACAATTTTTATTTTTATTTATAATTTTTATTTACAATTTTTATTAAAAATTTTATTTTTAATTTTTATTTCACAGAATTACTCTTTAAAGAACTTTTTATTTAATTTTAAAACATTTCTAATTTAACTGAAATTTAATTATTCTTATAATTAATTATTTTTATTTGTAATTAATTATTATTATTAGTATTAAATATTATTAATAAATAAATAAATCAGAATTCTGCTAAATAAAAATTCTGTTAAATTGGAATTCTTTTTAAATAAAAAATTGGATTAAAAAGAAATTAAGGAATAAAAAATTTTGCTAAATAAAAATTTAGTTAAAAATTTAAATAAAAATTCTTTAAAGTAAAAATTTTCAAAAAAAAGTAAGAAAAAAAATTAATTTTCATAAAAAAGAAATTCTCTTAAATGCCTTTTTTTTATTTAATTTAAAACAATTCTAATTTAACCGAAATTTAATTATTCTTATAATTAATTATTTTAATTGTAATTAATTATTATTATTATTATTATTATTATTATTATTATTATTAAATAAATTAGAATTCTTTTCAAATAAAAAATTAGATTAAAAAGAAATTAAAGAATAAAAGTTCTGCTAAATAAAAATTTAGATAAAAATTTAAATAAAAATTCCATAAAGTAAAAATTTGCCCAAAGAAAAAAAAATTAATTTTCATAAAAAAGAAATTCTGTTAAAGGCCTTATTTAAAAAATGAAAAATTCGTCGAAATAATTAAAAAAAAAAATAAAATTCTTTAAATTTGAAAAATTCTAATTATTTTTTATTGAAATAATTATGCGCTCTTGAATTTTTCTAGAAAAAAAAAAATAAAATAAAATTTTTTTTTCAATTTTTCTACACAGATTGGCATTCCATTGGACGCTGAAACTGATATTTCATTGGTTGAAGATCCATCTACTTTACAAATACATTATATTGTAGAAGTTAAAAATTTAAAACCAATTGTAGCTCATGAAACTCCGAGTTTCAGGTAAAAAAAAAAAAAAAAAATTTCAATTTCTAAAATTAAAAGAAAAGAAGCAAATTTTCAAATTTTTCATTTTCTTTTTTTTTTCGCAGTCAAGAATTTTCGAGTCCAAATCCTCCGCCTCAAGAAATCGAGGTAAGATTAAAATAATTATTTTAATTTTTAAATAAATAAATAATTATTTTAAATTAAATTGAATTTTAAATTTGTCTGTGTATATTTTTCAATAAATAAATAAAAAAAAAAATGTATTTCTTATTCTTAATTAATTAGAAATTAATATAAATTAATTAAGAATGTGAAAACTATTTTTTTTTTTTTAAATAATTGTTTTTTTTTACAAATTTTTGAAAAAAAAATATTTCAGGTTCCAAAATTTGTTGAGGGAAAACTTGCCGTTTGTCGAAGATGTGGATTTTTGTCATCGACTTTTCACCGTTGTCAACGATGTAAACGAAAATTGCCCGACAATGTTAAGGCGGTTATTGATAAATATACGGTTAATGGCTCCAAGGTATGAAAAATATAAAAAAACTATTTCTTTATAAAAAAAAATTTTTTTTTTTCTTTTCACCTTTACAATTTACGACTTTTTTCCAATTAAAAATGTTTTTAATATTCAATTATTTGTAATTTGTTAAAAAAAAAGAGAAAAGAAATTTTCTGCAATTTTTAATGAATAAATTAAAGTAACTATTAGTTTCAAAAAAAATTTTTTTTTTAAATTTAATTGTATCAAAATAAATTTTATTTGATCAAAATAAAAATTTTTTAGTGTAATAGGGAATTTTTTTTTCCTAACAATTGTTAGACAACGTGAATTAAATATAGAAAAAATTTTTTTTTTTAAATTAATTTTTAATTAATTAATAATTTTTAAATTATTTTTTTTTTTTTAGAAACCATGCAAAGAAGGTGAAAATCGTTGCCCTGTGGACGTTAAACCAAAAACATCGACTGTAAAGATTGAACAAAATAATGGAGTAAATGGTAGGGAAATTTAATTTAAAAAATTTTATACTTTTTTTTTTTTAATGTAGTAAAAAAATTTTTATTTTAAAATACGTTTATGTTAAAATAATAAATATTCTGCCGTACAAATTGAAGAAAAAAAAAACAATGGCTCTTTTTAATTTATAGACGATTGATTGAGAATTTAAAATAAATATTGTAATTTTGTAGAAATTATTTCTAAAAAATGGGGAAAAAATTATTATTATTATTATTTTTTTTTTTTGAAGGTACAGAAGCACAGGAGCAGTTTCCTGATTTTTTGATAAAAGCACAGCATACAACACTTTCATGTCGAACAGTAAGAATAGGATCTTACAAATATTTTCCACCGGAGAAAATTATTATTTCCCAATATGGAGTAAGATTGAGTGTTCCATCTTTGTGTGGCAGTAAGTTTTCTTTTTTTTCGCATTTCTATTTTTTGTACTATTTTATTTTTATTTCTGTTAATATTTATTTCTGCAATATTTATTTCTATTTTATTTATTTATTTCTAATTTTTATTCTTTTTTTATTTCTATTTGTTACTATTTTTCTATTTTGTTTCTATTTATTATTATTTTTTTTTTTTTTTATTTTAATTTTGTGTTTATCTAATATTTATTTTTCTTTAAAGAAAAAAGAAAAGACTTGAAAAATTAAAAAAAAATTCCCTCACATTCTTCTCCTTTTTTTATTCACAGGTAAAAATAATGTGAAATTAAATATCGAACTACAGGACATTGATCGTGTTTTAATTCATTTTGGAAGAAATTTACCAGTTATATTTTTGGTAACAAGTCCAAGTAGTGCTGAACAAATCAGAGAAATTTTGGGAATGCAACAGCAGGAAAATCCCTATTACGATCCATTGAGCCGAGGTAAGAAAACAACAATTATAATTATATATTTTATTAAAAAATATTCAAAAGAAAATTACTAATTTCATTAATTTAATAATTATATTCAAAAATTTATTTAGATAATAAATTATCTAATTTATTATTTTAATACATTTTTTTTTAATTCTGTCCCTTTTTTTTCTCTTTTTCAAGATCTTACACACAAGCGAATAACTTTATTACCAGAAAGTATCAGCGAAGATGCGCAAACATTTTTAAAAGAATTATTTCAATTAAAATTGGAACAATTGAGTATGACGGAAGCCAATGAAATTCTCGTGAGAGCATCGCCGAGAGAAGTACGCTGAAAAATATATCTTTAGAAATTTTTTTTTTGTCACTATTTTTATTTTCTGTTTTTCTCTTTCTTTCTTTCTTTCTTTCTCAAAAAAAAAATATATATATATATTCCAACATTTGACGAAAATCGCATAAGTTTCTTTATAATTTTTTCTTTTAGCCTCCAAAAAGATTTCGTATCCGGAGAATGCCGGAAACGGGACAAGGAAATAATTAAGGTAGCAATTTCTGTGTGTTTTTGTTAAATGCAATTAATTTTTTTTTTCAGATATTTTCAATTTTTTTTTTTTTTTTTTTTTTTTTCTGACTATTAAAAGAAAATTACAAATATCTATTTTTGAAAAATATTCGAAATATCTTTAAAGCAACTAAAAATTTTTTTTTGAAAAAAATACAAATTTCTTATTCAAAAAAATAAAAATACAAATTTCTATTTAAAAATATACAAATTTCTTTTTAAAAAAAATATACAAATTTCTTTTTTAAAAAAAAATACAAATTTCTTTTTTTTAAAAACACCTACAAATTTAATAAAAGAAAAAAAAAACTACAAATATCTTTTAACAAAAAAACTAAAAATAACTAATAATCTTTTTAGAAAAAAGAAGAAACTAAAAATCTATAATAATAAGGGAAAAATTCGATATAAATTTTGAGAAAAAAAAAAAAAAAAATCTAAATCTATAAAAAGGAAATTATTTCATACACACATAAAAAGCCTGATTGCAGTTATTATCGTATTTGTAGATTGTAAGAAATTCTAATGTGATAGTACGAAATCCAATATTCAGGGATTGATTATCATGAATTCATAAAAAAGGAAAAAAGAAAAAAATAAGTAAGAACTAATATTAATTGTGCTTAATAATTATTCTAATATGTAAGAAAATAAAAGTACAAAAAAAACATTTGTTTATCTCCTTTTTGGATATTATAATAATCTCATTAATTGTCATATTTCATTAATTGTATTAATTTTTTTTTGCATTAATTTGAATGTTTTTTTTTTCTTTTATATATTATTATTATTATTACTATTATTATTATTATTATTATTATTATTATTAATAATAAAATGCAATGTTTTTTCTTTTAATAATTTCAATATTATTGACTATAAAATATATATATTATATTATTATTGTGATTATTATTATTATTATTATTAATATAATATTATTTTTTTGCTATTACTATTATTATTACTACTATAATATTAAAATTATTTTATTTTTTCTTTGCTATTATTATTATTATTATTATTACAACTATTAAAATTATTTTATTATTATTATTATTATGGGGCGTACAAGTTTTCCATTAAAATAATTTTTTAGAATTTTCAATTTAATAGAGAAAATTCTCTAATTTTATTTTATTCGAATTTTTTTTTTTCATTTGTTCGAAATTAGAAATGGCCGAACATGCAATTCTAATTAACCATTTATTTATTATTATTATTATTATTTATTAATATTTTTGTTTATTTATATATTTTTCTTGCAGTAATAGAATTTTTTTTTTTGCTTTCAAATTTTCCCGCTTAGAATTCATAAAAACGATGATCAAAATAATTTTAAATTAACAAACAGAATATTTTTTATAACTGAGAGAAAAATTTTTATTTTATTTTATTTAAATATTTTCAAATCAAAATCAACTGAAATTCAATTATTTTCAAAATTTTCAATTCAAAATCAACTGAAATTCAATTATTTTTAATTCAAAATCAGATAAAATTCAATTATTTTCTAAAATTTCAATTTTTATTTAAGAAATTTTCCAAATTTTCAATTCCAAATTAATTAAAATTCAATTATTTTCCAAAATTTCAATTATAATTCAAGTATTTTCAAAATTTTTAATTTTTTTCCAAAAATTCAATTTGAAATTCATTTTTTTTAAAAATTTTCAATTGATATTCAATTATTTGCAAAATTTTCTATTTAAAATCAATATTAAAATTCAATTATTTTCGAAAATTTTAATTCAAAATCAATAATTATTATTATTAATATTATTTTTTTGCTATTACTATTATTATTACTACTAATATAAAAATTATTTAATTATTTTTTTTGTTGCTATTATTATTATTATTACTATAAATATTAAAATTGTTTTTTTTTTGTTATTATGGGGCGTATAAATTTTCCATTAAAATAATTTTTTAGTATTTTCAATTTAATAGAGAAAATTCTCATTTAATTCTCTAATTTTATTTAATTCGAATTTTTTTTTTTCATTTGTTCGTAATTAGAAATGGCCAAATATACAATTTTAATTAACCATTTATTTTATTATTATTATTAGTATTATTATTATTATTATTATTAGTATTATTATTATTATTATTATTTATTAATATTTTTATTTATTTAAATTTTTTTGTTTTGTTTTTATTTTTGCTTTCAAATTTTCCCGCTTAGAATTTGTAACAACAATGATCAAAATGATTTTAAATTAACAAATAAAATATTTGTTATAATTGAGAGAAAAATTTTTTTGTTTTCTTTTATTTCAATATTTTTATATTGGTTTTTGAAAATGTATTTTATTGATATTTTAAATTTATATATAAAATTAAACTGCTGGTGTTGTGAATAAAGCAGGGAAAGTTATTGGATTTAAATGGTCGCTTGACTTGAGTAGTACATATAATAGTTGTACATTTTGTGAACGTTCTTTGTAAACAAGAAAAAACCACGTGTTGAAACGAGAAAATCGAATAATTCTTCATCAAACTGTAAGTTATTATTATTATTACTATTATTGCTACTATTATTATTATTGCAACTAATTATTATTATTTTTATTATTATTTTTATTATTCCATACTGTTATTATTATTACTATCATTGCATTTTTCTATTATTATTTGCTATTATTCTTATTATTATTTTTCTACTATTATTATTGCTACTATTTTTTTTATTCATATTATTATTATTATTGCTAATATTACTATTATTATTATTATTATTATTATTATTATTTTTAACTATTATCAATTATTATTTCATTAAAAAAAAAAAAAAAAAAAAAAAAATTGTTTCGTCTATAATTTGCCGGTAGTAATATCGAAATTATTTATTATAATTATTAAAAATTTATTTAATATTATTCGTCAAATATTCGTTGGTTGGAAAATATTTGTTTTTTTTTCTTCCATAGTTTTGTTGGCTGTACATAATATATATTTTTGTAAACAAAGCCTACTGCTAAATATAAACAAAAGTATTTAGAAAAGTGAATATATATATATTTATATAAAGTTTTGGAGATTATAAAATATATTATTTTATATAAATATGAAGGAAACTATTCGTAATATTCCAAAATCAAATAATGAAACAATTGCATATTTGCGATTAGTTATTGATAATCCACAAACTGCAATTGTACAACAACAAATTAATGGCAATATTGCTAAGATGCTGATTATTTTACTCGATGGTAAACAGAGGCTTATTACATTTGATATTCCAATTCATCAATGTACTACTGTTCAAGATCTATTAGAATTGGTATGGAATATTTAAATATATTTCTTTTTCTTTTTTTTTTTTTTTTTTCTTTTTTTTTTTGAAAAATAATTACAAAATTAATGAAGAAAAAATTTTTTTCTTTTTTAAATAATTTTTGTTTACGTTTTTATTTATTTTATTTTTACAAGCCTCGAATTATATGATTTTTTTTCGAATTAAAAATTCAATTATTTTCCAAAATTTTAAATGTAATTCAATTATTTTCCAAAATTTTCAATTATTTTCCAAAAATTTCCATTAAAATTCAATTATTTTCACAAATTTTCAAATGTAATTCAAATATTTTCAAAATTTTCATTTCTTTTACAAAAATTTCAATTGAAATTCAATTATTTTCAAAATTTTCTATACAAAATCAATATTAAAATTCAATTATTTTCGCAAAATTTCAATTCAAAATCAATTGAAATTCAATTCTTTTCAAAATTTTTAATTCCAAATTAACTAAAACTCAATTATTTTCCCAAAATTTCGAATTTTCAAATTTCAAATCAATTAAAATTCAATTTTGAAAAATTTCTATTCAAAATCAACTGAAATTCAATTATTTTTAAAAATTTCAATTCAAAATCAGGTAAAATTAAATTATTTTAAAAAATTTCATTTCAAAATCAGGTAAAATTTAATTATTTTCAATTCCAAATTAACTAAAAATCAATTATTTTCCCAAAATTTCGAATTTTCAAATTTTAAATGAATTAAAATTCAATTTTGAAAAATTTCTATTCAAAATCAACTGAAATTCAATTTTTTTTCCAAAATTTCAATTGTAATTCAAGTATTTTCAAAAACTTTAATTATTTTCCTAAATTTTAATTGAAATTCATTTATTTTAAAAATTTTCAATTGATATTCAATTATTTTCAAAATTATCTATTCAAAATCAACTGAAATTCAATTATTTTCAAAATTTCGATTAAAATTCAAATATTTTCAAAATTTCCAATTCCAAATTAACTGAAATTCAATTATTTTCCAAAATTTTAATTGTAATTCAAGTATTTTCAAAATTTTCAATTATTTTCCAAAAATTTCTATTGAAATTCATTTATTTTCAAAAACTTTCTATTCAAAATCAACTAAAATTCAATTATTTTTAAAAATTTCAATTCAAAATCAGGTAAAATTAAATTATTTTAAAAAATTTCATTTCAAAGTCATTTAAAATTCAATTATTTTCGAAAATTTTAATTGATAAACTCTTAAAAATTTTCATCTTAAATTTTTCTATTTTGTTAACTTAATAATTTTAATTATAAGTCTCCTAAAATCAATCAAAATTTTTTTAAAATTCAATTATTTATAAAAATTTGTTCTCTAACTCTTCCAAAATTTATTATTATTTAAAAAAAAAAATTTATTTAAAAATGTGTAAAATTTTTTTTTTTTTTTTTTTTTTTTTGACCATCAAAACTGAAAACTGTGTAAAAATTTTTAACTCTAATAAATTGCTTAAATTAGACTTAAAAAAATTATAAATAATAAAACTTTAAGAACTTTTTTTTTTGAGATATTTGTTTAATTTAAATAAAATTTTTTTTAAATTTGTCTTACAATTAGTTTGATTCTGAAATATTCGTAATAAAATTTTCTTGACAATATTCATTATAGAATTATTCTCATTACAGAATTAATAAAATTAAAACAATTTGTTTTTTTGCCTTAAAGTCGATTCGAGGCCTGTATTTATTTATTTTATTCAATTTTTATTATTGTTATTATTTATTTATTTATTTATTTATCTATTTTGAAATTTATTATTTGATATAAAATGTATTAAAATGTATTATAAAATGTTTTAGAGGCATTATTCTATTTTATTTTTCTTTATTTTTTATTATTTATTTTATTTTCATTTATTTTTATTTTATTTTAATATTAAATTTTAATTCTATTAATAAATAAATAAAAAAAATTTGTACTTATAATTATTTCCTTTTTTTAATAAAGACAAGCCTCGGATTTTACGATTTTTCCGGCTTTTTTTTAAAAAATAATTTCAATAATAATAATTATTATTCTTATTAAGGAATTATTAAAATTATCAAAATTATATCAAAATTTTTAAAAATTAATAAAATAAATTTTTTTTTTATATTTTATAACAATTATTAAATAGAAATAAAATATTTATTAAATTAAATTTCAAAAGTAAAACGACTTTTTTTCTACCTTAAAGTTTGATTCAAGGCCTGTAATTATTATTATTATTATTATTATTATTATTATTATTATTATTATTATTATTATTATTATTATTTAATTATTTAATTTTAATTTATTTTTCATTTAATTTTTATTTAATTTTTTTTTGTACCAAAAATTTTTGATTTATAATATAAATATATAAATATTTCCCTTTTTACTTCAATTAAAAAATAAAATTAAAATAAAATGGAAAAAAAATCAATTTCAATAAAAAAAAAAAAAAAAAAAAAAAACCCAAATTAAAAAAAAAGGTTATTTTTTTATGAATTTGTAAAGAAGAAAATAATAATAAAATTTATAATTTTGAATATTTTTTGCACTTTAACATAAAATTTATCAATGCGAAAAAAAAAATTTTTTTTTTTATAAAATTTTATAAAAATGTAAAAAAATAAATTAGTTTTATTTATTCGAAATTAAAACTGTTTTTTTGTCCTTTTTTTTTTTGTTTTGATCCTCTATAGGTAAAAGTTCTCATAGGCACCGAGAATATGATTTATCTCGTAAACGATCCAGTTCAAGGAATAAATTATATCGTTGAAGAACAACCACCGGCAATGGAATTATCAAATCTCAGTTTAAACTAAAAAAAAAAAAAAAAAAAAAAAAAAATACTTATTTATTTAATAAAATAAATAATTTTTTTATTTAATAATTATTATTAATAATAATTAATTATTAATTAATAATAGTAATTAATAATTAATAATTACTATTATTAATTAATAATTAATTATTATTATTATTATTAAGTAATAATTATTATAATTATTAAATAATTAATTTTTTTTAATTAAATTACTAAATTTATTAATTAATTTAGTTAATTAATTAGTTGCTTTATTTATTAAATAATTTATTTGCTAATTAAATTTTTCTTTACTGTTTTCTTTTTTTTTTTTTAGAATAAGTTAATAATTATATTTTTATAATACAAAAATATTGTATTTAAAAGAATGCACTTTCTGTAAAAAAAAAAAATAAATTTTTTCATTTCTCCATTTATTCAATTTTCTCGAAACCTAAATTTTGTAAACAGTAATTAATATATTTAATTTTTAATTTAATATTTAATTAAAATATATTAAGTATATATATTATAATAAACGAATTTAAAAAAAAAATGGAAAACAAAATTTTAAATTTCACGGAACAAAACTTGACTAATTTTTTTTCTAATACTTCCGTTCCAAACAGTAACATAACCTCAAAAAATAAAATTTCGTTCTTCTCTGGCGTGTGACAAATTTTCCCATTTCGAGTTATTTTTTTTTAAAACTAATTGTCAAAAAAAAGAAAAGAAAAATAAATCAAAAATTCATTTGCCAATGAAATATGTTTTTTTTTCCCCCTGATAAAAGTGAAAAAATAACAAAACTTGTGTATATTTGTGACAAACAACGTCATTGTCGTATTGCGTGATCATTTTGCGAAAAAAAGGTGAGAGATTAATTTTTTTTGCAATTACCGTCATGAAAAATTATTTTCATTAGTGTTACTATTTTTTTTTCAAATTTCAAATTCCGAAATTGCTATACAAAAAAAAGTTAACCTATAAATCTATTTTTCCCTCATTGCCTTATTTAGCCAATTCTTCATTTCTCTATTCAGTGGAAAAACGAAAAATAAATTGTTTTTTTTTTTTAATAAAATCAAAATATCGTGGCTAATAATTGAAAATCATTTTTGTAAACAAAGAAAGCACGTGCTTTTATTTTGATGGTTAATTTTGTGTTGCTTTTTTTTGGTTATGGTTATGGTTTAGAACTGTCAAAAAAAGAAAATTCGATGGTTTTAGTGTACTTTAGGAATACATGGACAATTTTGTACACGTTTCTGATTGATTGACAAATAATAAACAATTGAAAACGCTCTCTAACCTCAAAAATAAATAGCAATTTTCCCCTAATTATTGTAATCTAGAGGAATTCACCAATAGAAGGCTTTGGTGAAGTTCTTCTATTGGCGGTTTTCATTTATAAATATTCTGGACAAAATTTTGTGGCATCAAAATCGCTTTCATGAAAATCAAATCAAATTGGCGGGTAAATTTGAATTATTGAAAATTATTTTTATAAATACAAGAATTTTTTTTATTATTAATTTTTCCTTTTGTTAATTTAGAAAATTGAAATTATTATTTATTTGCAAATAATTGTTAATTTCTTTAAAAAAAAATGTTTTTCAATTTAATTGTTTTAGAATTGATGGGAAAAATTCAAAATTTATTTACAATTTCAATATTCAAAAAAAGGGGGGAAAATAATTATTAAAATAGTTTTTATAAATTATTTTATTATTTCCATTTATCGATGGATATTTGAATAGTTAGACATTTTGAATAAGGTTAAAAGTATATTTTAGATAAAAAAAAAAGAAATTCGGTATTTTTTTTTCTAAACGAATTTATTTTTTTTATCACCTAAAAATAAAAGTATAATTAAAGGCGGGAATTTTTGAAAATAGTTCCGCTATTCCACCGCTAGAGTGGGCTTTTTCAAATAAAGTTTCGTTTCTCAATATGTATTTGTTCGCATGGGTCACTATCGACGGTTAGTGATTTTCGGAACACGTAGACCGGAAACTGTTGAAAGTGGCGTAATCCCCCCCCACCCCTTGTACATTTGCGGCCTTAAAGGTGGCTTTTTTCGCGATTCATTTTTCTATGCAACAGTTTTATAAATGGCGATGTTTAACTATTTAATTAAGTGGGATAATATGAGAAAATAAACTCCAGTGTCATTGGAGTATTATTAATTCAATTCGTAAATCAAGATAAACGACGAATCCATAAGCACTTGGGTGAGTTTTTTTTTTTTGTGTCTGACCTCTTGTGTTTCCAATTCCAAAAATGAAGCTTCAATTGTTGTTCCTCACTGCGCATCATTTCTTTGATACATTCTCTTTGCGAGTTTTTGTGTCGGAATTTCGTTTTGTTTTCTAATTTTTCCTTATTTCATTTCAATTTTCATTTTTAAAAACTATTATTTCGTTTCGTGGAAAAATGTAATTTTCTGTTTCTTTTTTTTTTTTCCTCTATTAGTAACACAGAGTGTAATCAAAATGGCAAAAAAAAAAAGTCACATTGAATTTTTATTTCTCTTGCACGATGTTTGTTACCATTTTTATTCCTCGTGAGGGGTTTTTTTTTTTTTAAATGGCTTTATGCGGAAATTTTATTTGTAGATTTCGTATTATTTTTCGGTGTTTTTTTTTTTCGATTTTTTTTTAAGGTTATAAATGTTTGCTATTCATTGCATCAGAAAATCGAAATTGCCGGCACGCCTTCATTATTTTTGATATAAAGGAAATAAAATTAAAGGGTAAATTAAAGTGTGCGTATTTAATTTTGATATTTGAATGGGAAATAAATTTTCTTTTTTTTAATATAAAAATACTAAATATTTTTGAATAATTAAAGAAAACTGCAAATTTTGCTAATGAATGTAAAATAATAATTTTCTCCCGCCATTTCGAGAAATAATTTTTTTTTTTTCCCCCATTTTTATTATTTTCGAATTTCTAATCGAAATTAAATTAATTTGTTTAAAGAAAAAGAAAAAAAAATGACTCGAGTTTTTTTTAATTAATGTGAAAAAATTTATTGTAAATAAAATTTTATTATTAGAAATAAATTATTTAATTTTATCCATATTCCTAACCTTTTCGATGTATATTTCCAATATATATATATATATATATAATTATTATTTTTATGTTTAATGAATTATTTTTTAAAATAGTTTAAATAAATTAAAGGATGCTTATTTTTCGTTAAATGAATTTTAAATTTAAAAATTTTGTGACAGCGTGTACGTTTGTGTCTTTATAATTAATATTTGTTTTTGTTTTTGTTTCTTTTTTTTTTTTTAATTTAAGAAAAAAAAATGTGAATTAGGTTAAATTAAATATTCGTTTTTTTTAATCCGTTCAGTAATGAATTATTTTTAAATTAAAAGGATTAATTTCTTTTTACTATTTTATGGAAAATAAGTTTTCTAAAATTATTTTTATAATAATTCTTAATATTACTAATATTATTACTATAATAATAATAATTATTATTATTATTATTATTATTATTATTATTAATATTATTTTTTTTAATTGTATAAACGGACTTACAAAATAGAAGAATAAAAACAAAAATTAATATTATTATTATTATTTTTATTAGTATTTAATATTTTTTTTAAATATTATTATTAATATTATTAGTAATATTTTTATAATATTATTCTTATTATTATAATTAAATAAAAATAAGCATTTAATTTCATAAAAATGTGTGATTGTTATTAATTTTATTTTATTTATTTATTTATTTTTTTATTTTATTTAAATAAATTTCATTTTGTCGAAATTTTCGTAGATATTTTTTCATTGGCACGAAAAACTTCGACTTGTGAATGATTTTTTTTTTCTAATAATAAAAATAACAAAATTTGCAATAAAAAAAGTAAATTAAATTTAAATTAATTAAATTTTTCTTATCAAAATTCATTTACTTTTCATTGTTTATATATTAATTTAAATATTTAAAAAAATTTTCTTCGAAATTTAAATAAATAAATAAATTTTTATTATAAACAAATTTATTGGAATTATTGTTTTATTTTTGCAAATTTTTTTTATTTATTTACTTTTTTTTTTATTTGCACTGAAGAATTTGATTTAAATTTTTGTAGTTATTTATTTATTTATTTATTTTAAAACTTATACTAATTTATTAACAAAATCTATTTATTTATTTATTTTTTTCAAAACTTTTACTAATTTATTAAAAAAATCTATTTATTTATTTATTTCAAAACTTATACTAATTTATTAAAAAAATTTATTTATTTATTTATTTATTTATTTTATTTACACTATAGAATTTGAATTATTTTTTTTGTTTTTTGTTATTTAATTATTAATTATTGTTTTTACAAAGAAATTTTATTTACTTAATTACAATTTGCGGTCTTTATTTGCGGGTTTATTAATTTTTTATTTTTTAAATAAAATGTTGAAAAAAAAATTAATAATAAAAAATTGATCAATTTATTCGATGTGGTCCCGTTTATTTTTGAAATAAATTATTAGAAAATTATTAATTAATTTTTATTATTCATAAAATTATTAGAAAATTATTAATTAATTTTAATTATTCATAAAATTATTAGAAAATTATTAATTAATTTTAATTTATTATTATTATTATTATTAGAGAATTATTAATTAATTTTAATTATATTCATAAAATTATTAGAAAATTATTAATTAATTTTAATTATTCATAAAATTATTAGAAAATTATTAGAAAATTATTAATTAATTTTAATTTGTTATTAAAATTATTAAAAAAACCATTAATTAAATTTAATTTTATTTTATTTTTTATTAATTTTTTCATTTTTATTTTTATTTTATTTTATTTTTTTTTATTTTTAATTTGAAAATTAAAGAAAATTAAAAATATAGAAATTATTTTTCTCGTATTTAATTACAGTGTTAATTATTAAGTCGATAATAATTATTGGCTTAATTAGGCAAAAAAAAAGAAAAAATCGTACACTCTGTCAAAGTTTGCAATGGTTTCTGAAAATGTGGTTTTTTCTCACCTTTTTGTAATTAAATGCAAAAAAAAAAAAAATGTTAAATCAGTGTCCTTTGATTTCTTTTGTAAATATAAATTATTTTAGTTGCATGTCTATTCACTTTAATTTGATTTTTTCTACATTTTTTTTATAATTCGTAATTTTTTTTTTTTTATTATTTGTAGTTTTTTTTTTATTTTTATAATTTGTCTTTTTTTTATATTTCGTTTTTTTTTATTATTCGTATTTTCTTATAATTTCGTATTTTTTATAATTCGCATTTTTTTATAATTCGTGTTTTTTATGATTCGTATTTTTTTATAATTCGTCTTTTTTATGATTCTTTTTTTTATAATTCGTCTTTTTTATGATTCGTATTTTTTTATAATTCGTCTTTTTTATGAATCGTATTTTCTTATAATTTCGTATTTTATATAATTCGACTTTTTTATGATTCGTATTTTTTTTATAATTCGTCTTTTTTATGATTCGTATTTTTTTTTTTTATAAATTCGCATTTTTTCATAATTCGTCTTTTTTTATAATTCGTACTTTTCTTATATTTTTTTTTTATTATTCGTATTTTTTATAATTCGTACTTTTTTATAGTTCGTCTATTTTTATGATTCGTATTTTTTTATGATTGGTACTTTTTTATAATTTGTCTTTTTATGATTCCTAATTTTTTTTTTTTTAATAATTCATCTTTTTTTACGATTCTTACTTTTTTATAATTCGTCTTTTTTACGATTCCTAATTTTTCATTTTTTTTTACAATTCGTACTTTTTTTATTTATTCGATTTTTTTTAATTCTTCATTTTTTTACACGTTTTCCACTTTTTTTTCGTATAGAGTATTAATTTTGCTATAAAAAAAAAATTCTAACAAAAAAAAAAAAAAAATAAACCAAAATCAAATTAACGTGATAAAAATTTCTAGTCTTGTTTAAATTTAATTTAAATTAATAAAAATTTTTTTTGTTTGGAAAAAAAGAATAGAATTGAATTGAATCAAAGTGAATATGCTGAGAAAATAATAATAATAATAATAATAAAAGATTTTATTATTTGCAAATAATAATAATAAAAAAAAAATGATTATAAATAATAACTGAAATAATTATTATTAGTAATAAAAAAAAATTTATTATTACAAATAATAAAAAAAATTATTATTATAAATAATAAAGGAAAATTATTATTATAAATAATAAAAAATTATTTGTAAATAATAATAAAATAATTTTTTTTATTAGAAATAATGAAAAAAAAATTATTATAAATAATAAAAAAAAATCTTTTATTATTCTAAATATTAAAAAAAAAATTTTTTATTATAAATAATAAAAAAGAAAATTATGTTTGTTAGGTCACATTTCCAGATACCAGTGCGTCGCTTTGCAGAATGATGATTTTGACGGGCTTGTGTATATTGATGCACTAGCAACGAATTCTCGTGTCACGAGAAAAAGAAAAAAGAAAAATAAAGAGAACGAAAGAGAGAGAGAGAGAAAGAGAAAAATTACGCTAAATGTAAAAAAAAAAAAAAATATTGGCAACAAAATTTTTTTTGATAATTATTAATTAAATAAATCTTGATACATATTTTTAATATGGCTCAGCATTATAATATTTCTCTTGAAGACGTACAAAGAATATATTCAGTTGATGGACAAAGTCTTCGATTTGTTGTTGGTGATCTTAATAATGGTGGGAATGGTTCATCGCAAATTATTTATACCGTTCCACAAAATAATCCACCGGCAATATATCCCCAAACTATTAATTTAGCGACACAATTGGATCAACGGTAAATTTTTCGTCTCTCGAGTTTTTTTTTTTTTCTTTTTTTTTTTCCTTTTTTTCTATTTATTTCTCTATTAATTAATTTTTTTAATTTCTATATTTATTTCTCTATTAATTATTTATTTCTGTATTTTTGTATTTTTTTTGTATTTCATACGTAATTATATTTATTTATTTATTTATTCCCTTTTTTATAGTCGATTTTTTAATTACTAATTTAAATTTTGTTCTTTCAGACAAAGTGTTTATATAATTAAAACAAATGAATCGGCTGGCACACAGAATATTATAAAGGCGAATACAGTTGCAACTCATTTAGTTGCTGAAAACGTAAATTTCGTCGAAGCAAAAGGTAAAAACAACAAATATATTTTTCTTTTTTTTTTTTTTTTTTTTTTTTTTTTTGAGAATATTTTCTATAAATTTTCTTTTTTCGGTTTCTTTTTTTTTCCAGAATCGAAAGCATCGACAAACAATGTCCAAGAGGGACAACAATCTCAATGGATAAATGTTCAAGACAACAAAATCAGTTACGAGTCAGTTTTGAAACAATCGACAACAACTTTGAAAACACAACCAAAACTTCAACAACAAAACAATCTTTCAACGGTAAAAATATTCAATTTTTTTTGTTTTTTGTTTTTTTTTGTTATTAATTCAAAAATTAATTTTTGCATTTAATTTTCTTTCTATTTCTACAAGAGTTGGATTTTTTTTTTTTTGTTATTAATTCAAAAATTAATTTTTGCATTTAATTTTCTTTCTATTTCTACAAGCGTTGGATTTTTTTTTTACCTTTTTTCTTTTTCATTTGCGACTTTTTCGATTTATTATTATTAAAAATAATTGAAAATTTATTAATTTACATTAAAATCAATATTACTGTGACTCTTTTCTCTCAAAAAAACTAACTTTTGGCAAAATTCAATTATTTTTGAGAATTTTAATATCTTAAAAATTTTTTTGGAAATTTATTATTTTCTATAATTTTGATAAATTTTCTTCGAAAATTCAATTATTTAACAAACTCAATTATTTTTACATATTAAATTTATTAAAAAAAAAGAAAGTTATAAAATCTATTTTTTCCACTTATTACATTTACAAATTTTGAAAATTCGATTATTGAAAATATTATTTAATAATTTTTTATTTTAATTGTCTGTAATTTCAAAAAAAAAAAAAAAACAAAAACAAAAATCTTTAACCATTGAATTTTTTAAAAATTTCAATTTAAAATCTCTTGAAATTAAATTATTTCAAATATTTTTTGAAATTATTTAATTTACAAATTTCTAAAATATTCAATTACTTTTTTAAATATTTTTTATTTAATTAAAAAGTGTTTTTAAATATTCAATTATTATTTGTAATTTGTTAAAAAAAAGAAAGGAAATTTTTTACAAATTCAAAAATTAATTTAAAAAAAAAAAATTTCAATTTAAAATTTTCTTGAAATTCAATTATATTTTTCTAAAAAAATTTTAAATATAAAACATTCAAACTTAAATAACATTTTTTTTTATTTGAAATTCTTTTGTAAATTAATCATTTTTTTTTTTTTTTTATTTGAACTTTTTTTGTAAATTAATCATTTTTTTTTTTTTTTTTTTTTTTTAATAATATTCAATCAATTTGTTTCAATTTAAATAATTTTTATTTAGTTTTTTTTAAAAATAAATAAAATAATAATTTTTTAATTAGAAAAATTTTCTAAAATTGAAAAAAATAAATAAACATTTTTATGTAAAAATTTCCACAATTTTTCATCTTATTTAAAAAAAAAAAAAAAAAAATTGGTTGAAATAATAATAATAATAATTTCAAAATGAAAAAATATATACTTAAACGCTTAAGGCGCTAATAATAATAATAATAATAATAATAATAATTATTATTATTATTATTATTTGTCCCGTTATGTTTCTAAATAAACAATTAAAAATAATAACAATTTTTTGTGCTTTAAATTTGTTCCGAGGGTTGTATTAATTTTTTCTTTTTTACGAATTGAAAATTATTTAATTTTACCATAAAAATGCCTTTTATATAAATATAAAATTAATTTAAAAAAAAAAAAAAAAAAAAAAACACCTTTAAAAAAAATAAAGAAAATAAAAAAAGTGGAAAATAATTTTTTTCATTTTGCTTCCTCGTGGAGGGAAGTTTTTTTTTTTTTTCTTTCTCTAAATTCGATTCAAAGCCTAAAAATGGCAAAAATTAAATTAGTTTTAAATAAGAGAGATTGAAAAAAAATTCCAAAAAAGGCGTAAAATAATTTTTCATATTTTTTTTTTTTGTCATTATTTAAAAAAAAAAAAAAATATTGTGGAAATATATTTTTCAATTTGAAAAAAAGTCGTGTAATTTTCTTTGGCAAAAGCGCCGAAAAAAAAATAGAAAATAAATTTATTAGAGAAAATATTTTTTTAAATATCTTTTCTTTTCTTTTCTTTTTTTTTTTTTTTTTTTTCTCTCAACTTTAGGTTGTTCTGCAAACGCAGGGTCATTGTTCGCAGCCGGAACTGCAAGTTTATGGCTCCATGGAGAAAAAAGGACCGCGCTTCACTCAAGCAAGAGGGAAAAATCCCCAATCACAAAGTGGATTATTAACAGGACTAACAACAACAACAACAACAAGTCCACGTAATCCAACATCTACCGATCATCTTTTAAATTCACAAACACCACGTTTTATTTCACCAACATTAACACGCGCTCGTCCACCATCAAATAATGAACAAATTGTACGCGCCGTTCGTCCATTACAAAATCCCCAACAAATTTCACGTAATTCACCTCATATTTTACAAAGAAATCTTAATCGCAGCGTTGGAGGAGGAGGAGGAGGCGGCGGTGGTGGTGGTGGTGGTTTAAATTCCGGCGATATTGATCATTTAAGCGAAAGAATAAAACGTGAGAAATTAAAATTCGCCCAAATGAAACAGGATCAAGTACAAACGGAAAAACAAGTTTTATATCGTTCGGTAAATCAAAAAACTCCAATAATCACACAAAGACCATTAACACAAAATACAAGACCAATTCAATATCGTCAAAATACAGCAGTTCGTTTACAACAGGGACAAATGACACCGCGTTCATTACAACAACAACAACAACATCATCGAATGTTATCACCAAATCAACAGGGATTTATAAGTCCAGTTAAAACTGATCAACGTCAAAGAATTATTGTTAATTCATCATCATCGTCATCATCATCGTCGTCAACGTCATTATCGCCTCAAGTTTCACCGCGGCAAAGAGTAACATCAACAGCTAATACACCAATAAGAGGTGGTAATTTATTACAAAATAATAATGAACAACAAGAAATTTGTGAAAGAAAAATGACACAGCAAAGTTGTACGCCTAAATCAGAATTGGAACAACAAAATTCAAGTGAAAGTTATGCATATTTACAAAGAGTTATTGCTGATCCACATACGGCAATTGTACAACAACAAATAACTGGCAATGTTGCAAAGATGCTGGTCGTCTTACTTGATGGTGAACAGAGATTAATTACATTTGATATTCCAATTGAGGAGTGTACTGTTCAGGATCTATTAGAGCAGGTACGGGTATGTCTACCTTTCGTTCCTTTATTATTTTAATATAATTTTAATAACATCCTTTAATTTTTTTTTTTTTTTGTTTTTCCTCAGGTTTTGGATTTTTTTTGCCACTTTTGTGATTTTGTTTTCTTCCTGTTTTTCCTTTTTTTTTAAAATTTTTTACTCGTAATTAAATGTATTTTTTAACAGAGATGGAGTAATTTTTATTATTTTAAAATTCTAACGCAGAATGTCCGAAGGACTGGACGAAGTCGCTTTGCAATAGAGTAGAAGCGCCACCCTCGAAGGCAAATAAATGTCTTCACGACAGTACCGAGGGTGGATAAAAGGGCTCCCAAGAAGGGTTGACGGGTTTTTAGTGGGTCGAGGCTGTTAGTAGTTCGCCAGCTTATTTTGTTTAGTGTTCTCTCTTTTTTTTTTTTACCAACCCCACATAACATTGGCATGCGGAAGCCAAGGTATCTGTATACAGATTTCCCCCCAAAAAAAAAAAAAGCAGGGCTGGAGTTGATTTAAATCAGAATTTTAATCGAAGGGGTTTTTATTACAGTTCAATTTTTATTATTTTATTTTTTTATTATACACGGATATTTTATAATTAATTTTTTTCATATATTTTGAGATTCAAAATACCACAAAGTATAAAATTACAAAAAATTTATTTTTCCAAAGTAGTAAATTTTTAAAAGTAAAACTCCCAAATTATTAAATTTCCAAAGGTAAAATGTTCCAAAAGTATAAAAATACAGAATTTATTTTTTCAAATGTAAAATACCCTCCCAGCCCCCCAGCCCCCCTCAAGTATAAAATTTCCAAAAGTAAAATGTCCCAAAATTTATTTATTTTAAAGTAGAAAATTTCCAAGGTAGTAAATTTTTAAAAGTAAAACTCCCAAATTATTAAATTTCCAAAGGTAAAATATCCCAAAAGTATAAAATTACAGAATTTATTTTTTCAAATGTAAAATACCAAAAATTTTCAAAAGTAAAATGTCCCAAAATTTATTTATTTTAAAGTAAAAAAATTCCAAAAGTAAAATGTCCCAAAATTTATTTATTTTAAAGTAAAAAATTTTCAAAAGTAAAATGTCCCAAAATTTATTTATTTTAAAGTAGAAAATTGCCAAAAATTAAATCTCCCAAAATATAAAATTACCAAACATAAAATGCCACAAAGTATAAAATTACAAAAATTTATTTATCCAAAGTAGTAAATTTTTAAAAGTAAAACACCCAAATTATTAAATTTCCAAAGGTAAAATATCCCAAAAGTGTAAAAATACAGAATTTATTTTTTCAAATGTAAAATGTCCAAAAAGTATAAAAATACAGAATTTATTTTTTCAAATGTAAAATGTCCGAAAAGTATAAAAATACAGAATTAATTTTTTCAAATGTAAAATCCCCCCCCCCCAAGTATAAAATTTCCAAAAGTAAAATGTCCCATAATTTATTTATTTTAAAGTAGAAAATTTCCAAAAGTAAAATGTCCCAAAATTTAATTATTTTAAAGTAGAAAATTTGAAAAAGTAAAATCTCTCGAAATATAAAATTACCAAACATAAAATGTCCCAAAGTATAAAAGTACAGAATTTATTTTTTCAAATGTAAAATACCAAAAATTTCCAAAAGTAAAATGTCCGAAAATTTATTTATATTAAAGTAGAAAATTTCCAAAAGTAAAATCTCTCGTAATATAAAATTATCAAATGTAAAATGTACCAAAGTAAAAAATTTAAAAAAATTTGTTTGTCCAAAATTTAGAATATCCGAAAGTACAAAATTTACAACAATAAAATGTCTCTAAATTTACTTTTACCAAAAGAAAAAATTTCGAAAATACCGAAATTTACCAAATAAAAATGTCTTTAAGTATTAAATTTCAAAATTAAAATTGTCCCAAAAGTATAACATTTCCGAAGAATAAAATTTACCAAAATAAATTTTTCCAAAGTAGAAATTTTCCAAAAGTAAAATTTAAAATGTCCCAAAAAATGTATTTTTCCAAAATATAAAATTTCCAAAACTACAATGTCCCAAAGTACAAAATTTACAAAAATTTTTTTTTTCCAAATGTAGAATATCCGAAAGTACCAAATTTACAACAATAAAATGTCCCAAAATTTACTTTTCAAAAGTAGAATATTTCCAAAAGTATAAAATTAACGAAGAGAAAAATATTCAAAAATTTATTTTTCTAAAGTACCAAAATTCCGAAATTTATTTTTTTTTTTTTGTTAAATGTAGTGAGTAAAAAGAAATTTAATTTTTTAAAAAAATCAGATTTAAATCGAAAAAATCGGTATTTTATTTTTATTTTTTAAGAAAAATCAGTTTTATCAGCCCTGCTTTTTAATATTGTAGGCCTAGAAAAATTTTATAATTTAAATAAAATTTTACATGAATTGGAAAAAAAATGTTCAGGGTATTTCGTTTATTAATAAGTAAATAATGAATTTTTTTTCAATTAAAATTTTGCTTATTTTTCAAGGTTTCTCGAGAACGTCTAAATTAAAATTTAAATAGATTAAAAAATTTAGATGTAAATTCAATTTTGGTATTAATTGAAATTGAAATCGTTTAAAATTTTGAATAAATTTGAATTTTGTATCAATTAAAACTTGAATATGTTGAAATTTAAGAAAAAAATTGATCTTCTTTGATAAAAAAAAAAAAATTAAATCAATTGAAATTTGAATTAATAAAAATTTGAAAAAAAAATGGAATTTTTGATCATTTGTGAAATTTAAATCGATTAAAATTTAAATTAATGAAATTAGGAAAAAAAATTCACTTTTTTTGATTGAACCTTAAATCGATTGGAATTTAAATTAATAAAAATTATTATAAATTAAAATTTCCATCAAATTTAAATTGATTGAAATTCGAATAAATCGTTTTTTAGATTGATTAAATTTATTTATTTATTTATACATAAATTTGAAGATTAATTAAAATTATTTCAATTTAATTACAATTTTAATCGAAAAAAATGCTTTAACTAATTTAAATTTTAATTGTCATTTTTTCTATTAAAAAAAGAAAAAATAATAATTTTATTAATCTGACGAAAACGTTTATCAATTTGAAAAGGATTAATAGTTTCATTTCTTTTGCTAATTAAAAAATTGTTTTTTTTTTTTATTTTTGTCTCTCATAGGTGAATGTTCCTTTTGGTGCGGAGAATACTGTTTCTCTTGTGAACGATCCAACTCTCGGGATAAATTATATCGTTGAAGTGCAACCGCCCGCAGAGTCAGGAAACGAGCAGAACGATGGAAAATGTCGTTCACAAGAAACACCGAAAAATTGTATTCGAAGTCCTTCGCCCACCATGAGGTAATTTAAAAAAAAAAAAATTTAATTTTTTTAAATTTAATTTGATTCAATACAAAAAAAAAATAATTTATTTAATTTTATTTATTTCAACACAAAAAAAAAATAATAATTATTTATTATTATTTATTTCAACACAAAAAATAATTATTATTTATTATTTTTTCACTAAAATAAAAAAATAATTAATTAATTAATTCTACGAATTAATTAACTAAATTAACAAAAAAAAAAAAACAGATTTCTTTTTACTTTAATAATTTCTCCCTTTTTTTCTTTCAGTCTCCAATTCGATGAAAATAGCAACTCATCAACATCACAAATTGAGGTAATTTTTTCTTTTGTGAGAGAGAGGAAAAAAGAAAGAAAAAAAAAAATATCATTTTTTCCTTAAATATAAAACGATTTGCATATTTCATTTTTCTTAAAAATTAAAAACCAAAACAAAATGTGTTTATCATTACAATTATCATCGAACATAGCGGAAGACCAAATTTTCATTTTTTTTTTTTTTTTTTTTAATTATTGTGAGAAAAAAAAAAAAAAAAACAGTTTTCGTTTCAATTTTTATTTTCAATTGTGTTAGTAAGCAAAATTAAGAATTTTTATGGGAAGCAGGAGCCAAAATATGTGGATGGAAAGGTTGCAGTCTGTCCTTATTGCGGAGTACTCTCATCAACTTTCAACCAATGCGAGAGATGTAAACGAAAAATGCCCGATAACGTCAAGTCAGTGTCTGATTCACGCGGCGGGAACAAGGACGCCAAGGATAACGTTTTATCTTGCGACGTAAGGAATACAAAAACGAAAATCAAAATATTGTTTTTTTTAGAAAGAATTACCAAAAAAAAAAAAAAAAGAAAAAGAACCGAAAAAAAAAATTATATATCTGGACTTCCCCTATCGTCGGCTGATGATTGGAAAACTGCAAAACATTTTTCTTGTTGTTACTTTTTTGCTGAAATGAATTTTTTTTTTTTTTTTTTTTTTTGTAATTTTAAGTAATTATTTTCTTTTTTTTCCAAATGTGATTAATAATTTTGTCGAAAAAAAAGAGAGAGAAAATTAATTAGATGTTGACATTAAAAAAAAAAAAAAATGAAGGGAATTTTTATTTACTAATTTATTGTATTTTATAGAATTTTTATAAGAAAGTGGAACTACCTTCAAGCAGGCCGGAAAAATTGGAGAGAGAAGGAGCACCTGTTAGAGGACGAGGAAGAGGAAGAGGTGGAGCTCGATCGCGAAAACCAATAAAAGAACCAGGTATAATATTTATTTACAAATATATATTCTAATTTTTGTTTTATTAATTAATGAACGATATTTATTTTTTCCCTAAAAAGTTCCTTTTTTTCACTATTTGGACCTAACAGTATAATTGAAAATTTTCCCTAAATTTCCCCTATTTTTCAAAAAAAAAAGAAAAAAAAAATTAACATTTAAATAAAAAAAAAATCTCAAAAAATTCAATTATTTCTAAATATTTTAACTAAAAAATTTTCAAAATAGAATTATTTTTATCAAAATTTTATCAAAAATTCTGTATTAAATTTTATTATTTTCTAATAATTTTTAATCAAGTTCTTTGAAAATTGAATTATTTAAATCATTTTTTCAATTTAAAAATTGTTTAAAAATTCTCTGAATTTTATATATAAAAAAAAAAATTTTAAACTTTTACAATTCAAATTTACGAAAATTTTAATTTAAAATCTCATGAAATTCAATTATTTCTAAAATTCTTTGGTAAATGAATTCAGGCCTCGGATTATACCTACGACTTTTTCGACTTTTTCCGACTTTTTTTTTTTTCAAAAATACGACTTTTATCGACTTATTTTAATGAAATGCGACATTTTTTTTTACATTTGAAAAAAAATGTAAATAAAATACATTTTTCAGTATACAATGCAGATCTTCTTTATTTCAATTATTTAACAAATTTTTAACTAAAATGATTCTTCACTAAATTAATTATTTTTAATCATTTTAATGAAATTCAATTCACAAATTCAATTTTTTTAAACTATTTTTCAAATTAAAATTTTTATATGAAATTTAATAATTGTTTATAATTTAAAGAAAAATTAGTAAATAAAAATTAACAAAAAATTTTTAATTCTAAATCACTTGAAATTTAATTATTTGGGAAAAAATTTCAATTATTTTTAATGATTTTTATAATATTCTTCGAAAATTCAATTATCTGAAAGGAAATTTTCAAATTAAGAACTTTTGGAATTCAATTTTTTTTTTTATGTGATTTCTAATAAATTCTTCATCAACAGAAATCACTAGAAATTTCATTTATTATAATTTTTTGTCTGAAGTTTAACACAATCTTTTGAAATTCAATTATTTTTAAAAAATTTTTTATTTAAAAGGTTCTAAAAATTAATTATTTGTAAAATTTTCCATTTAAAATTTTTTGAAATTCAATTATCTCTCAAAATTTTAATTCAAAAATCAATTAAAATTTAATTATGTTCCAAAATTTCAATTCAAAATCAACTAAAATTCAATTATTTTCAAATTTTTCTATTTAAAATTAACAAAAATAATTCAATTATTTTCCAAATTTTTCAATTCAAAATCAACTAAAATTGAATTATTTTTCAAAACTTCGATTGAAATTCAATTATTTTCTAAAAATTTTAATTCAATATCAAATGAAATTCAATTAATTTAAAAAATTTCAACTTAAAATCATCTAAAATTGAAAAATTCAACTATGTGAAATCATTTTTTTTTTCCAAAACATAAATTATTTTTAGTTCTGTAAAATTTAATTATTCTCTGAAAATTAACAAAAATTTTTTGAAATTTAATTATTTCTAATAATTATATAATAATAAAATGCTTGGTCTGTCCTTCTGTCCTAACTTGAAGTTGGCTTTTTCTAATTTTACGTGTTTTTTTGAATAGTAATCTTATGACGTGTCAATTCTTTTTCTCATTTTTGCCAAAGTTGTATAATTGTGTTTCCAAATTTCGGAATAAGTTTCTTTAAAATTCCAAATTCGAAAATTCAATTCACGAAGCTCAAGTACACAACGTTTACCAACGAAATTTTTTTTAAACTTGTATATTCATTCAAAAATTGTATACAAATAGAAAAAATTTATGATGAGAAAAAAGATGCGCCAGGAAATTTCGTACAAGATAGTAATTTGAAAAAAATTTATTTTTCAAAATTAATTTTTAAGGTACCAGGGGCCAACGAATATCTATTAAATATTAATTATAAATACACAGGCCTCGAATCAACTTAAAGACACAAAAAAGTCGTTTTAGTCGATTTATATTCCGAAAAAAAGTGGATTTGTTTTTTATTTTAACAAAAATATTTTACAGATTTTTAAATAAAAAAATTTTTTTTTAATAATAATCCTTTTTGAAGGGTTTAAAGTTGAAATTTTTAGAAATAATTAAATTTCAAAAGATATTGTTAATTTTCAAACAATTATTAAATTTTACAGAACTAAAAATAATTTATCAAACAATTTTTGGAAAACATTTTTAAAAATTTAATTGAATTTTCAAAGATTTAAAATTGAGATTTTTGAAATTAATTGAAACTTTAAATGTTTTGAAATTAAAATTTTAGATGATTTCACTAAAAATTTATTAGAAAATGCGGACAAAATACAATAATTTGAAAATCATTTTTAATTGAAAAATGGTTTCAGATAGTTGAATTTTCAAAGAATATTATTAAAATAGTTAAAAATAATTGAATTTCCTTAGAGTTATAATTGAAATTATTAAATTTCAAAAAAAAAAAAATTTTTGATGGAAAATTTTAGAAATAATTAAATTTTAGATCCTTTTCAATTCAAATTATTGAAAATTCAATTAATTTTGAATTCAAATTTTTTAGAATAATTAAATTTTATTTGATTTTAAATTGAAAATTTTTGTGAAATAATTGAATTTTAATTGAAATTAAATTGAAACTTTGGAATGTAATTGAATTTTACTTGATTTTGGATTGAAAATTTTGAAAATAATTGAATTTTAATTGATTTTGAATTGAAATTTTGGAAAATAATTGATTTTGAATTGAAAATTTGGAAAATAATTGATTTTAAATCGAAAATTTTGAAAATAATTGAATTTTAGTTGATTTTAAATTGCAAATTTTGAAAATAATTGAATTTTAGTTGATTTTAAATTGCAAATTTTGAAAATAATTGAATTTTAGTTGATTTTAAATTGCAAATTTTGAAAATAATTAAATTTTAGTTGATTTTAAATTGCAAATTTTGAAAATAATTGAATTTCAATTGAAATTTTAGAAAATAATTGAATTTTAGTTAATTTTCAATTTAAATTTTTGGAAAATAATTGAATTTTAGTTGAATTTGAATTCAAAATTTTTAAAATAATTGAATTTTAGTTGATTTTGAATTCAAACTTTTTTAAAATAATTGAATTTTAGTTGATTTTGAATTCAAAATTTTTAAAATAATTGAATTTTAGTTGATTTTGAATTGAAATTTTGGAAAATAATTGATTTTGGTTTGAAAATTTTGGAAAATAATTGAATTTCAATTAAAATTATTCAAAATAATTAAATTTTAATTGATTTTGAATTAAAAATTTTGGGAAATAATTGAATTTTAATTGAAATTTTGGATAATAATTTAATTTAAGTTCATGTTTGATTGAAAATTTGGATAATTAATTTTGAATAGAAATTTTAGAAAATAATCGAATTTTATTTCATTTTAAATTGAAAACTTGGTAAATAATAAAATTTTAAATTGAAAATTTTGGATAATTATTGGATTTTTAATTGATTTTGAATTAAAATTTCGGGTAATAATGTTTATTTTGAATTGAAATTTTTAAAAAATAATTCAATTTTATTGTGATATTTTTTTTTCTTTTAAATTATAAACAATTGTTAAATTTCATAAAAATTTTAATTGAAAAATAATTTTGATATAATTAAATTTTGTGATGTATTTCATTAAAATTATTAAAAATAATTAATTTAGTGAAGAATCATTTTAGTTCAAAATTTGTTAAATAATTGAATTGAAGAAGATCTGAAGAAGATCTACATTTTATACAAAAAAAAAAAAATGTATTTTATTTACATTTTTTTCAAATGTAAAAAAAAATGTCGCATTTTATTAAAATAAGTCGATAAAAGTCGTATTTTTGAAAAATGTCGGAAAAAGTCGTATAATCCGAGGCCTGTAAACATATATAATTTTCATTATTATCATTTAATATGTAATAATATTCTAATAAATTAAATTATTATTTGATAATATTAATCTTTAATTTCTTTATAACAAACAATTAAATACTCAATTTGGCGAGCTTGTGCGCGTTTAATTTTGCTAGTTCTTAATAATATTCTTATAGAATTATTGTTATTACAGAATTAATAAAATGAATTTAATATCTAATAAAATGAGTTATTTAAAGTAAAATATTTAGTAATCAAATAAAATTTTGTTAAAATTGAAAAAATCGACTAAAACGACTTTTCTTGTGCCACTTAAAGTCGATGCGATGCCTGTGAATTATTTATTTATTAAATTTTTTCACAGTAATTAAATTATTTAAAATAATTATTTTTAATTCAAAATTTTCTAAAATTCAATTATTATTGTTTCAAAAATTGTTAATAATTTTCATTAATTCAAATTTAGAATAATTTCAATTATTTTCAACTTAAATTCTTTGTTGAATTATTTCTAAAAAGTAATCTAGTTTTTTTTTCGAAAATTCAATTATTTAAAACTGTTTTTAATTAAAATTTTTCTAAAATTTTATTAATATTTAAAATATTTGCCGAAATTTTGAATTCAAATAATTTTTATAAATTAGATTAAAATTTTCTTTAATAAAAAGAAATTTTTTTTTTTAATTTGTCCTTGAATTCTTGAAAAATTTGTCTTAAATTCAATTTTAAAATGTATTCTAAATAAAAATTTTTGAAAATATTTCTATGATTTATTTTTATTCAAAAATAAATTTATTTAATTTAATTTCTAATTCTATTTCATTTAATTTCAAATAATAAAATATTTAATCGAACAAACAACATCGATATTTTAAGATTTTGGCAGCGATTTTAAAAATTAATTTAATAAAAAAATAAAGAAAATACAATTTGAAATAATTTGTAAAAAAATTTGTTGGGTTTTTTTTTTTTTTTTTAACAGAATGCCTGATTATTTCATCGGACGAGGAGCATGAGAACGAGAAGACTGTAAAGCAAGATGCAGCGAGTCGAATATTTTCAGGAATTAACGAAGGTATGAACATGGAAGAATCGGAATTGATTTTGGAAAAGGAACCAGTAATTACGAATCAAAGTGCCAACTTTGCGTCAGAAGGCATTAAAGGTTCGAGACAAAATTAAATTGGAATTTTTTTTTTTTTTATAAAGGAAAAAAAAGAAAATCTTTTTGGATTTTTTATTTATTTTTCTATTATTTGGTTCCTTCGGTTTTTTCTCTCGAACATCGGGTTTAATAAAATTTCCGAGAAAATTTTTTAATTTTTTTTTTTTACGCTAACTAAATTAAGATTTTATTTTATTTAATTTTTCTTTTTAGGTTCGGAACGTGATTCAGATGATCAAATAACGGAATGTCCGACAAATACAATGCATACATTACTTCATTGTCGAACAGTTAGAATAGGTTCCTATAAATATGTTCCAGTGGAAAATGTTATTATATCCGAACATGGTTTACGTCTTAATGTTCCATTTTTAGAGGATCGTAAGTAGAAAGAACATTATTTATTTTTATTACTATTTCGTCGAAAATACAAAAATTAATTTTCTTTTCTTTTTTTTTATTCGAATAGATAAAAAATTAGTGACCGTTGATGTTAAATTTAAACACATTGTTCGTCTCTTAATTCATTTTGGAAAGGCAATGCCAGTTCTTTTTTTTTATACAACAACGGCAACTGGAGTTATGATTCGCGATGTCTTGGGAATGCAGGATCCAAAGGGACCTTACTTTGATCCGGCCAGTAAAGGTACGTTTTTTCTATTTTTTTTTAAAATAAAATATTAATTTAATAATATAAATAAAAATTATTCATAAAATTAATATTTATTTTTCATTAAAATATTGTATTGAGAGTTGATTTTTTTTTTTAAAAGATCATACGCACAAAAGAATAACGCTTTTGCCTGATAAAATTAACGATGATTCAAAGACAATTTTGAAAACTTTATATGATGGAAAACTCGAGGAATTAAGCCCGAAGGAAGCGAATGATATTCTCGTTAGAGCATCGCCAAAAGACGTGAGTTAATTTTCTATTTCCCCCCCCCCCCACATTAATTTAGTAAAAAAAATTTATGATTTGAAAAAAATGGTTTTTAGTGTATTCAACAAGTTCTTTCGAGACGTTCAAGTGCGCAGACAGCAAGTTCTCATTCTAATACTAATGCCAACGGTGTTATTCAGACGTAAGTTTAAAAAAATATTTTTATTTCCTTTTATAATATAATAAATATTTATTTCTTTTCAAAAATAGAATAACAGTTTATCCACCACCGCCAGCAAAAGGTGGAATAGCAATAAACACAGAGGACTATATATGCCTTGGGGAGGATCAATTTCTCAATGATGTGATAATAGACTTTTATCTAAAATATTTAACCTCAGAAATTCTCACTGAAGATGATAGAAATCGTACACATGTATTTAGTTCATATTTCTATAAACGTTTAACGAGTCCCCATGCATCGGCGGCAATGGACAATAATATGCCACAAACAGCCGCTGGTAAACGTCATGCGCGCGTTCAAAAATGGACAAAAAATGTTAATATATTTGAAAAAGACTTTATTGTTATTCCAATTAATGAACATGCACATTGGTTTCTTGCAATTATTTGTTTTCCTGGTTTAGTTGGTAAAATATTGGCAAAAAATTCAAGTGCAAGTGTAAGTGTAAGTGGAAAAGAAATTGAACAGAAAAATGTACATAAAAGTAAAAGATTAAAAGAAATGAAACTTCAATCAATGACAATTGGAAATACAACAATTACGCCAGTTACAACAACAATTACAATTGATCAAGGTGATGATGGTTCTGAGAGAGATGAAGCGGAGGGTGACGATGAGGAAATGGAAATGGATAGTGAGGATGATGTAAGATTTTCTTCTTTTTTGATATTTTTTTTCTAAATTGATATTTAATTTACTTTTAATTTATTTTATTGAAGGTATTTTTTTTTATAATAATTGAAGATATATATTTAAAGCATCCTGGTTATTAAATTTTAGTTCAAGAATTGAGCTATGACTGTCGAAATGCACAAAAATCGACAAAAAATAAAATAAAAACTCTTAGTTTAAAGATATATATTCAAAGCATCCTGGTTAATACTTTTTGGCTCAAAACTTGAGTCATATATCGGCTAAAAACTTGAGCCATGATTTTCAAAATGCTCAAATTAGAGAACAGTTTTAAGTCTGGAGGTTTTTTTTTTTTAATAATTGAAGATATATATTCAAAGCATCCTGGTTAATACTTTTTGGCTCAAAACTTGAGTCATATATCGACTAAAAACTTGAGCCATGATTTTCAAAATGCTCAAATTAGAACAGTTTTTAGTCTGAAGGTTTTTTTTTTTTTAATAATTGAAGATATATATTCAAAGCATCCTGGTTAATTATTTTTCGGCTAAAAACTTGAGCCATGATTTTCAAAATGCTCAAATTAGAACAGTTTTTAGTCTGAAGGTATTTTTTTTTTTAATAATTGAAGATATATATTCAAAGCATCCTGGTTATTTATTTTTGGCTCAAAAATCGAGTCATATATGTCGAAACGCTCAAAATTCGACAAAAAATAAAATAAAAGCTCTTAGTTTAAAGATATATATTCAAAGCATCCTGGTTAATACTTTTTGGCTCAAAACTTGAGTCATATATCGACTAAAAACTTGAGCCATGATTTTCAAAATGCTCAAATTAGAGAACAGTTTTAAGTCTGAAGGTATTTTTTTTTTTAATAATTGAAGATATATATTCAAAGCATCCTGGTTAATTATTTTTCGGCTAAAAACTTGAGCCATGATTCTCAAAATGCTCAAATTAGAGAACAGTTTTTAGTCTGAAGGTTTTTTTTTTTTTTTTAATAATTGAAGATATATATTCAAAGCATCCTGGTTATTTATTTTTGGCTCAAAAATCGAGTCATATATGTCGAAACGCTCAAAATTCGACAAAAAATAAAAGCTTTTATTCTGTAGGTATTTTTATTAGGGTGTCTAACGATCAGGGAATAGTCAGGGAATTACTTTAATTTTTTTGGAATTTTTTATAAATAAATTAAAGTAACTATTAGTTTCAAAAAAAAAATTTTTTTTGACTTTTTTCCCAAGGCAAATGAAAATTATTTTTTTTTTTCAGTTAAATATTTGGTTTCTTAAATATAAATAAAAATTATTTGATATAATTTTATTTTATCGGTTTCAACTTCAAATAAAGTAAATTATTCATTAATACGAATAATTTATTATTTAATGCCAATAACCACATTTAACTTATAAAAATTTTTCACGGCGTCGAATATTAAATTATCGAATTTCTATTTTTGAAAATTGTATAAAGTGGAATTTATATTATGCAAAATTTTCAATTTACATTTAACTAAAATTCGATTTAATTTCTATTTATCAAAACTCTTAGAAAGCATTTTTTCTAATATTTTTTTTTTTTTTAAAATTTTAAATTAATATAATTTTAATTTAACGAAATTTATGTCTACAAAAATTGACAAAAAAAAAGAACTAAGTAGAATTTTTCTTAAATGAGAATTCTGTTAAATAAGAATTAGTTGGAATTAAAATTTTCTTTAATGAAAACTTTGTTTAATTAAGAATTTTGTTAAATAGAAATTCTGTTAATTGTGGATTTATTTAATGACAATTCTTGTTAAGTAAATATTTTGATAAATCGAAATTTACTAAAATAACAATTCAGTTAAAAAAAATTTCAGGCAAATATTCATCAAGTTTTACAGATTTTTAAATAAAATTTCTTTTTTAAATCATAATAATTTTGGAAGAGTTAAAGTTGAATTTTTAAGAAATAATTGAATTTCAAAAGATATTGTTAATTTTCAGATAATAATAAAATATTTTACAGAACTAAAAATAATATATTAAATAATTTTTGGATAACATTTTTTAAAAGTAATTGAATTTTCAAAGATTTATAATTTCGATTTTTGAAATTAATTGAAATTCAAGTGATTTTTAATTTATAATTTTTGATGATTTGAACCAAAAAAAAATTTATTAGAAATATTGCTGACAAAAATACAATAATTTAAAAACTTTTTGAAACGAAAAATGGTTTTAGATAGTTGAATTATCCGAAGAATAAATTAAAAATAATTGAATTTCAGGAGAGTTTTAATTGGAATTATTAAATTTCAAAAAATTTGAGATTGGAAATTTAAGAAATAATTAAATTTGGAAAATAATTGAATTGTACTTGATTTTTAATAGAAATTATGAAAAATAATTGAATTTTGGTTGACTTTGGATTGAAATTTTTTTAAATAATTGAATTTCAATTGAAATTTAAAAAATAATTAAATTTTAGTTTATTGTGAATTAAAATTTTTGAAAATAATTGAATTTTAGTTGATTTTGAATTGAAAATTTTGAAATTAATTGTATTTCAATTGATATTTTGGAAAATAATTGAATTTTTTTAAATTTTGGATTGAAAATTTTGAAATTAATTGAATGTCAATTGACATTTTGGAAAATAATTGAATTTTTTGTTGACTTTGGTTTGAAAATTTTGAAAATAATTGAATTTTAGTTGATTTTGAATAGAAATTTTTTTTAAATAATTTGAATTTCAATTTTGAAATTTGGAAAATAATTGAATTATAGTTGATTTTGAATTGAAAATTTAGAAATTTTGTTTAATTAAGAATTTTGTTCAATAGAAATTCTGTCAATATTGAAATTATTTTCTAAATTCAATTATTTTTAAAATTCAATTCTTTCTAAATTAAAGGCTTTCTAAATTGTAGGAAATTTTTTTACATTTTTCTTTTAAAAATGCGACTAATTTGAAAAATTTCTTCATCAAAAATTAATTAATTTAACAAAATATCTATGTTTTTTTTTTCAGTACAAACTGTAGGTCTTTCAAAATTTAATTTATTTTGAATCTAAAAAGTCTGCGTAGTTTATTATTATTATTATTATTATTATTATTATTATTATTATTATTATTATTATTATTATTTTCAATAATTTTAATAAAAAAATTTTTCTAGAATTCAATTATTTAGAATATTTTTTAATTAAAATTTTTCTAAATTTCAATTTTTTTTAAAATTTAAATAAATAAATTAAGTTTGTTGTAACTTCGTAAAAGAAATTTTTTTCAGCCAAACAAAATAAAAAAAAGAAACCAATTTGTCTAAAAACCTATGAAATACATATCGAAAAAAAAATTAATTTTCACATTGTCATTGTTTTTCTTCTTTTTTTAATTTTTTTGAAAAATAATATTAATTTTTTATGTTAAGGAGGAGATGGAAGAAGAATCGAATATCAAAGCGCAGCCAATACAAGAGAAGACGGAAAAATTGTAAGTTTCCAAAAAAAAAAAAAAAAGGAAAGAAGACTTTTTTATCGAAAAAAGAAATTAAAATATAAATTTTTAGTTAAAAAAAAATGGTTATCAATTTTAAATGATTAAAATTATTGAAAGAATAAAATTATTTAAAGAAATACAATTTTTTTATTTTGAACTAAATATATCAAGGATAAAATGATTATTTTTAATTTAATAAATTAATTTTTATTATTTGGTAATCATTGTGATTGTAAATTTATTTATTTATTTTTATTTCAGACCCTGTATCCTTATATTTGACTCGTTAGCTGGTGCGAGTCGATGTCGAGTTGTCGCTACTTTACGCGATTATCTTTATTGTGAGCACATTGCAAAACAAGGCTCTGAAAAAGTATTTTCCAAAGATACTATAAAAGGCGCCAGTCCAAAAGTTCCACAACAATCAAATTTCATTGATTGCGGTGTCTATGTATTACAATACGTTGAAAGCTTTTTTAAGGTAATTTTTATATTTCACGCATTTTTTTTTTTTTTTAATTTTCAAAATTTAACCAATTTTTATTTTTTTTTTTTTACCTCTAAACGTTGATTCGATAATTTTTATATTAATAAAAATTAAATTACAATTTATAAAAATAATAATTTATTATAATATTAATTAAATAATAATTTATAATAATTTATTATTACTATTTATAATAATAATTAAAAATAATAGGATCCAGTCAAAGATTACACACTGCCGATAAAAACGTTAAAAAATTGGTTCGAGGAAATAGTTGTAACGAGAAAACGTGAGGAAATATCAAAACTTTTAATTGAATTAATGAAAAAAACATCGAAAGGAGATAAATTGATAACATTGCCAAGTGTCAGTTTTCCAACTCAAGATGGAAAATTAAAACCAAAAGCTGAGTCGGAAAAAGGTGAAAAAAATGAAAAGACGACAACGTCAGTGACAAACACGACGTCAACGACGACGACGACGACGACAACAACAACATTAGCAGCAGCAACAACAACAGCAACGACGACGACGACGACGACGATGATGACTTCGACGGCGACAACAACAACAACGACGACGACGATGACTTCATCAAAATTGGAAGAAGGAAAGAGAAAAATGGAGACGGAAGGAAAAACCAATGCCGTTATTGATAATACAGAAAGCACGAGAGAAATTTCAAATAAAATTTCTCTTATTCCATATTCATCGACATCATCATCTAGTTGTAGTTCAAATGAGGGAAATATTCCCGATTTACCCACCGAAATTGTCGCTCCAATTAGGTAAGATTTCATTATTATTATTTTTTTTTTTTTTTAAATTAATTTCAAATTTAGTAAATTTTTTTTTAAAAGAAATATTCAAAAATTCATCGTTTATTTAAAAAATATTTACTAAATTCTAGATCGTCAACTGAAACAATGAATTATTTGAAAGCAAAAAGAATTCAAAGGATAGTAATGAAAAATGATAATTCTGACGATAAGCCAGCAGCAAAAAAACTGAAGAGCGACATCGGTGATGCCTGTAAATAAACGTTATCTTTTTTTTTTTTTTCTTCTTTTTTTAATCAAAAAAAAAAAAAAGATTGTATACAACTAAATTGAGCCACCTTAAATCTATTATGTAATAAAGTATGTAGCTAATAGTTCTTTAAGTAATAATAGTAGTAATAATAATAATAATAATAATAATAATAATAAACACTTGTAAGTCATAAGTGGGAAACTTGTTTTTTTTTAATTTTTTTTTTTTTTGTTTCTATTTTTTTCTTTTTTTTTTTTAATGAACGTCGAATTGATATTTTTTGAGAAAAAACAAAAAAAAAAAATGAAGTAAAAGACGGAAATTTATTTTTATAAAGGGAATTAATATCAAGTTTCTTTCATTCCCAGTTTATTTTTGATCCCTTTTATCTTTCTCTCTTTCTCTTTCTCTCTATTTCTTTATGAAAAATAAAAAAGAATTGTAAAAAAAATGTACTGTTCAATAAAACAGAATTTTTTTTTTCAAAAAAAGTATTTATTTATATTAAAATTTTTACCATATATCGTATAAATTTATATTTTTATAAAAATTTGAAAATATTAAATGAAATTATTAATTAATATTTTTATTTATTTAATTAATCATTATTATTATTAATAATAGTCATTTTATTCATAATTATTATTTTTTATTGTTTTTTTTTATTATTTTTGTTAATCATTATTTTCCCTAGTTATTATTTTTCCTAGTTATTATTTTCCACAATTATTATTTTTCCTAGTTATTATTTGTGATAGTTATTATTTTCCCTAGTTATTATTTACGTACTAGTTATTATTTTCCCTAGTTATTATTTTTCCCAGTTATTATTTGTACTAGTTATTATTTTCCCTAGTTATTATTTTAGTACTAGTTATTATTTTCCCTAGTTGTTATTTTTCCTAGTTATTATTTTAGTACTAGTTATTATTTTCCCTAGTTATTATTTTAGTACTAGTTATTATTTTCCCTAGTTGTTATTTTTCCTAGTTATTATTTTCCCTAGTTGTTATTTTTCCTAGTTATTATTTTCCCTAGTTATTATTTTTCCTAGTTATTATTTTTGTTAATCATTATTTACCCTAGTTATTACTTTTGTTAATCATTATTTTCTCTAGTTATTATTTGTACTAGTTATTTTCCTTAGTTATTATTTTTGTCAATCATTATTTACCCTAGTTATTACTTTTGTTAATCATTATTTTCCCTAGTTATTATTTTTCCTAGTTATTATTTTTGTTAATCATTATTTATCCTAGTTATTACTTTTGTTAATCATTATTTTCCCTAGTTATTATTTTTGTTAATCATTATTTATCCTAGTTATTACTTTTGTTAATCATTCTTTTCCCTAGTTATTATTTTTGTTAAAAATTATTTTTCCTAGTTATTATTTTCCCTAGTTATTTTTCCTAGTTATTATTGATCCTAGTTATTTTTGTTCCTAGTTATTATTTTTCCTGGTTATTATTTTTCCTAGTTATTATTTTTCCTAGTTATTATTTTCCCTAGTTATTGTTCCTAGTTGTTATTGTTCCTAGTTATTATTTTTCCTAGTTATTATTGTTCCTAGTTATTATTTTCCCTAGTTATTATTTTTCCTTGTTTTTTTTTCCTTGTTATAATTGTTCCTAGTTATTTTTCCTAGTTATTTTTTCCTTATTATTGTTCCTAATTATTTTTCCTAGTATTTTGTTTCCTTGTTATTATTGTTTCTAGTTATTATTTTTCCTAGTTATTTTTATCATTTTATATTGTAAATTTATATTTTTTAGCAATTCGAATATTTAATATTATAAATTATTAATTATTATTTGTATAGGAGACAAAAAAAAAAAAAAATGATAAAATTTTTATTTTATTCGCAAAAAAAAGAAAAAAAAATAGGTGAATTTATATAAATAATTTTATTATCATTATATTGAACTAAAAAATAAATTAAAAATTTGAATTTGTAATACCTTTTTTGTTGGAACTTCAATTATTATCTAAAAGTAAATAATAGATAATAATGTGAATTTATAATTATTTTTATTATCGAAAATGTATATATAATTGGTGAAAATTGTGAATTTAGAATATAATTTAATAATTTTTTTTTTTTTTCTATCGAAAAGTATTAATATAGGAAAGAAGAAGTTGACATTATATAATTAATTAATTTTGCGATGAAGATGTTTAAAGTTTTTATTGGAATTGGCGCTCTTCTTTTAATTTGGGTAAAATTAAAATTAATATTAAATTATTTTTTTTTTTTTTATTAAATAATTTTTTTATATTAAAATAATTTGCAATATTTTTGTATTTTTATATTTAAATACTTTTTCTTATTAAAATATTTTTTTATATTAAAATAATTTTCAATATTTTTGTATTTTTATATTTAAATACTTTTTTATTTTAAAATATTTTTTGATATTAAAATAATTTTCAATATTTTTTGATATTAAAATAATTTTCAATATTTTTATATTAAAATATTGTCCGAATTTTTATGTTATTTTACACTTGTTAATGTTTTTTCTTTTTTTTTTTTCCCTTATAGAACAATTTTGTTAATGGCGACGATAATATTTCGGAAGGAAAAAATTCAACTGAAATTATAAATAATTATCGTTCGAAAAATTTAGAAAAATTATGGAATTTTATGAAACATATTCAAAGAATTCTTGAAAGTTTACCATCTATATATGAGACGGCAAGGAAAAATGATTATAATCAACGAATAAAAATCATAGAAAATCATCGAAATGTAAATATATCAAAATTTTCTCCAATTTATTAATTTTTATTTTTATTAAAAAAAAAAAAATTTTATTACTATTTTATTTTGTATTATTTATTTTTGTTATTTATTATTATTTTGACTTTCTATTGTTTAATAATAATAATAATTGTAATAGTAATAAAAATAATTACTATTTTTTTTTTGTATTTAATTAATATATTTGTAATTTTTTTGTTTTGAAATTTTATCGACATTTTTTTTTTCTATTTAATTATATAGGAACTCACGGATTATTATAAAAAAAATTCAATAAATTTTAAATCAAACGAAATATGCATTACACACACTCCAAATCATGAATACGATTCAAATTTTATGTTTTTAAAAAAAAAATTAAATGACTATCTTATTATTGCCGATAATATTGAAATTGTAATTAGGGAAAAATATGAAAATCTTCAAAATAACTATTTAAAAACATGTACAGGAATAAATTCAAAAACAAGAAAATGTGACTTAACAATAGTATGTATAATTTTTATATATTTTTAATGAAATAACAAAAAAAAAAATTTTTTTTTGCTTATTTCTAATAATTATATAATTGAATTTTTTTTTTCTTTTTAACAAATTTTTGCTAATTACAATAATTATATATAATTTAATTCTTCTTCTTCATTTTTTTTTTTAGAATGAGCCAAAATTGGTAAAAGTCATTGATAAAAGAATTGAAAGATCATTTCAATCATTAATGGTATATGTTGATGATTTTTTTAAAAGTATAAAAAAAATAGAAATGAAAATAAATCGAACTAATAAGGAAGCTGAAAATAATTTGGAAAAATTACTTCTTTTAATTGAAATTTGTTAAAAAAAATTTCCGTAATATAATGGATGAAAAAAAAAAAAAAAAAAAAAAATTATTATCATTCAGCTATTAAAATATTTACTCATTTATTTACATAATAAAATATTTCAACTATACTAGAATAATTTTTTTGAAAATGTAAATATATATATAAATTTTCGAATAAATTATTTAAATATTCCAAATTTCGTAATTATGAAACTTGTTATATATGGATTATATTTATATTTGAAAGAAAAAAAAAATTAATGAAAATTAAAATATACTTTGATAATTATTTTATTCGAAATAATTTAAATACTTTTTTTTTTAAAAACAATTTTTTCGTAAACTTTAATTAATTTTATTTTTAATTTATTTTTCTATTTTTATTAATTTTTTTTTTTTTTTTTTTAATATTAAAAATGTCATTTCAATTGAATATTTCATTGATATTTATTAGAGGAAAAAAATAAATAAATAAAAAAAAAAAGTTTTATTATTCTGGGTCCCTTGATTGGACAATTTTAAACGAAGTACTTATTTATAGCAACAAGGTTTTAAGTGCGCCGATATATATATATATATATATATATATATATATATATATTTGTCACTATTATTTTTGTGCTTCCTAAAATATTCAGTAAAACGATTTCTGGCTTTGCAATAATAACTGCGTTAAGAAAAAAAAATTAATTTCTCAAATTGAAATTAAAAAAAAAAAATAATAATAATAATAATTGTGTCCAAATTTGTGCGCGCTTTTTTTTTAAAAAAAAAATGTTACTCGTTTTTTATCAAGAAACTTGCAGCCAATTTTATTAATTTTATATTTATTGGTAAGTTACTTAAATTTTAATTAAATGAAAAAAAAATTATTTCATCAAAAAAAAAAAAGGTAATAAAAATTTATTTCGTAAAAAAAAGAAAAAAATTTACAAATATATAAGGCAAAAATTAAATTTTATAATTTTAATTGGAATAAATTTAATATTTCAATTTATAATTAAAATATACTAATTCCAATTTGTAAATAATTAAAACACATTTTTAATTCCAATTTAAAAATAATTGCAATAAATTATTAATAATAATATAATAAAAATAATAATTTAATTAATAAAATTAAATTATTAAAATACATATTAAAATAATACAAAAATTTATAATTTATTTATTAATTATTGAAATAAAGGTAAATTAATAATTTTTATTGTTTATAAAAATAATTATAAATTTTTAAAATTTTAATTAATTATTAATAATTCAAATGAAAATATTTATTTTATTTTTTTTTTATTTTTCACAATTATCAGTATTTAATTGATTTGTAATCGTCAATAAATAATTATAATAATAATAATAATATTAACTGTAATGGAATTTAAAAAATAAAATTGCATATTGATGAGAGAAGTGAAAGGCTCAACAATATAGTTGACAGTCTTTTTTTTAAGGTTTCAGTAGCAAAACACTCACTTCAAATCGGTTAATAATAATATTAATAATATTATAAACAAGAAATGAGGTTAATTAAACTGAAAATCAATTTTTCAAGATTCTACAAAATTTTTCACATTTGTAAGTAAATTAATATTTAAAATTTTTTTTATTTAAACAGACAAAAATATGTTTAAGAAAATTATTATACTTTATCTTTTTTTTTGAAATACTTCAGTTCACTGCTGCCAAAACATGATCCTTGGAGTTTGCGCCGTTTTTTTAAAAAAAAAAAAAAAAATAACATTTTTAACCTTCAAATACACGGGACTTTTTTCTGCGCAAACTCCATAGATCTGCGGCAAAATTTAAAAATATTAAACAAAATTATTAATTAATATTTTTATTTATTTAATTATTATTAATAATAGTCACTTTATTCCTATAATTATTATTTTTTGTTATTTTTATAAAAACTTTTTTGGTAATTTTTATTGTTATTCCTAGTTATTGTTTTCCCTAGTTATTATTTTTCCTGGTTATTATTGTTCCTAGTTATTATATTTCCTAATTATTATTGTTCTTAGTTATTATTTTCCCTAGTTATTACTTTTCCTAGTTATTTTTTTTCCTTATATTATTGTTCCTAGTTATTTTTTTCATTGTTTTTATTGTTCCTAGTTATTGTTTTTCCTAGTTATTATTTTTCCTAGTTATTATTGTTCCTAGTTATTATTTTTGTTAATCATAATTTTCCCTAGTTATTATTTTCCCTATAGTTATAATTTTCCCTAGTTATTATTTTTCCTAGTTATTGTTTTCCCTAATTATTATTTTTCCTGGTTATTATTGTACCTAGTTATTATATTTCCTAATTATTATTGTTCTTAGTTATTATTTTCCCTAGTTATTACTTTTCCTAGTTATTTTTTTTCCTTGTTATTATTGTTCCTAGTTATTATTTTCCCTAGTTATTATTTTTCCTAGTTATTTTTTTTCATTGTTTTTATTGTTCCTAGTTATTGTTTTTCCTAGTTATTATTTTTCCTAGTTATTATTGTTCCTAGTTATTATTTTTCCTGGTTATTATTGTTCCTAGTTATTATTTTCCCTAGTTATTTTTTTTCCTTGTTATTATTGTTCCTAGTTTTTAATTTTTCTATTTATCATTATTCCTAGTTATTATTTTCTCTAGTTATTTTTCTTAGTCATTATTTTACCTAGTTATTATTGTTCCTAGTTATTATTTTTCCTGGTTATTATTGTTCCTAGTTATTATTTTTCCTAGTTATTATTGTTCTTAGTTATTATTTTCCCTAGTTATTACTTTTCCTAGTTATTATTTTTCCTAGTTATTATTGTTCCTAGTTATTATTTTTTCTGGTTATTATTGTTCCTAGTTTTTAATTTTTCTATTTATTATTATTCCTAGTTATTATTTTTCCTAATTTTTATTTTTGTAACTCCTTATTTTTCCTAGTTATTATTTTTGTTAATAATTATTTTTCCTAGTTATTATTTTCTCTAGTTATTTTTCTTAGTTATTATTTTTCCTAGTTATTTTTTTCCTAGTTATTATTGTTCCTAGTTATTATTTTCCCTAGTTATTATTTTTCCTAGTTATTATTTCCCCTAGTTATTTTCCCTAGTTATCATTTTCCCTAGTTATTATTTTCCCTAGTTATTATTTTTCCTAGTTATTATTGTTCCTAGTTATTATTTTTGTTAATCATAATTTTCCCTAGTTATTATTTTTTCTAGTTATTATTTTCCCTATAGTTATAATTTTCCCTAGTTATTATTTTTCCTAGTTATTGTTTTTCCTAGTTATTATTGTTCCTAGTTATTATTTTCCCCAATTATTTTTTTGCCTAATAATTATTATTTTTCCTAATTTTTATTTTTGTAACTCATTATTTTTTCCTAGTTATTATTTTTGTAACTCATTATTTTCCCTAATTAATTTTTTTCCTAATTATTATTCTTCCTAGTCATAATTTTTGTCAATTGTTATTATTATTATTATTATTATTATTGTTTTGTTTTTATATTTTTTAGACGGAGAATTATTAATTATTTCAAAAATAAAATGACAGCCACACCATTAGCTTTGGGCGTTTCAACATTTTACATTATTTTAACGAGTCTCATTGCACATTGGCTAAGGAAATATGTTTCATTTTACGTTAATCAACCGTTAATAAAATCTTTATTTTTGGAAGCGATTGCCACTGCCGAACTTTGTGGAGGATGCTTTGAATTAATTATCAGTAAGTTTCATTAAATTTCTTTTTTTTTCCTTCAATTACAAAAATTATAATGTTTTTTTTAAAAAAAAAAAATTTTTTGTTTATATAAACAAAAATTATATTGTTAAAAAAAATTAATTTAAAAAAAAAATTGTTTTCATTTATTTCTATTATATTTTATTAATATTTTTCTACATCATATTATTTATTATTATTATTATTATTTAATATTTCATATTTTATTATATATATTTTTTTTATTTGTATTTAATTTATTATTAATTATTATTTATAATTTATTAAAATTTATTAATTATTTTTTTAGAATATATTTTTTTTACATATAATTTCATTGCAAAAATAAAAAAAAAATTAATTAATTTCAGTTGCCGATAATTGGGGAATATCGATGTATGCAATTTATTTATTTTTTATGACAATTTGGTGGTGTTATGTGTGGGGCGATGCAACCGCATGTCCCTATACACATTTAGAAGATGTTGTCGAGGGAAAACAAAGTTTACGTAAAGCATTTTTTTTAATTTGGGCACAATTAATGGGTGGCCTCATTGTTTTTAGATATAATCAATTATTATGGTATCTTGAAATTGTTCCAACGCACAAGGATCGTGCATTTTCCGAATGCAGCACTGATCTTCAGGTTTGAAATAAAATTATTTTTTTTTTTTAAGCAGAGAAAAAAAAAATTTTTTTTTAATACAAGAATGATTTTTTTTAATACAAAAAAATATTTTTTTTAGTACAAAAAACAATTTTTTTTAGTATAGGAAAAAAGGGATACATTCTTTTTTTTTCTTATTTTATTTATTTATTATTAATTTTTTCTTTTTATTAATTTTTTTCGTGTATTTTTTTTTCAAAATTTTAATTACTTTTTATTATTTTTATTTTATGTTTAGTTTTTTTTTTTTTTTGTCAATTATTTTGTAATTTTTTTTTTTTATTATCTTTTGTATTTTTATTTTTTTAAATAATTTTTTATATTTTTGTTTTGTTAATTATATTTTTATTTTTATATTTTTAGATTTATATTTTGTGTGCTTCAGTTATTTTTTTTTTTTTTTAATTTTTTTAAATTTTTCCTATTTCCATCAAATTTTGATATTTTTCATTTATTATTAAATTTTCTTTTTTCTGTAATTTTATTTTTTCTATTTTTGACAAATTTTATTTATTATTATTTATTTAATAAATTGACGGGAAAATTTTTAATTTTTATATTATTTGATTCATATTTTTTTTATAATATTTCTTAATAGAAATTATTTTGATTTCGAAAAGTTGGAGTAAAATTTATTATTAATTATTATTTTCCTTAGTTATTATTGTTCCTAGTTATTATTTTTGTTAATCATCATTTTCCCTAGTTATTATTTTTACTATTAAAAAATTTTTTTAATTATTTTATATTATATTTTATATATTTTCATACAAATTTTTTTGTTTTTTATATTTATTAAATATATTTACCTCTTTTTTTTAAATATATATTTTTATATAGAATTAAATTTAAATAAATATTTTTCTTTTTTTTGTTTAAAATAATTATTTTGTTTTTTTAATTTTGATTCTAATTTTTTTTGCAGGTTCCAGTTTTTTATGGAGCAATAATTGAGGGTGTAGCGACATGTATTTGTAGAGTCGTTTCCCGTATTCTTGGTGACCTTAATCCAAGATTTAGCACAATTATCGATTCCTTTGTTGGAACTTCATTAGTGGTTGCAGGTCAATTATTGGTTTTATCTCACATTTTTTTTTTTTTTTTTTTTTTTTTTACCATTCTACAAATTTTCATAAATATAAATTTATAATTTTTTTTTTTTTGCATTAAAATTAATTTTTTTTTTTAGATTTTTTTATCTCCCCCTTTTATTGGTTCACATAATTTATCTCATAAAAAATTATTAATTACAATTTTTTTACTTTAAACAATTTTATTAGAAATAAATTTTATTTTTTTGGACGAATTTACAAATTTTCGAATTTTGAATTTTTCTTTATACAAATTTTTACATAACAAAATTTTTGTTTTTGAGAATTTTTATTTTTTTACATTCATTTTCTTTTAATTAATAATTAATAATTAATAATTGGCAAATTTTCAAAAAAATTGCGCCGAAATTTTTGCGTTGATTTTTTTTTTTTTTATCGAACATTTTGTAATTTCGGACGAATAAAAAATTCGTACAAAGAAAAATTCGTATAAATAAAAATTCGAACAAATTTGAAATCCCATGAATTAGAATTTTTTTTCTTATTTAAAAATTCGAATAAAAAAAAAAAAAAAAGAAAATTCGATTGAATGAGAATTTTTTAAAATTAAAATTCGAATGTTTTAAAAGTTATTAAATAAATAAAAATAAAAAATTGAATTTTTTAAAAATAAAAATTGATTTTCTTTTTTTTTAATTTCAGCGGCCAATTATTCCGGAGGCTATTTTAATCCGGCATTAGCAACTTCATTGAAATACGGTTGTCTTGGCACAACAACAATGGATCACGTTATTGTCTATTGGGTTGGAGCTTGTGCAGGATCAATTTCTTCAATTAAAATTTACAAAATGCCATTTATTCAACGATTTATTCATAATGAAAAAACTGACTAGATACAAAAAGAAAAAAGAAAATTAGAAATTTTTATTAGAAAAAATAAAAAAAAAAATTAATTTATGCAAATACGAAAAATTTGCAAAAATTTTAGAAACAAATTTTTCTGCATATATAGAATATTTTTCTATATATATATATATATATTTTTTTTTTCTCAATATATATATATTGAAAATCGAAATCTATTTTTATAAAAAAAAAAAAAAACATATTTTCCTACAGATTAAAAAATTATAGATTTTTTTTTGGAGGGGGAAATAAAAAAAACTGTCGGGAAATTTTTAAAATCATCAAAATAATATGTTTATAGTCATTTTGATTGTAGGCTATGTTATTCTGCAAATAAAAAAAAAAAAAAAAAAAAAAATGAAAAAACAAAAATAGTAATTTTTAACAAATTAATTATTTTTTTAAACAAAATTAATTTAAAAAAAAAATTTTAATATATATTTTTTTGAATGGAAAAATTTCGGAATTTTGAAATTATCGTACAAAAAAAAAAATGAATTTTGTATTTCAAGCACAAAGAAAAATATTTTCAATAAAATTTAGATTAAAGAAACGTAATAAAATTTTAATTATTAATTAATATTAAGTAGATATAGGTATTAATTAATTTTAATTATTCAATTAAATATTAAATTAATTATTAAATTACTGAAATAATTTTATTATTATATTATTAATATTATTATTATTTTTCTTTTATTTTATTTTATTATTATTATTATTATTATTATTATTATTATTATTATTTTTTATAAATAATAAATAATATTTTATTTTTATAAGAAAAATCGGGGAAAAAAAAAATTTTTTTTGTATAAATATTTGAAAATTTGTTTTTTGAAAAATTATACCTATTTACCTTTATAATTTTTGAATGAAAATTTTATCAAAACTTAGTTTTATGTATATTTATATATCTCTTTAGTTATTCATCAATGTTTACTGAGGAAACATCGAGGAAAATGAATTTTCAATTATCAATGAATTTATTTATTATTTTTCTTTTTTTCATTCTAAAACAATGTTTATTGATTGAATCAAAATCCACTGGTGAGTAATAAAAAAAATATAGAATTTGAAAAAAAAGAGGAAAATTTTAATTTTTTTTTAAAAAGAATACATTTTTTTTTTTTTTTTTTTGGTGTAAAATTGTAAATTAATTATTTATTAGAATTTATTTTTAGAAAATGGGGGAGAAAAAAAAATATTACTAATTATATTTGTTTTTTTTTAGGTGGAGTTGAAGAATTAGAAAATGGTTTTGTAAAAATTGCCGATTCTGGCTATAGATATATTTTTAGTTGTAAAGAAGGATTTCAACTTAATGGAGCGAGTGAAATTTATTATGAAAATAATAAATGGTCTGATAGTATACCAATTTGTGTTCGTAAGTTAATAGTATTTATATAATTATTGAAAATAAAAACAAAAACAGTTAAATAAAGTGATTTTTGTTTATTTGTAAAAATTATTTTTTCAATTCGCGTAATTTATTTACAATTTAATAATTTAATTTAATTATTATAAATATAATTATTTTATTCTATTATATTTTTTTTATTTTATTTTATTTTTATTTTCTTTTATTTTAATTTATTTTTATTTTCTTTTATTTTCTTTTATTTTATTTTATTTTTATTTTCTTTTATTTTCTTTTATTTTATTTTCTTTTATTTTAATTTTTTTTTATTTTCTTTTATTTTCTTTTATTTTATTATAAATATATTGAATTTAATGATTTTTTTTTTCAAATAATCGTATAAAAATAATTTTTTTTTTTTTTCAGCAATCAGAACACAAATAGATTTTCCATTTGGACATTATGTGGTTAGTGAAGAAGGACGTAAATACACATTTTTTTGCAATGAAGGACATCATCTTAAAGGATTGAAGGAAATTAAATTTGAAAATAATAAATGGAACGGAAGTGTTCCCAAGTGTATTGGTAATTTTTTTTTTTTTTTTAATACCATAAAATATAATTTTTTTTCTATAGCATAAAATATATAATTTTTTATATATATATATATATTTATTTTTATTTGGAAATATAAATAATAAATAATATAATTTTTTTTTCTATAAATTATAAAACATAATTCGAAATAAAAAAAAAAAAAAATTAATAATATTTTATTTTCGAATTTTGTTATCTTGGTATTTAAATTGCGCAAAAAAAAAAAGATTTGTAATATTTTTTATTTATTATGTACGTAATTTTTTATTACTATATACAAAAAATTATGAAAATAATTATTATAAATTATTATTCAAATAATAATAATAATGTCCCGTCAATTAAATGAATAAATTTAAAAAAAATTAATAAAAATAAAATAATTATGAAAAATTTATTTTAGAACATTCGTCAGGAGAAGATGATAATGATTATAAAATATCTGAAAAGAATAAAAATGATAAAAAAATGAATATAATTGCGAAAAATAATGATAATGATAACAATAATAATGATGATAATGATAATGATGATAATGATAATGATAATAATGATAATGATAATAATGATAATGAGAACGACAATGATAATAATAATAATAATAATAATGATGATGATAATAATGATGATGATGATGATGATGACGATCTGGAAAATAATGAGAATAACAAATATGTTGGAAACAATGAAAATAAAATTATCATTGGCGCAACTAATTTTAAAAAAGACGAAATAATCAAAAACGACCAAAATTATTTTAGTGAGTATTTTATTTTATTATTTTTTTTTTTTTTTTTTTGTATTTTTTTTTATTTGTACCAAAGAATTTTATGTATAGAAAAAAATAATTAACACATATTTTTTCATTAATTATTAATTATGTATTATTAATAGAATTTATTCATTTGGTAGGAAAAAATAAAAAAAAAAAATAAAAAAATTTATTTTTTTTTTCAAATTTAGGAAAAAAAAATTTATTTATATTATATTTTTTTCCCCTTTTAAAAATATAATGAAAATATTAATTTTTTTTATTTTTTCCTTTTAAAAATATGTGGAAAATATAAATAAATTTTTTTTTTTCATCGTATTCGATTAATTGTTAGCAAAATTATGAAATATGTAAAAAATTATTATCGCATGGAAAATTTCCAAATAATGAAAAAAGTCGATTTTTTTTTTTTTTTTTTTTGTTATTTTTAGCTGTGTGTCCGTTAATTTCATTTTGCTTTGGAATAATTCAAATTAATGAAAAAACACATGTTGCCAATTTTATTTGTGACAATGGATATCAACTAAAAGGGAATTTTCAATCTGTTTGCGAAAATGGAAAATGGAGTCATTCTGCTCCAATTTGCATTCGTAAGTTTTTTTTTTATATTTAAAAAAAAAAAACAAAACAAACAAGTAAATTTTTTTGACAGTAAAAGAAATTAATTAAAAATCAAGTTTTTTTAAAAAAAAATTGAAATTACAAAAAAAAATCGAAAAATAAGAAAAAACAAAAAAGTAAATTTTTTGACAATGAATGAAATTAATTACAAATCAATTTAAAAAAAAATTGAAATTACCAAAAAAAAAAAAAATCGAAATAAGAAAAAGCAAAAAAAATATTTTTGACAATGAAAGAAATTAATTGCAAATTAATTTTTAAAAAATCAAAATTACAAAAAAAAATTGATAAAAACGAAAAGAAAACAAACAAGTAATTTTTTTTTGACAAATAAAATATATAAATAATATTTTGCAAATTAATTTAAAAAAAAAATCGAAATTACATAATATAGAAAAATAAGAAAATAAAAGAGTACCTAAACATTTTTTTTTGTATTTTTTTTTTTTATTATTTTATTAATTATTGTATTTAAAAAAAAAAATTTAGTAAACTAAATTTTGTTTCTCTATTTTCGCAGCATTTTGTCCAAAAATCGATTTAATAAATGGTAAAGTTAATGTGAATGAAAATATTGCCACATTTAATTGCAATGAAAATTATGAACTTCTCGGAAACAATCATTCAATTTGCCATGATGGTCAATGGCTCAATGAAATTCCAATTTGTACACGTAAGAATTTTTTTTTTTTTTTATTTTATATTTAAATGAAATTGTAAAAATGGGAAAAAAATTTTTTTTATTTATTTATTATTATTTAATATTATTTTTATTATTTTATTATTATTATTATTATTATTAATTTATTTTAATTTATTTTTTTTTATTTTATATTCAAATTAAATTGTAAAAATGGGAAAAAATTTTTTTTATTTATTTATTATTATTTAATATTATTTTTATTATTTTATTATTATTATTATTATTAATTTATTTTTATTATTTTATTATTATTATTATTATTAATTTATTTTAATTTTTTTTTTTTCTTTTATTTTTCATTTTCTTTTTCTTTTTATTATTGTTCCAGCAAAATGTCCATTTATAAAACTAACGGACGCACATATTATAATTGCCTTGGATATAAAATCGACATATTATAAATTTTCTTGCAAGGAAGGTTACAAAATGAGGGGAAATAGTGAAATTTATTGTAGATTCGGCCAATGGAGTCATCCAGTTCCAATTTGTGAAAGTAAGATTTTTTTTTGTTGACATTTTTAAAATTAAAAAAAAAATTTTTTTTACTGCTCATTATTTTTTAAATCAAAATTTTGAAATATTACAAAAATTCTGTTGAATTTATTTATTAAATAAATATAAAAATAAATTATCTGATGAATTGGATTAATAAAATTAAATTATTAAATAAATAAAATAAAAATAAAAATAAGCGAATTATTATTAAAAAAGAAATAAATAAATAATAAATATTAATAAATTAAAAAAAAAATTAAAATAAATTTTAAAAAATGATTATTTTTGATAAAGATTCGTTAATAATTAATTATTTTTTTTTTTTTTTATAATTTCAGTTAAAAAATCTCAATTTCAAGCCACCAATGGAATTACTATAAGTACTGTAGCTTGTAAGTATTTTTTAAATATTAATTTTTTTTTTGGGGGAAATTTTCTTTATATTCGCAAAAAAGGTAAATTTTTTTTTAATTCAACAAATTTTTTTTTTTTTTTACAGCTGAATGCCGTGTTTCTACCTAATTCCGGATTTATAAATTTTTAAAATTTTGTATTTTATTTTTTTAATTTTATTTTTTATTTAAAAATAATACATTTCTTTTCTATATATTTTAATTAACTTTTTCTAAATATTAAAAAAAATAGAAAATATGATAAAATTTCTTTTTCTGTTTTTCATTTCTTCTTCTTTTTTTTTGAATATTAAAAACAATAATTTTTATAAAATAAAAATTCTTTTCTAATTTTTATTTTCCTTTTTTTTAAAAAATATTTTTTTGAAAAAAAAAAATAAAAAAATAAAATTTCTTTTTTTCTATTAAAAAAAATATAAAAATGCTAAAATTTTGATTTTTTTTTTCCTTTTTCTAAAAATATTTTTTGAAAAAAATAATAGAAAATAATAAATAAAAATTTCTTTCTATTTTTTTATTCTTTTAATTTTGAAAATTAATATTAAAAAAATATAAATATTAATACCCGTGTGGAAAAAGCCACGATCTTGCCCTCAAGAGTTCGGGGCCCCCGGCGGGGGCCCATGAGGGCTGATCCATATGGCGAATCCATGAGGGGCACCGTAGGGGCCCCGCATGGATCGCCCTCATGATCGATTAGCAAAATTTTCTAAGTCCAAAAATCAAATATTTTTTTATCACCAAAAAATTAATGTTTATAATGATTCACAACAATGAAAAACGCGTTTTTAATTAAAATATATTTTCACTTTTTTTGAAAATAACACTCACACTTATGGCGAATCCATGAGGGGCACCGTAGGGGCCCCGCATGGATCGCCCTCATGATCGATTAGCAAAATTTTCTAAGTCCAAAAATCAAATATTTTTTTATCACCAAAAAATTAATGTTTATAATGATTCACAACAATGAAAAACGCGTTTTTAATTAAAATATATTTTCACTTTTTTTGAAAATAACACTCACACTTATGGCGAATCCATGAGGGGCACCGTAGGGGCCCCGCATGGATCGCCCTCATGATCGATTAGCAAAATTTTCTAAGTCCAAAATTCAAATATTTTTTTATCACCAAAAAATTAATGTTTATAATGATTCAGAACCACGAAAAACGCGTTTTTAATAAAAATATATTTACACTTTTTTGAAAATAACACTCACACTTATGGCAAAATAGATGAGGGCCACCGTAGGGGCCCGCATGGATCGCCCTCATGATCGATTAGCAAAATTTTCTAAGTCCAAAAATCAAATATTTTTTTATCAACAAAAAATGAATGTTTCCAATGATTCAAAACAACGAAAAACGCGTTTTTAATAAAAATATATTTACACTTTTTTGAAAATTCGCCTGAGATGATTCATGATAATAATCATAAAGCATATAATTAATTATATTTTATAAATTGCATTTGATTGGAAAATATAATTTAATATCTTAACTTTAACTAAATGATGTTAAGCACTTTTCTTTGTTAGGTATTTTTCAAGTTTAAATAGCATCAAGAAGTTAGCATTCGTTTTGAAGTAGCGTGCGTAGCGTAGTTGGTAAAGCGTTAGGTTCATAGTCCGTAGGTCGTAGGTTCGATTCCCCCCATGCGTTAGATTTATTTATTTCTCAGGTTTGCGTTTAATCATTAATTCTATGTATGAATTAATTGAAAAATGAAAATATCGGTTAATAGTATGCATAAATTACATATTTTTTAATTTTTTAATTAATTAATTTATTATTACTTTTAATTATATCCGACAGTTAATTAATTAGAACGTTAATTAATAAATTCAATTTGAGTAAGAATTTAATTTAAAATTGAATAATTATTAAATAAATATGTTATTTATTCATAACTTAAGCTTATTTATTATCAATTAACTTTTATTATTAATATTATTGATTAAAAAACATTATGGCAAACTTGAGGGCAAGATGAGGGCAAACGTGAGGGCCCATAAGGGCGCCCGTAGGGGCACCCTCATGGATCGCCCATGCGGGCGCCCTCATCGATGAGCATGTCGTTTCCATGAGGGGCCCCTATGGATCATCCATATGCGCCCCTCATGGCATGAGGGCGATCCATAAGGGCCCCCGCTGGGGGCCCACATCACTTTTCCACACGGGTAAAAAAAAAAAAAATATTTAAAAAAAATAGTTATTGAAAAAATAATAACAATAAAATTTGAATAAAAATAAAATTCAAGGTTACAAAAGGTAAAGGTTACCGTAAAAAAAAATTGGATTTATGATTCTCGTTTCTCTCTCTCTCTCTCTCTCTCTCTCTCTAAGGTCATTGAAGTGCATCTTAATCCCATTTAATGGGATTGATTTAATTTAATTAAATCGAAGAGAAAAGTAACTGCATCATACAAGACGGTAGAGTAAAAAAAAAGCAACAAAAAAAAAAATAAATAATTCAGTTCATCTGTCATACGTGAAATGACAGGATGATTTTTATTTAAAATTTATTTAATAAAAAAAAATTTATATATAATTAATATTCTAAAAAAAATTATTTAAATTTATTTATTTAAAAAAAAAATAATTTATATTTAATATTTAAAAACAAAAAAGAAGAAGAAGAAAATGACAAAAAAATTCGAATACAATTGGCAAATTGAAACGCCTGAATTTATGAGAAAAGGATGTATTTTTGACAGATGGTACGAGGACAAAGATAACACTGAATTTGAAGCCGATTGTTTATTTAAAGTCGATGAATATGGTTTTTTTATTTATTGGAAAAGTGAAGGAAAGGTATTTTCAATAAATATATTAATTTTCCATAATTATAAATAAAAAAAAAAAATTCATAAAAGTAAAAATTAATAAAATAAAAAAAAAAAATATTCATAAAAGTAAATTAATAAAATAAAAAAAATATATATTTATAAAAGAAAATTAATAAAATAAAAAAAAAATTCATAAAAATAAATTAAAAAAAAAAAAAAATATTCTTTAAAGTAAATTAATAAAATAAAAAAAAAATATTTATAAAAGTAAATTAATAAAAAAATAAATAAATAATAATTATAAAAATTAGTAATAAATAAATTCATAATAATAATTTTTTTCACATTTTTTTTTCACTTATAAATTTTTATATTTTACATTTTTTTGTAAATAAAAAAAAAATAATTAATTAATTAATTAATTTTAGGAGGGTGATGTTATTGAATTGGCTCAAGTCTGTGATATAAGATACGGTGGAACACCAAAGGTGAGATAAAGAAAAATTCTTTTTTATTATTTTCCAAAAAATAAAAAATTAATTTCTCGAATTTTTTAATTAATAATAATAAATTACATGAATTAATTAATGTATTTTTCAATAAATAATTTTTCAGAAATTTTTTTTAAATTTATTTATTAATTTTTTTCTTCTCTCTTTTTTTTTTTTTTTTTTTGCTTTAGGATCAAAAATTAATGAATAAATGTAGTAAACATGGAACATTGGAGCAATTGGATGAAAAAAGTTTGACAATATGTTCTGGAGTTGATTATACAAATATTATTTATAATCATGTGGTTTGTCCCGATGCACAAACTGCGAAGGTAAATGAATTTTTTAAATTTAATTTTTTTTTTTTATTTTACAAAAATTTTGGTTTGATTATATTTTTTTGGAATTTAAATATAATTAAAAAAAAAAATTTATAATTTATTAGTAAAAAGAGATATTAAAAAATTACTAAATAAAAACTATTTAATATTTATATTAAATAATAATAATAATAATTTAATAATAATTTAATAATAATTTAATAGTAATTAAATAATAATTTAATAATGAAATAAAATAGTTTAAAAAATTTAATTTTTAAATAAAATAAAAAAAAAAGTGAAAATATAATTTTCTTTTTTAGGATTGGCAAGCGGGATTACGAAAAGTTACACACAATACAAAAGCAAGTAATGTTTGTCCCACAACGCAATTAATGAAACAGTGAGTGAAAAATAAAAAAAAAAACTTTTTTAAATAAAATACGTTAAAAATTTTTTACATTTTTTTTTTTTTCAATAATTTTTAAATTATATTTTATTTATTAATTATTATTCATTTATTTAAATCTATAAGAGAAAAAATTATTTATTATTAATTTAATTATTAACAAAATATTTTGATAGAAAAATAAATTTTAATTCATTAATAATAATTTAATTAATAATTTGTTAATAATAATAATAATAATAATAATAAATTAATAAAATAAATAATTAATAAAAAACAAAAAAAAAAGTTTCCGACAAATTAGAATTAAAATTTTTTGAAAAATAATTCAATTTTTGGAATTTTTATTGAAATTTTGAAAAATTAATGAATTTATTAATAATTAATAATAATAATAAATAATAATAATAATAATAATAATAATAATAATAATAATAATAATAATAATAATAAATTTAATTAAAATTAAAGTTGGATGAAATTGTCATTCCAAGTGGATGCAAAGGGAAAAGTTCCAGTGAAAGTGATAACAAAAACATTTGCATCGGGAAAAACGGAAAAATTAATTTATCAAGGATTACAAGAATTGGGCCTTCCAAATGGAAAAGTAAAAGAAAAAAAAAATAATTTACAAATTTTTTACTATCTTTATTTTATATACAAAAACATATAGTAAAAATTTTTATTTATTTATTTATTGTTGTTTTTTTTTTGCAATTATCAAAATATTTGAAAATTATTTATTTTCGAAAAAAAAAAATTTGATTCTCTTTTTATTTTTACAGAATGATAAAATTGAAAAGGAAGCATTTGTTTTCGAAAAATTTAAGGCTCTTTATTTTAAAGTTTGTCCTCGAAATGATATCGAGGAATTGTTTCAATCCATGTAAGTATTCTTTTTTTTTTTTTTTTAATAATAAACTAATTTTTTTTTAAATTACAAAAATTTATTGTTTTTTTAATTATAAAATTTATTATTTATTTATTTTATCTATATTTATTTATTTTTTTATTTATATATTTATTTATTTTTTTATTTATATATTTATTTATTTACAGTAATAAAATTCAAATTAGTAATTTAATTCGAATTTTAAAAATTAAAATTTTTGTTTGAAAATTTTTTTGATATATTATTTTCTTTTAATTTTTGATATTAAATTTGTTTTTAAATTTAATTGGAATTTTAAAACTGGAAACAAATTTTTTTTTCTAAAAATTTTTTAATAAACTATTTCTTTTTATTTTCAAATTTAAAAAAAAAAAATTGTTTTGAAAAATTTTGTAAAAACGAATTTTTATCTTGAAAAATTTGGGGTTTTTTTTTTTTTTTTCTTATTCTACGGAAATAAATTACAAAAATGTTTTGAAAATTAGAAAATGTGAAAATTTTGAAAAAATTTGGTTTTTATTTAAATGTAATAGTTCAAAAAAAAAAAAAAAAAAAAAAAAACTTTGGTTTTGTTTTAAATTTATTATGTTTAAAAAAAATTTTTGTTTACTTTAATTAGGTTTTTTTTTCCTTTGATATTGAAATTATTAAAAAAAAAAAATTTTTTATTTTCTTTCCTTTTTTAGAACAAAGGGCAAAGCAGAATTTATTAATTTACAACAATTTGTAACATTTATGAATGAAAAACAAAGAGATCCGAGACTCAATGAAATTTTATATCCACTTTACACTGAGAAGAGATGTACGGAAATAATTAATGACTACGAGCCAGACGATAAATTAAAATCAGAACGTAATTAATCATCGTTTTTTTTTTTTTTTATAAATAATTATTTATTTTTTTCCAGCAATGAATATTTATAATTTTTATTTTTTTTACAATTTTATTATTTTTGAAAAAGTAATTTGTATTTTTTTACAAATTTATTATTTTTTGAAAAAGTAATTTTTTTTTTACAAATTTAGTATTTTTTAAAAAGTAATTTTTTTTTACATTATTTTTAAATATTAATTTTTTTTTTATTTTATCATTTTTGAAAAATTAATTTATTTTTTACAAATTTATTATTTTTTGAAAAAGTAATTTTATTTTTGCAAATTTATTATTTTTGAATATTAATTTTGTTTTTACATTATTTTTAAAAATTAATTATTTTTTTTTTACTTCATCATTTTTGAAAATAAAATTTTTTTTATTACAATTATTTTGTTTTTTTTGTTTTTTTTTTTTTAATAAATTTTCGAAAATTTGTCTCTTTTTGTTTGAAATAGAAAAAATTAGCAAAGACGGTTTCATAAAATATTTAATGTCCGACGAGAATGCTCCGGTATTTTTGGAAAAATTAGACGAATGGATGGACATGGATCAGCCACTTTGTCATTATTATATTAATTCAAGTCACAATACTTATCTTAGTGGAAAACAAATTGGCGCAAAAAGTACAGTCGAAATGTACAGACAAGTTCTTCTCGCTGGTTGCAGGTATTTATTTATTTATTTTAGAAAAAATACAAAATTATATATTTTTTTTATCTCAAAAAAAAGAAAATAGATTTTTAATTTTTTTTACCTACTTTTATCTAAATTCTAGAATATTATTATTTTTATGAAAAAAAAAATATATATCAATTTATTTCTTTTTTCGAAAAAATAGAAAAAAATACCCAAATAAATAAAAAAAAAAATTTAATAAATAAAAACAATTTTTTAATCTAAATTTCATGAAAATAATTAATTTTTAATTGAAAAAAAAAATTAAAAGAAAATTTAATTTATAAATTATTTAAAAAAAAAATTGAAAAATAATTATTAATAATTAAAAAAAATTATATTCATTTTTAATTATTTATTTTTGTAAATAAATAATTTTAATTTTTGTGATAAAAAAAAAAAATTAATTAAATAAATAATTTTAATTTTTTTGATAAAAAAAAAATTAATTAAATAAACAATAAATTTTTTTGAATACTTTAAGATGCGTGGAATTGGATTGTTGGGATGGTAAAACACCAGACGATGAACCAATAATAACACATGGAAAAGCAATGTGCACTGATATTTTATTTAAAGATGTTATTTATGCATTGAGAGACACTTGCTTTGTGACATCTGATTATCCAGTTATTTTAAGTATTGAAAATCATTGCTCATTAAAAAATCAATATCGACTCGCTAAATATTTTGATGATATTTTGGGCGATTTATTGCTCAAGGAGCCACTCAAAGATTATCCAGTAGGTCAAATTTTAATTATTAACTAATTAACTAATTAACTAATTATTAACTAATTTAAATAATTAACTTAATTAATTTAAATAAATTTTCAAAAAAAAAAATTTAATTGTAAAAATTCACAAATAATTTATTTTGTATTTAAAATTAATTGTCAAATTTTTAATTTAATTTTAATACAAAAATAAATCATTAAAATTATTATTATATTTATCAAAATTGTTTAGCAGCAAATTTTTGAAATTTTAACTCGAATATTTATTTTATAAATTTTTAATCACTACTTCCTTGGCTTAAATATTATATTATTTTTCGAAAAAAAAAAATTTATATTTATAAAATATAAAAATATTTTATTTATTTAATTACTATGTTTGATATTAAAATTATTTAAAAACAATATTAACGATAGTTATAGTTATAAAATATATTTATAAAAAAAAAATTATAAAAAAAATTTTTTTTTAAATTATAAATTAATATTTATTTCTAAAAAAATTTTTTTATTCAAAAGTTGGAGCCAGGACAACCGCTACCGCCACCAAGTGCATTGAAACGAAAAATTCTAATAAAAAACAAAAGATTAAAACCGGAAGTGGAAAAAGTTGAATTGGAACTTTTTCGCTCGGGACAATTTGAAGCTAAAGATGAAGTTGTTGAGGATCCAAATGCACCGGCACCACCACCACAAGAACCACCACCAGTATATTTTCCAAAAAAAAAAAAAAAATAAAAAATGAAAAAAAAATTTCATAAACAAATTTAAATGATTTAATTATAATAATTATTAATTATTTAATTATTTACTTATTTAATTATTAATATTATTTATTATTATTTACAATAGTAATTGTAATAATTAATAATTTTTTAACAAATAATTATTATTATTTGCAATAGTAATTATTAATTATTATTATTTGCAATAGTAAATATTAATTATTATTATTTACAATAGTAATTATAATAATTAATTTATAATAAAAAATTATTTAAATTTCAAATAATTTTTTTTATTTTCTACTAATTAGTGACTTTTTTTTTAAGGAACCTGCTCCTGGAGCTCCTGGAGAAGCTCCACCGGAAGGAGCTGAAAATGCACCGGTACACACAGGAAGTACAATGGCTTGTCATCCTTGGCTCTCGTCAATGATTAATTACGCTCAACCAATTAAATTTCAAAGTTTCGATACTGCATTGAGTATGTCTTTTTTTTTTATTATTCATCGCAAAAGAATTTTTTTTCGATTTTTATTTATTTCATAATTATTCATTATTATTTTTAGAAGGTAGTTATTATTATTATTATTATTATTATTAACATATTATAAAAATTATTTTTTATATTTATTTTCTTTAATTTAATTTAATTTTTATTAATTGTTTAATCTTAATTAGTAAAATTATAATTATAAATTTACAATTAATAAATAAATAAATTAATTAATTAGCTACTTATTAAATAAATAAATAAATTAATTAATTACTTAATAAATAAATAAATAAATAAATTAATTAGCTACTTAATTAATAAATAAATAAATTAATTAATTAGCTTCTTAATAAATAAATTAATTAATTAGCTACTTAATTAATAAATAAATTAATTAATTAGCTACTTAATTAATAAATAAATTAATTAATTAATTAGCTACTTAATTAATAAATAAATTAATTAATTAGCTACTTAATAAATAAATAAATTAATTAATTAGCTACTTAATTAATAAATAAATAAATTAATTAATTAGCTACTTAATTAATAAATAAATTAATTAATTAGCTACTTAATTAATAAATAAATGAATTAATTAGCTACATAATTAATTAATAAATAAATTAATTAATTAGCTACTTAGTTAATAAATAAATAAATTAATTAATTAGCTACTTAATTAATAAATAAATAAATTAATTAGCTACTTAATAAATAAATAAATAAATTAATTAGCTACTTAATTAATAAATAAATAAATTAATTAATTAGCTACTTAATTAATAAATAAATTAATTAATTAGCTACATAATTAATTAATAAATAAATTAATTAATTAGCTACTTAATTAATAAATAAATAAATTAATTAATTAGCTACTTAATTAATAAATAAATAAATTAATTAGCTACTTAATTAGTAAGTAAATTAATTAATTAGCTACTTAATTAATAATTGTAATATTTTGTCAATTTCTTTTTTTGTTAGAGAAAAATATTCATCACAATATGTCATCATTTTCGGAGACAGCGGCTTTGAATTATTTAAAAACATCTGGAGTTGAATTTGTCAATTATAATAAACGACAAATGAGTCGAATTTATCCCAAGGGAACAAGAGTTGATTCTTCGAATTATATGCCTCAGGTATTGGAAAAGAAAAAATAATTAAAATCGCAAAAAAAAAAAAATTTTTGTGGCGTTTTAATTTTTTTTTTCAAATTTTTTTTAAATCATTTCTTTTTAATTTGAAATAATTTTTTTTTTGTTAATATATTTATTAGTAAAAAAAAATAATATTATATTACTTAAATAAAAAAATAAATAAAGAAATAAATAAATAAATAGGTAAATAGATAAATAAATAAAGAAATAAATAAATAAATAAATAAATATTATTTGAAAAAAAACAGGTTTTTTGGAATGCTGGTTGCCAAATGGTTGCGCTAAATTTTCAAACGCCAGATTTACCAATGCAATTGAATCAGGGAAAATTTGAATTTAATAATACAACTGGATATTTATTGAAGCCGGAATTTATGAGAAGAACTGACAAATCTTTTGATCCCTTCTCTGAAGATGTCGATGGTGTCATCACGGCGACTTGTTCTGTTCGAGTAATTATCTTTTTTCTTTTTTTTTTTTTTTTTCTATTTTCAAACTAAAAGGGAAAATAAATATTTCTTTTCTATTTTCAAATTAAAACGGAAAAAAAATTATTTATTTTCTATTTTCCAACTAAAACGAAAAAAAAATATTTCTTTTTTATTTTCAAATTAAAATGACAAAAAATTATTTCTTTTCTATTTTCAAACTAAAACGGAATAAAAATATTTCTTTTCTATTTTCAAATTAAAACGGAAAAAAAATTATTTCTTTTCTATTTTCAAATTAAAATGGAAAAAAGAAAATTATTTCTTTTCTATGTTCAAACTAAAACGGAAAAAATATTTTTTTTTTGACATTTTAATTTGAAAATAGAAAAGAAATAATTTTTTTTTTCGTTTTAATTTGAAAATAGAAAAGAAATATTTTTATTTTCCGTTTTAATTTGAAAATAGAAAAGAAATAATTTTTCTTTCCATTTTAATTTGAAAATAGAAAAGAAATATTTTTTTCAAATTTATATTTTACAAAAATTATTTACTTTTTTCTAATTTCAAAATAAAAAATATTTCTTTTTTTTTAAAAATATTTACAAACTATTTAATTTTTTTTTGTTATTTTATTTTTAATTTCAAATTAAAAAATACAAAAAGTATTATTTTTCTTTTCTATGTTCAAAATAAAGAATACAAAAATTATTCTCTTTTCTATTTTCAAATTAAAACGGAAAAAGAATTATTTCTTTTCTATTTTCAAATTCAAACGGAAAAAGAATTATTTTTTTTCTATTTTCAAACTAAAAAATAAAATAATAATTAATTGTCTTTCTATATTTAAATTAAAATTTATTTTTTTATAAAATTTTACTAAAATTACTTTTTTTTTAAATTTATATTTTACAAAAATTATTTACTTTTTTCTATTTTCAAAATGAAAAATATTTCTTTTCTTTTTTTTTTAAATATTTACAAACTATATAATTTTTGTTGTTATTTTATTTTTAATTTCAAATTAAAAAATACAAAAATTATTATTTTTCTTTTCTATGTTCAAAATAAAGAATACAAAAATTATTCTCTTTTCTATTTTCAAATTAAAAAAATATTATTTCTGTATATATATATATTTGTATTTTTTTTACTAAAATTATTTTTTTTTCTATTTTCAAACTAAAAATTTGTTTTTTTCTATTTTCAAATTAAAAAATATTAATTTTTTTTTATATATTTATCTATATTTTACAAAAAATTATTTTTCAGTTTAGAAATAGAATTTTTTTATTTTATTTTTTACTTTAAATATATATATAGAAAAAGAAAAAAATTTTTGTTATTTTTCAATTTGAAAATAGAAAAATATTTCTTTTAATTTTTTACTTTGAAAATAGAAAAAAATATTTATTTTAATTATTTTACTAATGAAAGTAGAAAAAAAAATAATTTTGCGCAATTTTTTTACTTTGAAAATAGAGAGAAAAAAAAATAAATTTTTCGCATTTTTGACTTTGAAAATAGAGAAAAAAAAAATAAATTTTGCGCATTTTTTACTTTGAAAATAGAGAGAGAAAAAAAAATAAATTTTCCCATTTTTTACTTTTGAAAATAGAAAAAAAAAAAAATAAATAAATTTTGCCCATTTTTTACTTTGAAAATAGAGAGAGAAAAAAAAATAAATTTTCCCATTTTTTACTTTTGAAAATAGAAAAAAAAAAAAAAAAAATAGTTTCAGTAAAATATAAATAGAAAAAAATAAAAATAAAAATTTTAAAATCGAAAACTAAAAAAAAATTTGACTAATAAAAAAAAAAATTTTTTTTTTTAAATTCAAAAAATTGAATAATAAAAAAAGAATTTTAAAATACAGGTAATTGCGGGACAATTTTTATCCGATAAAAAAGTTGGAACCTATGTGGAAGTTGATATGTATGGTTTGCCAGCCGATACAATAAAAAAAGAATTTCGAACACGTCTTGTTGGTGGCAATGGATTGAATCCAGTTTATAATGAGGAACCATTTGTTTTTCGAAAAGTTGTACTTCCCGATTTGGCGGTGCTTCGTTTTGGTGTTTATGAAGAAAGTGGAAAATTACTTGGACAAAGAATTTTACCATTGGACGGTTTACAAGCTGGCTATCGTCATATTTCATTGAAAACTGAGGCCAATTTTCCAATGGCATTGCCAATGTTATTTTGTAATATTGAACTTTCAATTTATGTTCCCGATGGTTTTGGAGGTGAATTTATTTTTTTTTTAATTTTTTTCTTTTAATTTTTTTCTTTTTTTTGTCTTTTTTCTATTTATTTATATATATATATATATATATATATTTATTTATTTGCAACTTTCAATTTTTCAATTTTTTTCTTTTTTTTTTCTTTTTTCTATTTTTTTTCTATTTATTTATATATTTATTTATTTATTTGCAACTTTCCCCGCATTTATTTATTGTATTAATTTTTTTTTACTTTTTTTATTTACAAAAATCCCGTAAAAATCATTTTTTATTTTTTATTTTTTATTTTCAATATATTTTATAAGAAATTAATTTTTGAAGCAAATTTTCAAAATTAAAATTCAAAAGATTTTCTTTTTTTTTATAAGAATTTTGAATCTTGACAAAAAAATTTTTAGCTACCAAATTTTTTTTACAGTTATTTAATTTACAAAAATTAAAAAAAAAAATTAATTAATTAATTTGAAAATAAATTTTAATTTAAGCTAAAACAAATTTTGTTAAATAAAAATTTGTATAAAAAGAAATTCTTTCAAATGCTAATTCGTCTATAAAAAAAAAAAAAAAAAAAAAAAAAAAATTATTTCGAATAAAATTCTTTTAAAATAAAATAAATAAAAATAAATTCAATTATTTATTATTTATTAATAATAAATTCAATTTTATTATTTTATTTATTATTATTATTATTCAATTTATTATTATTCATGCGGTACTTTTGTATTTTTTTTTTCTATTTGTGATTAAAAATTTTGGTATTTAATTTATTTTTTCTATTTATTAATTTTTTTTTCTCCTTTGTTTAAAAAAAAAAGAAAAAAAATTTTTTTCATTTTTTTTTTTACAGATTTTATGGCAATGCTTTCTGATCCGGGAGCTTTTACGAAAGGGGCTGAAAAACAAGATGCAGCAATGAAGGGAATGGGAATTGAAAAAACTGACGCAAAAACAGAAGAAAAGAAGAAAAAAGAAGAGGAAGCTAAAGCCAGTTAGTTGGATTATTTAAAATATTAATTTTTCTCGAAAATAATTTTACTTATTTATTTATTATTTTTTTAAATTATTTTTTTTGTTATTAATATTTATTTTTATTATTATTTATTATTTTTTTTTATTTATTATTTTTTTTTTATTATTTATTATTTTTTTTATTATTTATTATTTTTTTTCTTATTTATTAATATTTATTTGTTTTTTTATTATTAATTATTATTCTTCTTATTATTTCATTTTTTTTTTTAATTGTAAAAAAAATAATTTAATTTATTTATTTATTATTTATTATTTATTATTATAATTTATTTATTTTAAAAATAATTTTTTCTATTGTAAAAAAAAATAGAGGAATTTAAAATTGAACCAATCACACCTGAGACATTAAGAAGAGAAAAACAATTTAAATTGGGAAAGAAGCACAATAAAGATATGGATACTTTGAAGAAAAAACACGCCAAGGAGAGGCAAGCGATGCAAAAAAATCATATTGCCGCCATTGAAAGAATATCCAAGGGAAAAGAGTTTAGTATTATTATTATTATCATAATATTATTATTATTATTATTATTATTATTATTATTATTTTGTACACACAATTTTATTAATTTTTTTTTGTTGTAGTGAAATTTTTTTTTAAATTTATTTTTATTTATTTTTTTTATAGAAAAAGTTTTTACACAATTTTTATTCATTTTATTAATTTTTTTTACGTTAGTTAAAATTTTTTATAAAATTTTATTAATTTTTTTTTGTAGTTAAAATTTTTTTTTTTTATAAAATTTTATTAATTTTTTTTTCGTAGTTAAAATTTTTTTTTTTTTATAAAATTTTATTAATTTTTTTTTCGTATAGTTAAAATTTTTTTTTTTTTTTTATAAAATTTTATTAATTGTTTTTTCGTAATTAAAATTCTTTTTTTTTTTATAAAATTTTATTTATTTTATTAATTTTTTTTTGTATAGTTAAAATTTTTTTTTGTTATAAAATTTTATTTATTTTATTAATTTTTTTTTTGTATAGTTCAAATTTTTTTTTTTTAATACAATTTTATTTATTTTTTTTTTATTTTGAAAAAAAATATATGTTTATTTTTTTGTTTTATCTCTCTGTTTCTTTAATAGTAAAAATTCATTAATAAACGACGGTAGCGTGAAACAAATGGCAATTGAACAAACAACAGAATGGACGACAATGGTGGAAAAACAAAGAAAAGTTGAATGGGAACTTCATCAGCAACAAGTAATTGCGAGTCGCGAGGAAATGAAGAGATTAATTGAAATTGTTCAAATTAATCAAACCAAACAATTGCAAGCAAAACATGACAAGTTGGTTTTTATTTTTACAAAAAAAAAAAAAAAAAAAAATTTAAATAAAAAAAAAAGAAAAATAGAAAATAAATTTTCAATAAATAGTAATTAATTAAATAATTTATTTAAAACAAATTTAATTAAAAAAAAAGAAAAATAGAAAATAAATTTTCAATAAATATTAATTAATTAAATAATTTATTTAAAAAAAATTTAATTAAACAAAAATATTAATTAATGAAACAATTTAATTTAAAATAAAATATTAATTAATGAAATAATTTTATTTTTGAATATATAAATTATTTTTCGATGCAATTATATTAATTAATTAATTATTATTATTATTATTGTTATATTAATTAATAAATGATAATTATTATTTAGGGACATTAAGGACATGAATACGGCTCAAGTAAAGGCTTCGGTTGAAACAGCAAAAGAAGTGATGAATGATAAGGCATTGAAAACAAAAGGTGAAAAAGATCGAAGACTTCGTGAGAAGAAGCAAGCGAACACAAAGAAATTTCTCGATGAAAGGAAAAATGTTACAATAAAACAGGGACGAGAAAAGGAAAAATTAAAAGTAACACACGAAAAACAAGTTGTTGAACTCGATAAAATGATTGACGATGTGAGTAAAATTTCTTCAAATTATTATTTATTAATTATTATTTATTATTTATCAATTATTATTTATCAATTATTATTTAATATTTATCAATTATTATTATTTATTATTAATTATTATTTATTAATTATTAATTATTTGTTATTTATTAATTATTATTTATTAATTATTAATTATTATTTATTAATTATTATTTATTATTTATTATTTATTATTTATTATTTATTATTTATTATTTATTATTTATTATTTATTATTTATTATTTATTATTTATTATTTATTAATTATTATTTATTCCTAAAACGAATTTTTTTTTGCCCCTAAATGTCGATTCAAAAGACTGTGAATAATTTTTTTTTTAATATTTCAATATTAATAACCAATTTTATTTAATATCGAATAATAAATAAATATTTATATTTATTTCAGACAATCGAAAAATACAAGAACGAATTAATTCAATCGGAAATAGTATCGAAAACGGAATTTTATGTCTAAAAAAAAAAAAAAATAAGTAAAATAATAATTTATATAATTAATATTTCAAAATAATACAAAAAAAAAAAAAAAATTTCTTTTTTCATGAAAAAAAAAATTCCTACTTTGTATCTTTATATTATATATATTTTAAGATACAATTTTAAAAATAATTTCCCTTTTTTTTTGCAATTATATATTTACAAATATATTTACAAAAAAATATATTTTACAACTTTCTATTAGATTTTAGAAAATAATTAATTTTCGCAAAAAAAACAACAAATATTTCTTGAATTAAAAAAAAAAAAAAAAAGAATAAATATATTAAGAGGAATAAATAATGTATTTTAAGAGCAGAGAAAAAAAAATGTCTTTTTTTTTTCATTTTCTAAAAACGAAAAATATTTACAAAAATTGAATTTTTTTTAACGAAAAAAATTTTTTTTTTTAAAATTGAATTTTTTTAAAAAATAAAATGTCATTGATTTTGTGTTTTTGTCGATGGATAATTGGAATTTGTTTGAATGAGACTATTCATTTCGTGAATAGGTTCTTTCAATAATTCTTCCTCAAATGCGTGCAATGGTTCTGTACAATATTCCTGTCCACAAATTGCGCACGCTTCAAAATGTGGTTTTAGAGAACATTTTAGTTTCTGAAAAAATTGAAAATATTCACCTTTTAATTTATTGTGGAAAAAAAAATTTTTTTTTTCAAATTTTAATTTTATAAATTTTTTTTTCAAAAAATTTTGTTCTTGGACGAAATTTTCTTTTTTTTTTAAATTTACCTAATTAACTAATTTTAATTATTATATAATTAATAATTAATTAATTTATTAATTATAATAATTAAAATTAATTTATTAATTATAATAATTAAAATTAATTTTAATTATATAATAATAAAATATTATTTCGAATAAAATTTTCGTTTTAATTTTAAAAATAATTTAATTTTGTTAAAAAAATTTTCTTCTATTGAAAGAAATTTTTGTTCCAGAAAAAAAATTTTCACCATTTAATTAATTATTTATTTATTATTTTAGAAAAAGAATTTTTTTTTATTTTATTTACAAAAATTTTTTCATAAATAAAAATAAAAAAAATAATTTGATAAAATATTAAATTTTGAAAAAATTATTTACTTTTTCCAAATTTAGTTTCAAAAAAGAAAAATTATCCATTTTAATTTTTAAAATCATTTTTAATTTATTTAAATTTTCTTTTAGGAAGAAAAAAAATTTTTTTTTTTTGTTTTTGTTTTCATACCTCTGAAAAAGATTTTCCTTCCGCTTGAATTAGAACATAAATAGCAAATGCAGGAATACAAATCAAAGAAAGCGAAGCAATTCCCCATCCAACAGCTTCTGCCCACCATGGATATTTATATTCACCTTTGTGATAAGTTGGTGGCTCGTAATCAATCAAACTAAACACCCAAACAGCCTGAAAAATATTTTTTATTTACATATTTATTTTAAAATAAATTTATTAATAGAAAATATTTTCAATAAATTAATTTTTATTATTTTATTTTTTTGTAATTTTTTTTTGATTAATTTATAATTAAGCCTGAAAATATTTAATTTATTTATTTTAAAATAAATTTATTAATAGAAAATATTTTCAATAAATTAATTTTTATTATTTTATTTTTTTGTAATTTTTTTTTTTTTTTTTGATTAATTTTTAATTAAGCCTGAAAATATTTAATTAATTTTTTTTTTGAAATAAATTTATTGATAGAAAATATATTTTTAATTTAATATTAATTAATTTTTTTTTTATTCTATTTTTTATTAATTAATTTGTTAATTAATAAATATTTATATTTATTTTCAAATAAAATAGAAAATATTTTTAATAAATTTTTTTTTAATAATTTTTATTGAATTTATTTTAATAAATAATTTTTAAATAATAATAATTTTTCAAAATTATTTATATATATTTTTTAAAATTAATTTTTTTAAAAATATTAAAAAAAAAAAATATTAATATTAATATTTTTAAAAAATAGATTAATTATAAAAAAAAACGATGATAAATAAATTTTAATAATTAAAAATTGATAATAAATTTGGAATTTTATAAATTAATAATGATAATAATTTGAAAAATTAATAAAAAAAAAAAAAAAAAAAAAAAATAATGGAAAATAATTACAAACCATTATGAGAAGTGGACTCGCTATTAACCAGCAAAATCGAAAATAAATTGATGGAACACGTCCAAACATTTCTTTAATATTGTTGGAAAATCTGCCAACACCGTAAAACCACGAGACGGCAATAACTTCAAAAAATATGAGAAACATTATTGATATTGAAGCCGCATAATGATCGATAAGTTGAAAAAAATAAATTCCACCCTAAAATGTAAAAAAAAAAACAATTTTTTTTATTAATTTTTTAATTCGTTTCTTTTTATTAATTATTTAATTAGTTTTTTTTATTAATTATTTAATTAACTTTTTTTTATTAATTAAATAATGAATAAATATTTTATAATTATAATAATAATTATATTAATAATTATTATATAATTACAATAATAATTATTATTTAATTAATAATAAGAATAATAATAATTTATAATTATTAATTTCGTATAATTAATAATTATAAAAAATAAATTTACCTGTGTAACGTTGGGTAAACCTAAAAGAAATGAAACAACACAAACAAGAAGAACTAACATTTCATGACTAAGAAGATGTCTTTTTACATAGTTTGGAAATCCATCTTGAATTGAAGTGACAACCACCTCAACTATTGCAAACTGTGAAAAATTTGAAAATTTCTTTATTTTTTTGACAAAATTTGATAATATATTTTTAAATTTCCCGCCTAATTTACAATGATTGGCTAATTCCCCTAGGGAAATGTATTGTGACTTTACAATTAACCAATAAAAATTGCTGCTTTCGATATATATATATATATATCTCTTTTCACTGTTCTCGCATTAATTTGGCGGGAAATTTTCAAAATTCAAATAATTTAAATATACATACTTGACTATTGAGAGAGAGACAGACCAGCATGAAGAAAAAAAGAACAGCCCAAATTTGTGAAGCTGGCATTTTTGCTAATGCTTCTGGATAAACAACAAAGACTAGACCAGGTCCTACAAATTTTTTTTTTTTTTTTTTAATAATAATTATTATATATTTATCTATCTATTTAATTGATAATTATTTATATATTATGTACTATTAAATATTTATTATAACTATTATTATTATTATATTATTATTATTATTATTATTACTGTTACTATTATTTTTATTTATTTAAAACAAATAAATAGATAACGCGTTTTGAAGAAAGAAAAAAGCAAAAAATTGTAGGTTATGTTTATGAACGTTTTTATTAAAAAATTGTAGGTTATGTTTATGATAGTTTACTACTTTTTACGATTCATATGACTGCTTATTATGATGATGATGATTATTATTATTATTATTATTATTATTATTATTATTATTATTATTATTATTATTTTTTGTACAATTATTTTTAATACTATTATTATTATTACTGTTATTATTATTTTTATGTATTTAAAAAAAATAAATAGGTAACGCGTTCTGAAGAAAAAAAAGCAAAAAAATTGTAGGTTATGTTTATGATCGTTTTGTTTAAAAAAAAATAGAGGTTATGTTTATGATAGTTTACTACTTTTTACGATTCATATGACTGCTTATTATGATTATTATTATTATTATTATTATTATTATTATTATTATTATAGTTTTTATAAAAATAATTTTTATTATTGTTATTTTTATTTATTTACAAAAAATAAATATGTGCCGCGATTTGAAGAAAGAAAGTTAAAAGTGCTGATTATTTAATCATAAATATAACCTTAAACTTTTCAGGCTCTATCCACAATGGGTTTTTTGGCTACTTTATTTTAGCACAAGGTGCTCATTGTGGACATAGCCTAAAAAATTATAGGTTATGTTTATGATCGTTTATTAAAAAAAAAAAAAAAACTATAGATTATGTTTATGATAGTTTACTACTTTTTTATAATTCATATATGGATTATTATTATTATTATTATTTATACGAAACATGTTTAGGAGAGGAAAAAAAAATTATTATTTTTATTATTATTGTTATTATTATTATTAGTGCTATTATTAACAAATAAATAGAAATAATAAAAATTTTTAAAAAATAATAATAATCACCCATATATATATATATATATATGAAGCATAAAAAGTAGTAAATGATCATAGACATAACCTAAAATTTTTTAGGCTGTGTCCACAATGGGCTCCTTGTTTTTAGTATTATTGTTATTATTTTTATTTATTTATTTATTTGAACATAAACGGGTGTCAAATAAATAAAATAAAATTTTTACTAGTTTATTATTATTATTTATAAATTATTTACAATTTAATATATGATATTATAAAAAAAAAAATTCTTTATTCTAATAAAATTTCTTTTTTTTTTACCATCAGTCAGAACCGCCTGAACGGATGTATTTTGCTCAAATGCAATATTTCCAATTGTGGCGAATGTAAAAATTCCAACAAGCAAACTAGTAAAAGCATCAATTAATGACACTGACAGTGTGTCGATAAAAATATTATTGTGAAATTTATTATAACTCGCGAAGCATATCATTGTACCAAATCCCACGCCAACGGAATTAAATATTTGTGCAGCAGCATGCACCCAAACCTTTAAAAAAAAAAGAAATAAATAGAAATTAATTATCGTTAATTTAAATTTTCCCGCTTCAATTTGCTTGCAATATATCGAATGATTATAGAACGTGATTGGTTGATATTTTGTCTATATATTCATTGGTCACGAATTTTTCTCCTCGTCCAATCACAGTTCGTAATAATTCGATACTTCGATAACTATCAAATGAAGACAAAAGGGCGGGAAAAATTTGAATTTTCAAAATTTATTATTAAAGTTATAGTGTTTAATATAATTTTGTAATATTTTTAATTTAGTTCTAGTAAATTCAAAAAACAAATTTTAATTAATTTTCTTTTTAATTAAAAAAATTTTTAATTTAATTTTTCTTTTAATTAAAAATTTTTTAATATAATTATTTTATTAAAATTTTTTTATTGAATTTATTTTTAAGTAAATTTAAAAAATTTTTTTTTGGCACCTTGGAATCCATTAATCGATACCATTCGACTTTGAAGAAAAATTGCAGTCCCTTTTCAGCGCCCTCAAGTGTGATTGCCCTGAAGAGGACGACAATTATCAAAAAAAATGGTAATGTCGCTGTCAAATACCTGACTCTTGCCGACGATTTGATTGATTTCCAAATCGAGAAATAAACCATTACCCATGCAGTGACAAGACATGCGGCCAATTCCCATCTAACGATTCCTGGATGTTCAATTCCCTCGCTAATTTGCAGTACTTTATTGCTTAAAGTATCAATAAAAAAAAAGAGGAAAAAAATTATTAATTTTTTTTTTTTGAAATAAAAATTTTAAAAAAAAATTAATTTCTATTTTAATAAAACTAAAAAAAAATTTACTTTCCATTTTAAGGAAAATAAAAAATAATTTCTTTATTATTAATAAAAATAAAAAAACGATTTTTTTAGGCTGCTTTCACAATGACGAAGACGATGTTTTTAGAACGAGACTGTGCGTGACAGTTGGCAATGGATGCGCGCGCATTATCCCGTCCTAAAAACATCGTCTTCAAGACAATAGGATTTAGCTATTGTGAAAGCAGCTGGAAAAAAAAATAAAAAACTAATTCTTTTCTTATAATAAAAAAATTTCTTTTTTTTAATAAATATAGAAAAAAAATTTTCTTTTTCTTTTCAATAAAAATTTTTAAAAAATTCTGAATTTTTTTTTTTTTAATATTATATTTACTCGAAAAATTCTTCGGAAGGTGTTTTCGATGTCGTCGATGCAGATCTATTTTCTCTATTGAGTGCAGCCGACCAACAATGTTCAGTATTCCATAAATTATCGCAATCGGACCACGGTTGATCGGTTTTGAATGCAGTAAAAAAATAATATATTGCGTATGCTATTATCACGTTGTGGTATGTTGACATCAAAAAAGATATCACCACGGAAGACAAACCAGCTCCTGTAAATTTGTACAATAATAATAAAAATAAAAATTTAATTATATAATAATAATTATTATTATTATTACTATTATTATATAATTATTATTATTATTATTACTATTATTATTACTATTATTATATTATTATTAATATTACCAATCTAACCTATTAATTACTATTTAATAAATTAATTTCTGTTTAAAATCCAATTGCATTTAAAATTAAATTATTTTGTAAATTCAATTATTTATTTTAATTGTTCGATACCATTATTTCGCCTTATAAAAAATTGTCTTAAAAACGATGCGATTTAGCTATTGTGAACAAGCCTTAAATGTACATACAGCAGACGAATTAATTTGTTAACATTTGAGATCTTGCATTTAAAATAATTGACAACCCAACCCTGTCGACTAACCATTTTTTTCTATCGTCTTTGTGTTCTTCGAGCAGAATTCTTTTTTTTCACGTCATTGAACTTTGATGGCAATTGAATTCACAAAATAAGATCAAAGGCCATTATATAATATAATAATAAACCATTTTATTATTAACAATAAACAATGAAAGAAATGAATATAAAAGTGAATATAATCTGATATAATATAAAAAAAGGGTGTCATTAGAAGAAAAAATCATAATTGCATGAAAGTTATAAAGGTTATTATAATAAATATATATATAATAATTATAATAAACCTTTTTATTATTAACCATAAACAATGAAAGAAATGAATATGAAAGTGAATATAATCTGATATAATATTAAAAAAGGACAGTAAAATTTATTATTTCTTATTATTACAATTATTGTTATAATAATAATAATAATAATAATAATTATTATTATTTTTATTATTGTTATAATTATTATTATTATTTGTTTATTTATAATAATTCATTTATCTTTACTTTTTTCAAGAAATGTACAACAGACGAATTATTTGGCTAACATTTGAGATCCTGCATTTAAAATAATTGACTACCCAACCCTGTCGACTAACCTTTTTTTTCTATCGTCTTTGTGTTCTTCAAGCAGAATTCTTTTTTTTCACGTCATTAAACTTTGATGGCAATTGAATTCACAAAATAAGATCAAAGGCCATTATATAATATAATAATAAACCTTTTTATTATTAACCATAAACAATGAAAGAAATGAATATAAAAGTGAATATAATCTGATATAATATAAAAAAGGGTGTCATTAGAAGAAAAAATCGTAATTGCATAAAAGTTATAAAGGTTATTATAATAAATATATATATAATAATTATAATAAACCTTTTTATTATTAACCATAAACAATGAAAGAAATGAATATAAAAGTGAATATAATCTGATATAATATAAAAATAGGGATTTATTAGAACACCAAATAGTAATTGCATGTTAAATTTTATTATATAATTAATATAATTTATTATACCGTTTGAAAATGGCGTCTATTTTAAGGTTGGGATAAAAAATACTAATTTTTATCCTATAGTAAAAATTGACGCCATTTTTAGACGGGAGAATAAATGATTGGCTTTACACCCTGACTTCAGGTATCTAAAAGCGTCATGTTCGTGCCTGAGCGGTTAAAAAAATTTTTTTTTATTTATTTCTATAGAAAAAATTTTAATCAAATTTTGTATACCTTTTAAAAGAGGGCACATTTGTCCGAGAGCACCAATTGGCCCTCGACGAGTAAATTGACCTATTGCAAGTTCCATATACAATAATGGCACTCCACATACTATGAGTATTAAAAAATAAGGTACTAGAAAAACACCTGTAAAAAAAAATTAAATTATTTCCTTTATTTGCAATTAATTATTATTCCCCTTAATTATAATATATATATATAATTAATTATTAAATAATTAAATTGAAAAGTTAAATTAAATTAAAAAATTAAATTAAATTAAAAAATTAAATTACATTAAAAAATTAAATTACATCAAAAAATTAAATTTAATTTAAAAATTAAAAAAAATAATAATGTTAGAATGGGGTTTTTGATAATTCTATAAAAGATTTTAATGTTCTTATAATTTCTACAACTGAGATTGCCATGTATTATTTTACATGATTATTTTGTTGTTAGAATAATAATGACTACCCCGCTGCAAGCAAAAAAAAATCTATATATAAAATTAATATAATAATAATAAAAATAAAAAAAAAGTGAAAAAATAATTTTGAAAAATTGTGGACTTTAAAAAATATTTTTGTACTAGAAAACGTATTATTTGGCAAAGAAAAAAATGATTGGCTCTCTTTTACTCTGATAATAATAATAATTATCAAACAATGGTGAATGATTTAAGATACTACGACCTTATATTCTTCATAAAGCTCTAATTACTCAAGTTAATTAAACTAGATCCATATATGAGAACAGTAGGTCAATGTCTAGAGAATTTTAAAAGATATATAAACGAAATGCAAATTATAAATTTTTGAGATGATTTTGAAATAATATTAAATTAAAAATTAAAAAACAATAAAATAATAATTATTAACAAAATTTTCATTACTGTTATTATTATTACTACTTATTTTTATTTATTAAAAAAAAAAAATATGTAACGCGTTCTGAAGAAAAATGCAAAAAATTGTAGGTTATGTTTATGATCGTTTTATACCTTAGCTAAAAGTTCTGCTTATTTAATCATAAACATAACCTATAATTTTTTTAGGCTGAATCCACAATGGGCTTTTTAAATATGCTAAAAAGCCCATTGTGGATTCAGCCTAAAAAAATTATAGGTTATGTTTATGATTAAATAAGCAGAACTTTTAGCCAAGGTATAAAACGATCATAAACATAACCTACAATTTTTTAATCAGAACGAAATAAACGTAACCTATAAAAAAACAATAATACTAAACAAGGAGCCCATTGTGGACACAGCCTAAAAAATTATAGGTTATGTTTATGATAGTTTACTACTTTTTATGATTCATATGGATGATTATTATTATTCTTATAACAATAATAGTATTGATAATAATAATAATAATAATAATAATAATAATAATAATAATAATAGTAATAAATAAATTGATATACAAAAAAATTCTAAAAATATAAAAAAATCGAATTAAAAATAAATATAATAGAATGATTTAAATTTTGCAAAAAAAAGTATCTCTAACGGTCACTATTGGAATCCTTTGTTTTTAAAAGAAAAATTGCTCATTGAAATCGAAATCGTCATTTGCTGAGAAATATCGAGAAATTCAAAGAAGTGAAAGAGATATTACAAATACAATATTTTTTTTTATTTTGAATGCAAAATGACGTCACTGTCCTTCTATTAGAATGATGGTGATAAGAATTTACATGTTTATTCGTCGCATCATCGTCAGTGCAGCTTAATATGAGTCAGTATATCATCAGAAATTTTCTTGCGAATAGCTAAATGATCCCTTTTTTTTTAACAAAATTGTTATCATTATTTTTTGCCCCAAAAAAATAATTTCACAACTATTTTTCATTAAAAAAAATAAATATTTTTTTTGTTAAAAAAAATTATATTTTAGGAAAAATTAAAAAAATATTAATTTAAAATTTTATTTTATTTTAAAAATTAATTATTTAAAATTTTATTTTATTTTAAAAATTAATTATTTAAAATTTTATTTTATTTTAAAAATTAATTATTTAAAAAAAATTTATTTTCCATTTTTTGATTATTGAATTTTTTTTTTTTTATTAAATATTAAATATTTATTTATTTAAATACATTGATTATTATTTATTGAAAGATTTTTGAAATTTTTCTATTAATATAGTATGCGCGAAAAAAATATAATAACAATTTTTATTTAGCACGCGAAAAATAAAATTGTTTTGATTATAGCTTTGTAATAATTCAAAATTTTTTTCTTTATAATAAAAAGAGCATTAAGTTCTTTAGAAGGTCAGTATTCTCCAATTTCAAAGTAAATATTGCATTACAAAACTATTTTCATAGTCACTAAAAAAGAGACACTTGCCTACACAAACGGACGTGATGCAACTTTAGGAACTTGATACATGACCCTGATTTATAACTATTATTATAATTATTATACATATTTAAGTATATATAAATTTTTGTTTTTTTTTCAAAGGAATAAATTTATTTTACCAAAAATAATTATTTTAATATATATTTTTTTTTTAATTTTTCAATTTATATTTTGAAATAAATTAAAATTATTTTGAAATATCACAATTTTATCTAATTTTTATAATAGTAAAAATTATTATTAGTAGAATTTTTATTATTATTATTATTATTATTATTATTATTTACATTACAATTTTTATAGGTTACGTTTATTTCATTCTGATTAAAAAATTGTAGGTTATGTTTATGATCGTTTTATACCTTGGCTAAAAGTTCTGCTTATTCAATCATAAACATAACCTATAATTTTTTAGGCTGAATCCACAATGGGCTTTTTAGAATACTTAAAAGCCCATTGTGGATTCAGCCTAAAAAATTATAGGTTATGTTTATGATAGTTTACTACTTTTTATACTTTACATATGGGTGATTATTATTATTATTATTATTATTATTATTATTATTATTATTATTATTATTATTATTATTATTATTATTATTATTATTATCTATTATTATTATTATTATTATTATTATTATTTTATTTATTATTACCATTTTTTTAGTAAAAATAAATTATTTGTATAGAAAAATTTATTTATCAAAAAAATAAGGAAAAAAAAAAGAAAAATATTTTGAGTCAATAATAAATAAAATGAGTTGAATTATTATTTGAATTGACACTGATGATCACATTTGTAAATATTTGAGTAAATCGTGAGTAAAATTACGTAACTGAAAAAAAGGTCTTTATTTAATTATAACACATCGAGAATGAATTCAGATTTATGATTCAGCCACACGCAAAAATTTTAATCAATAAAAAATTATTATTCTTTTCGTAAAGTCTATTATTCATAAGATTTATTTGAATTTTCTATTTATTTATAAATTCAAGAATTTATTTTTTAATTACAATTATTATATATTTATTTAGTAATAAATAAATATTTAATTAATTTTTTTACAACAATAAAACATTGAAATTTGAAATTACCGCCAAAATTTTTTAGCGGGAAATTTAAAATGGAAAATTTCTTTATTTTTTAAATATATATATATATATATATATATATATATATATATATATATATATATATATATATATATATATATATTGTAACCGATCTTGAATTCTTGAGCGCGGGTGGACATTAAACGATTCACTAAATGAAAGATTAACTACCGGGCTCTACAATCTCCGTTAAAAAGCGAATAATAAAAGAATCATTATCCATGGACCTTGAGACATATGACCATATATATAAATATATATTATTATTAGAAGTGCTTGCGTTATATTATATTTCGCGTTTAGGATAGTGGAAAAAATTTTCTATTTATAATTTAAAAAAATTTTTTTTTCATTAAATTATATTATTATTATTATTATTATTATTATTATTATTAAAGTTTATGAAATGATTAGATTACCTCCACCACTTTTGTAACAAAGGTAGGGGAACCTCCACACGTTCCCGAGACCCACTGAATATCCAATACACGCGAGAACAAATTGCACTTTATTCTCCCAATGAGGTCTTTTTGGTTGTCGATAATCTTCCGGATCTGCAGCATCTCCATCGTCGTATGTGCTACACGTCGAGAGATCATCTTCCACCGGACTGAAAATTAAATGAAGAACCATTTTTTTTCGCTTTTTTTATTTAATTTTGAGGTTATTTTCTTCTTTTTTCGTTGTTCATCCTTAATATGATTTATATTTGGAGGTTATGTTGTCCTATTTCTATTGTGGAAGTATCCTAAAGTTACCTTTTGGAGGTTATGTTGCCCTATTTCTATTGTGAAAGTACCCTAAAGTTACCTTTTGGAGGTTATATTGCCCTTCTTCTATTGTGGATGTACCTTAAAACGATCTAAATTTGGAGGTTATTTTGCCCTCTTTTCATTGTGGAAATAACCTAAATCGACTCTAAATACGATTCCTAAAAACAACATAAATAAAGGTTATGTTCCCTTTCAATTAATATCATTGTAGAATTACCCTAAAGTGCCCTTAGAAAATAAGACTATGTTCGTCTGCAAATAATTACATTGTGAAATTACCCTAAATGGTCCTCAATAATAATAATAATAATAAGACCTAAAAATTTAGAGGAAAATAAATTTATTTATCTATTTTTCTTTCAAAAAAATGTATAGCAGACGAATTAATTTGTTAATATTTGAGATCCTGCATTTAAAATAATTGACAACCGAACCCTGTCGACTAACCTTTTTTTTTCTATCGTCTTTGTGTTTTTCAAGCAGAATTCTTTTTATTCACCTCATTGAACTTTGATGGCAAAGGTATTTTATTTAATGATTTAAAAAGTGTTGTATATAATTTAATTTAATTGTGAAAAATTTTATTATAATAAATATTATAATTATAATTTACCTTTTTATTATTAACCATAACAATGAAAGAAATGAATATGAAAGTGAATATAATCTGATATAATATAAAAAAAGTGATTCGCATGATTTTTTTGGAAATGAACATTTTGCCTTAAATTAAAGGAGATCGTTTTTTTTTGTGTGTTTAAAAATTAAGTCACATTAAAAGAATATAACCTTAAGGGACTTACGTATATATAAGAGTTAATTAAACCCACGCTCTTTAATTCAAGGTCTATTCAAAGATTCGTGTCACAAAGATAAAAGTATTATATATATATTTATAATTTTCAAGATTATAAATAAAAAAAAAAAACTTTGACCCTGAAAAATTTTGAAAAAATTGAATAGTTTTTGAAATTAGCAAAATGATATTTTTTTTGCAAAAATGTGCATAAAAAATACATGAAAAATTATAAATATTTTTAAAAATAATTAAAAATACTACTACTACTACTACTACTACTACTACTACTACTACTACTAATAATAATAATACTAATAATAATAATAATAATAATAATAATAAAAATAAAAGGTAATAATAATAATAATAAAAAAGATAAAAATATTAATAATAATAATAAAATATTTTAAATACAAAAAATAATGGATGATAAATTGAATTAAATTTAACTCAACCAATAAGTCAATTATAAATTTTATATAATCTTATTTTATTCTCGGAGATAAAATATATTGATAAGTTAATTTAAACCTACTTCCTCTATATAGAGGAGAAAAAATTATTCTTATCTTAAAATTTTAATCTTCTAATTTAAAAAATAAACTCACTCAACAGGAATGGCCCTCTGAAGTTTTGGTAAATTTATAACGAGATGATTTTTCAAAACACTAAATGTCATTTTTGCACTAAATTAATTCTAAGAATTTTTCTATTTTTTCAAAATTTTGCAACAAAAATCTTCAATTATTAATTAAAGTTTTTAAAAAATATACAAGGAATCAATTTAAAAAAATTTTTAATTAAAAAATTATATTTAAAATTTTTTTTTAAATTTTTAAATTAAAATCAAAATTGTTAAATAGATTTTTATTAAAAACTTAAAAAATTTATTTCGAATTTTTTCTCAATTGAACCTTTTCTTTCTATAGATTAGTTTGAACTGAAATATTGTGAATAAATTATATTGTATTTATAAGACCATCTGCTTTGGTTGCAAACAACGGGGAAGTGTTTTGTTTTTTATAAAAATTATCATCGTCCACGTGTGACTTTTTCTAAGGACGATATTTGACAAAAAAACAAATATCAATGAGAGCAGTTTGAAAAATATTTTTTGTCTACTATAATAATTAACGTGTTAAAAAATAGGATTTTACTGTTTATAAACAAAAGAAAAAATAGTTTCCTCGGCTCTAATTTTTTCAAAGAAACATAACCTCAAAAATTATTTTTTTAAAAGAAAAATACGGTAGTTTAATTATTTTTTCGGAGCTGTTAAAAGACTTGTAATAAATTTAGAAAATAAGAATAATTATACTAAAAATTAATAAATAATAATTGCTGTTTTTCAAAAAATTTCAGGTATTACTATGGATACACGTAAGAGGATTGAAGAAAAAGTGAAGTGGTTTTTAAAAAACAAGGTTTGTTTTATATTAATGATGAATAACAAAAATAACATTAAAAAAAACAAAACTTAGGTCCACATCGAATCAGAGGCTTTTTAAATGACAGAAATTTCAAATTTGTTCGAATTTTTAATTCAGGGTGTCTAACGGTCAGGGAATTTTTTTTTCCTAGCAATTGTTAGACACCCTAGAATTTTTAAAGACGCCGAATTTTCATTTGTCATAGTTTTTTGAATCAAAAGGAACCTGGACCTATTAGATCATAGTATAGCTTAGTGTCAGTCTCTAAATAATTTCTGTATGCTTCTAAATAATTTATTACCAGCAGTTAATTTTTTCCAAAGCACTAAATTCATTGAAGTGAAAATTAATTCCCATTAAAAAATATTCAGAACCGCTTTTTAACTAATTCTATTTCTCATAACTCTAAAAATTATTATTCTTCTCAGAAAGTTTTGTGACCGATTTCTACAATTGATTCCTAGGATGCTCTCGTAAGGAATCATCTCATCATATCAATTATTATTGTCCGAGTAGTACTCTTCACTCTCTCATTTTCTATCTCTAATATCATCACGTTAGGATATACTTACGTTGGCGGATGTACCATGTTAAGCAACTCTGATGGCGAAGTGGGCACTCTTCTTATCGTTAGTTTCCTCCCATCGGACGAACCCATACCAATTGAGGCTAGAGAGCGAATTGACACCGAATCAGGAAATGGTCTTCCATAGTGTCCACCATCAAAAACAATTGATGCCCAACTTGTTGCCGGCGGTTGTTGTTGTTGTTGCTGTTGACTATAATGATGTTGCTGTCCAAAATGCAATTGTTGTGGATCATCAGTTGCATTTGATTTTAATGATCTCATACTTGGAAATCGATAATGATGATTTTGATGATGTCTACCATAGAGTTCCATACCACGACTGATCCTTCCACTCTGTTGTACTATCGAAATCTCCCTGGATCCAGCATCCGTCAATCTACCAGATTGACAACCACGTGACGATGATGATAATTTCTCGTGAACACTGTCGGTACTGCTGTTACCACTGTTGGATCTTTTAACTCCATTTCCTGATGATAACGTTGAAGTGACAACTATCTTTTTATTAGTTGGGGTCAATAGACGTCCATTCTCCTCGGGAGAATCTGAATCTTGATCTTGTGATGATCTAATCATGTCCGGCTCACCATCAGCGTCTGATCCATCTTCCTCTGGCATTGTACTCATTTTTCTAACATTATTCTGTTTTCCCATTTGATTGGGCCTCTGCTGATGTTGTTGTTTAGGACTTAATTTTCCGTCGGTGATCATCACCTTTAGTATTTTAATTAACAGATCATCATTGCATTTCCTGATTTCATCTGTAATTATTAATTTTTTGTAACCTTGAATCTGTCTGCGAATATTTTTGGAATGCAATTTCTAGCTTCCGGTTGGTAATTAGAATTCTAATTTGGGTTATTGAATGGATTTATTTTTTAATTCCTCTTTTCAATAGATTAATAATTTTTGCAAATCAAGTGAATAATGAAGAAAATAATATCGAAAGATTTTAAAATACTATTATGTTGTTCTTGAGAAAATTTTATTATATTGTCTTATCGAATATAGTTTCTAGGTTTTCATTTTTAAATTCTTTATCTATTCAGAAGAATTGCCATTAGAAACGATACAATATTAATAAAAAGAAGAAAAAGCAGCAGAAATTAAATTAAAAAAAGAAGTCATTATTATTATTTATCATCAACTGAATAAATATGAATCGTACATTAAACGTCGGGAAAAAAGTAAACAAATGAAAAAAATGCCAAAAGAGAAAAAAATGAGAGACAGAGAAATAAGAATTTTTGTCATATCTGTTGCACACTATATGCCTCAAGAAACAAGTGCAATGATAAGGATAATAATGAATCGATAAAAATTCAAGGAAAAGTTTATAAAATGACATCAAGAACAGTTGAGAAACATTATATGATTATGATTATGTCTATAGACATATATATATATATATATATATATATATATACATATAATATATATAGTTGATTAAAGAAAAGACAGAAAGATGATAAGAAAAATTCGCAATATTAATTTTTCTCAAAAAAAGGAGGGAGGGAAAATATAATGTTATTCTCTTTTAAAACTTTTTCTTTTTACAATTCCTTTAATTTTTCTATTTCTAATTATTCCTCCAATTCGATAAATAAAAATTTATAATAATTAATAATAATTTTTTTCTTCTTTTTTAATAATTTTTTTACTATATACAAAATCAGTTTCAAAATTTTACGAAAACTTAATTCAACAAAACATGGAATTGAAAAAAAAAATTTTATTTAAAAAGAAAAACGGAAAATATAATAAATTTTATTTTTAAAAAATTTCAGATATGACTATATGGACACGCACGAAAAAGGATTGAAGAAAAATTGAAGTGGTTTTTAAAAGAACAAGGTTTGTTTTATATTAATGATGAATAACAAATAACGTTTAAAAAAAAATATATTTTGTTCCACTTTGAATCAGTGGCTGAATATTTGCTTTTGAATATTATTAATTCTTTAGTATAATTAACTAAAATTTTTGGATATTTTTCTAAATTTTTTCCCCCTTGCCCTTTCTTCTAAATTTTTAAAATAATTTTAATGAAATTCTTCACAAATTCGATTATCTTAAATTTTTTTTTTTATTATTTTATGAAATTCAACAGTTTTTATTAAACTTTTTTTGTCACACATTCTTAAATAATATTTTAAAAATAAAATTTTACGAAAACTTAATTTCATAAAACATGGAATGGAAAAATATATAACAAATTTTATTTAAAAAGAAAAATGGAATATATAATAAATTTTATTTTTAAAAAATTTCAGATATGACTATATGGACACGCACGAAAAAGGATTGAAGAAAAATTGAAGTGGTTTTTAAAAGAACAAGGTTTGTTTTATATTAATGATGAATAACAAATAAGGTTCAAAAAAATATTTTGTTCCACTTTGAATCAGTTGCTGAATATTTCCTTTTAAATATTAATTCTTTAGTATAATTAACTAAAATTTTTGGATATTTTTCTAAATTTTTTCCCCCTTGCCCTTTCTTCTAAATTTTTAAAATAATTTTAATGAAATTCTTCACAAATTCGATTATCTTAAATTTTTTTTTTTTATTATTTTATGAAATTCAACAGTTTTTATTAAATTTTTTTTGTCACACATCCTTAAATAATATTTCTTCTTTAAAATAATTTTTTTTTTTTATAATTCCTCAAATTTTAATTTTCCTAATTTTTAATTCCATGTAATTTTCATTATTTTTCTTATAGTTCCTTAAATAATTAATTAATATTTCTTCTCATAATTCCTTAAATAATTTTCCTTTTTCTTCTTACAATTCCTTAAATAAATTATCCCAACTGCACGCACCAATTATTTTTTGCTGCAATTTTTTTTTTCGTTGAAAACACTCACAAAAACAGATGCAAATCCAAAATTTAAAAAAAAATTTAGTTTTATCAAAAAATTATTAACAGACGGATTGCCCTTGAGAAGGGGTGGCCTTGAACGTTTGAAAAACGAGTTTAATAATTGCCGGACGGAAGAGAGTTAGCATTCCAACAAGTGTGTGTCTTGTCACACACATATATATGTAACAGATTAAAAAAAAAAAAAAAATAATTCTTAATATTTGTACTAAGAAATTTCTTGTCAGTACATTGTATACAATAAAAATTGTATTAGTACTTACAAAAACAGAAACAATTTTCGTTCTGCTAATTAAGAAAAAAGAATTTTTTTTTTGGAACTCTGATGATAATATGACACATGTAGTTGTGGTGCACACGTGAGTCACGTGACCGGAACCCTCCAGGCGCCACTGTGAGATGTTTCGACCTCGGTATATACGATGCTCGGTATAACGTTTAACAAACGATCACGTTTAACCAACTGAAAGTCAACGCGCAAAGTGACAATTACTTATATATTTTTTTTTTATTAATCTATAATCGAGTATTACACAGCTTCCTAATATGTATTATATAAAAAAAAATAATAATAATAATGAAACGTGATGAGAGAGAGAGGCAAGTCCGAGAGAGAACCGGGTCCGCGGCTATTTGGAGCGATAAAAGGCGCGGCGCGGTTTATTCTCTTTCTCACTTTTTTATCTCGATGAACACGCCACCAACTGGGATTGGAGTGCAACTAAAAATTGTAGACACATATGTAATCTTTGCAGATTTTTACCTCCTCTCCGCGGGGTCCCACACACCTCCCACTTGTTACAGGGCCGACTTCATTCATTGTGGAGTTGTAGATTGTATTTCTCTTTCTCTCTGTATATAGTCTTTAAATTTGAAGTTAGTGATTTACTTTTTCCTTTTGAATTAGTTAAATTTTACTCTAATTCAATTTTTTAATTAATTTGTTAAATTTTACTAATTTCAATTTTGTTCACTATTAATTCGGTAAATTTTACTGTATCAGAAGAAGGTAGCCTTCGAAGGCAAAAAAAACTAGAAATTTAGGGAAAAAAGCTGTATGGAATGACCCCAAAAAAAAAATCCAAAAAACGGTTAAAAAATTTTGAAGACATTAACGGATCGTTAGGAAATTTGGTTAATTATGTTATTTGCGATGAATAACAGTAATTAAAGGTGGAAAAATACAAATTTTTGGAAAAAATTTTTTAATTATTTACGGAATTACCCAAAAAAAAAATCCAAAAAACCGTTATAACTTCTAGAAAAATTAACAGATTATTATGAAACTTCGTAATTATGTTCTTTGCTTTGAATAAAACCATTAAATGTCAGAAAACATACAAATTTTGAAAAAAAGTTTATAATCATTACGGAATGACCCAAAAAAAAAAAAATTCAAAAAAACCCTTATAACTTCTAAACTAATTAACGAATCGTTATGAAACTTGGTAACTATTTTCTTTGTTTTGAATAAAACCAATTAATGGTAGAAAGAAATACAAATTTAGGGGAAAAAATATTTTATTACAATGGAATGACCCAAAAAAAATTCAAAAAACTTTTATAACTTCTAAATAAATTAGCGGATCGTTATGAAACTTGGTAGCTATGTTCTTTACTTTGAATTACACCATTTAAAGGCAGATAAATACAAATTTTTCGAAAAAAGCGTTTTATTATTACGGAATGACCCCAAAAAAAATTCAAAAAACTTTTATAACTTCTGAAGAAATTAACGGATCGTTATGAAATTTGGTAGCTATGTTCTTTACTTTGAATTACATCATTTAAAGGCAGAAAAATACAAATTTTTCGAAAAAAGCGTTTTATTACTACGGAATGACCCCAAAAAAAAATCAAAAAACGATTATAACTTTTGAAGAAATTAACGGATCGTTATGAAATTTGGTAGCTATGTTCTTTACTTTGAATTACATCATTTAAAGGCAGAAAAATACAAATTTTTCGAAAAAAGCGTTTTATTACTACGGAATGACCCCAAAAAAAAATCAAAAAACGATTATAACTTTTGAAGAAATTAACGGATCGTTATGAAATTTGGTAGCTATGTTCTTTACTTTGAATTACATCATTTAAAGGCAGAAAAATACAAATTTTTCGAAAAAAGCGTATTATTATTATTATTATTATGGAATATCCCCAAAAAAATTTAAAAAAACGGTTATAACTTCTAAAAAAATTAACGGTTTGTTTTAAAACTTGCTAATTATATTCCTTGCTTTGAATGAAACCATTTAATTGCCAAAAAAAATTCAAAAGGGAATTAGTTTGTAATTACTATGGAATGACTTCAAAAAAAAAAATCCAAAAAACCGTTATAACTTCTAAAAAAATTAACGGATCGTTATAAAATTTGGTAATTATGTTCTTTGCCTTAAATGACACAATTTAAAGGCGGAAAAATACAAATTTTGCAAAAAAAAAAGTTTATAATCATTACGGAATGACCCAAAAAAAAAAAAAAATTCAAAAAAACTCTTATAACTTCTAAACAAATTAAAGAATCGTTATGAAACTTGGTAATTATGTACTTTACTATGAATAGCACTAGATTTAAGGTGGAAAAATAGAAATTTAAGTGAAAAAAATCTTATACAAAAAATAAAATAGCATAAAAAAAAATTTTTTTTTTCTCTTCTTCATTGACTATGCGACAGATGGCAGATCGTGTACCATTTTCTGTTCAAAGATTGTATTCTGTCTTGTCAAGATATTATTTATCTACTGAGAACACAAATAACTTCCTTTATCTACTGAAAGAGTATACATTTCTTACTTATCAATTTATATTCATTTAAATATATAGGTTTTAACATTTAAAAATTTATAATAATAATAATAATTTATAATAATTATTTATAATAAAAATATTTATAATAATAATTTATTTTAAATTAATTTTATATTAAATTTTAAAAGAATTTTTATAATAATTTTTTTTCAAATTTTCTAAAACTTCAAATTTAAAAAATTTTTGAAATACTTTTTGAAAAATTAAAAAAAAAATTCTAAAAAATAAATTATTTTTACAACTTATTTCCTGGGTGATGATATTTTATTGTTTATATATATATATATATATGTGTGAAGGGAGTAGTGCAATTATCATTATAGCTAGTGCAAACTGGGACCTTGGGGTGAACGATTTACATGGGAATTGTTTATTCTTTCGCGATTCGAATATATATATATATATATATATATATATATATATATATATATATATATGTATATACATATATACAATAATTTACATATAGTGGCACATTTAGATCGTAGATTCCTGCTTTATCTGCATCTGTCGCAGAAAATAATTTACCTGAGGCGGGGCAAAAGTGAAAGTTCTCACGAATAGCAAAATCAAAGGTCGACTCATCTCTATGGGAATAGGCTCTATATATATAACAAAAAGTTCAATTATTACCGTTGTAATTTTTAATTAGATTAGAATTCAAAATAATAATTATAAAAATGTTAATGCCCTAAAAATTATCTATGAGCGAAATTTTTTTACTCTTTGTATAATTTTTCAATTCAATAGCAAACAAAATTAACTATTTTGTTTGAGTTGATTCAATAGCAAAAAATAAGTCTTCTACTATTTATTTGACTCAATTCAATAGTAGAAGTTGTCAACTATTTATTTGATTCAATTCAATAGCAGAAGTTGTCAACTATTTAACTCAATTCAATAGTAGAAGTTGTCAACTATTTATTTGACTCAATTCAATAGTAGAAGGTGTCAACTATTTATTTGACTCGATTTAATAGAAAACACTTTCAACTATTTATTTGACTCAATTTAATAGTAGAAGTTTTCAACTATTTATTTTACTCAATTCAATAGTAGAAGTTTTCAACTATTTATTTGACTCAATTCAATAGTAGAAGTTGTCAACTATTTATTTGACTCAATTCAATAGTAAACATTGTCAACTATTTATTTTAATTGTATTCAACAATTTAATTGATTTAATTCAATAGCAAACACTGTCAACTATTTTTTTGACACAATTCAATAGCAAATATTCACAAATAATTGACACAATTAAATAGCAAACGTTTTACAACTATTTAATTGACTTAATTCAATTATTTTACATAAAATTCAATAGCAAAAGTCATCTACTATTTATTCGACTCAATTCAATAGTAAACGTTGTCAAAACTATTTATTTAACTCGATTTAACAATTTTTTTTGACTTAATTTAATAGAAAACACTATCAACTATTTATTTGACACAATTCAATAGTAGAAGTTGTCAACTATTTATTTTAATTCTATTTAACAATTTAATTGATTTAATTCAATAGCAAACACTGTCAACTATTTTTTTGACACAATTCAATAGCAAATATTCACAAATAATTGACACAATTAAATAGCAAACGTTTGACAACTATTTAATTGACTTAATTTAATTATTTTACATAATTCAATAGCAAAAGTCATCTACTATTTATTCGACTCAATTCAATAGTAAATGTTGTTAACTATTTATTTCACTCAATTAAATAATAGAAGTTGTCAACTATTTATTAGACTCAATTCAATAGTAGAAGTTGTCAACTATTTATTTGACTCAATTCAACTATACATTTGACATATTTTAATAGCAAACCTTTTTTTCAAACTGTTTAGTTGACTTACTTCAATAGCAAATATTGATAACTAATTATTTGACACAAATCAATAGTAAATATTTTTACAACCATTTATTTAATTTAATTCAATAGCAAACATTTTTAACACATTATTTGACTCAATTTGATACGGATTTTAGGAAAACATTATTTTGACGTCATTCAATAACAAATATCATCAACTATTTAATGGACTCTATTCAATAGCTTTCTTTTTTAACTATTTATTTAACTTGATTCAATAGAATTTTTTTTTAAACTATTTCTTTGATTAAATTTGATAGCATAAAGTATTAACTTTGTACTTTACACAATTCAATAGTAATTTTATCAACTATTGAATATTTGCTACACAATTCAATAGCTATTTTATCAAGCACTTAATATTATTCAATTAAATAGCGACGTAAATTAAATTGATTTACCAAATTTCAAAATATTTCAATTTTATGTTATTTCTTTTTTTTTGGTTTAATTCAATAGCAATATTTGTAACTAAACTAATAGAAAATAGTATATATAAAATGGAAAATAGTATTTCAAAAATAGCAAATGGTATATTAAAAATAGAAAATAATATACCAAAAATAGCAAATAGTAAAACAAAATTAGAAAATAGTAATTAAAAAATAGCAGATAGTATAGAAAATATAGAAAATAGTAAAGTAAATAATATATAATAAACAGAAAATAGTATAGTAAATAATAAATCGAAAATATCAAATAGTATAGCAAAATAGAAAATAGCAATAAATATAGTAAATAGTATATAAAAATAGTAAATAATCTAGCAAAAATAGCAAATAGTACAGCAAAATAATAAATAGTATATCAAAAATAGCAAATAGTATAGCAAAAATAGAAAATAGTATATTAAAAATAGCAAATAGTATATCAAAATAGTAAATAGTATAGAAAATATTATCGTATATAGTATATTAAAAATGGTAAATAGTTAATAGTAAATAGCAAATAGAAAATAGTAAAATAACAATAAATATAGTAAATAGTATATAAAAATAGTAAATAATCTAGCAAAAATAGCAAATAGTACAGCAAAATAATAAATAGTATAGCAAACATAGAAAAAAGTAGAGTAAATAGTTTATCAAAAATAGCAAATGGTATAACAAAAATAAAAAATAGTATATTAAAAATAGCAAATAGTATAGCAAAATTGTGAATAAATATAGTAAATATTATAGTACATAGTATATTAAAAATGGTAAATAGTTAATAGTAAAAAGTAAATAGCAAATAGTAAATAGCAAATAGAAAATAGCAAATAGTAAAATAACAATAAATGTAGTAAATAGTATAAAAAAATAGTAAATAATCTAGCAAAAATAGCAAATAGTACAGCAAAATAATAAATAGTATATCAAAAATAGCAAATAGTATAGCAAAAATAGAAAATAGTATATTAAAAATAGCAAATAGTATATCAAAATAGTAAATAGTATAGAAAATATTATCGTATATAGTATATTAAAAATGGTAAATAGTTAATAGTAAATAGCAAATAGAAAATAGTAAAATAACAATAAATATAGTAAATAGTATATAAAAATAGTAAATAATCTAGCAAAAATAGCAAATAGTACAGCAAAATAATAAATAGTATAGCAAACATAGAAAAAAGTAGAGTAAATAGTTTATCAAAAATAGCAAATGGTATAACAAAAATAAAAAATAGTATATTAAAAATAGCAAATAGTATAGCAAAATTGTGAATAAATATAGTAAATATTATAGTACATAGTATATTAAAAATGGTAAATAGTTAATAGTAAAAAGTAAATAGCAAATAGTAAATAGCAAATAGAAAATAGCAAATAGTAAAATAACAATAAATGTAGTAAATAGTATAAAAAAATAGTAAATAATCTAGCAAAAATAGCAAATACTACAGCAAAATAATAAATAGTATAGCAAAAATAGCAAATAGTATAGTAAATAGTTTATCAAAAATATCAAATGGTATAGAAAATATTATAGTACATAGTATATTAAAAATGGTAAATAGTTAATAGTAAATAGTAAGTAGCAAATAGTAAATAGGAAATAGTAAATAGCAAATAGCAAATAGTAAGTAGCAAATAGTAAATAGTAAATAGCAAATAGCAAATAGTAAATAACAAATAGTACATAGTAAAATAGTAAATAGTAAATTGCAAATAGTAAATAACAATTAGTACATAGTAAAATAGTAAATAGCAAATAGCAAATAGTAAATAACAAATAGTACATAGTAAAATAGTAAATAGTATATCAAAAATAGCAAAATCATATCAAATAGTGTATCAAAAATAGTATATTGTTGCAAATACTAAAAATATTTTAATTAAAACCAGTATTACTATTAAATCAATCAAATAACAAAAAAAAAATTCTCCCTATCTATATTTTGAAATGAAATCTTCTAGTGATTTAATAGTATTAAATTATATTTTGAAAAATAAGAAATAAAAAAATAAATAACAGAATGATTAGTTATGTCCTGGGCATTTGTATTATAATATGATAATTCTCTCTTTGTTTGATCTATGTCCTTGAGGAAGGATTGGCAGAGAGGAACTTGTACTTATCGTTATAGTAACTATATGACTACTCGAACATAATCTATTGGCACGAACATTGTGCCAAGGCCTAGAAGTTCATTTCCCACGAAAGACTGGGAGTTACCAGGCATTTGCCTATGGGCTCAAAAGAACGATCCTTTTAACAATTCCAAAGATAAACACCCATATATGCAATAACTATTTTATTTTTGTCTGATTAATTTTTTTTTTAAATTATAAAATAAAGCAAATAATATATATTTTTTATTCATTAAAAAAGGATATTTTTTTTAATGAATTAAAAAAAAAGAATTAATAAGATATAAGAATTAATAAAAAGAATTTAATAATTTAATGAGAATTTAATTTAATTTATTTAATTGTAATAAAAACAATTGTATTTTTTGATTTAATTAAAAAAAGCAATTAAATTTTTCTATTTAATTAAAATAAAAGTAATTTTTTTATTTAATTAAACATATCTTGATTAAAAAATTTTAGGTTATGTTTATGATATTTTTACCATGGATTCAAAAATTATAGTTTATTTTTATGATTTTTTTCATTCGAAAAATTATAGGTTATGTTTATTATAGTTTTAATTAAAAACATACAGGTTATGTTTACGATATTTTTACCTTGATTTAAAAATTATAGGTAATGTTTATGATAGTTTAAAGTGAAAAATACATAAAGAGCCCAAAAGTAATTAAACTTTTTTTATTTATTTAAAATACATGGATTAAAAAAATTGCAGGTTATGTTAGAAAAGAAAATATAAGTTATGTTAATATTTTTGCATTCATTGAAAAATTGTAGGTTAATTAAAAAAAAAAAAATATGTAATTTAAAAAAATTGTAATAAAAAAAGTTTTTAATTAAAAAAAATCACTTTTATATTACAAATTTTCTAATTTGGAAAATTTTTGTTATTTACTAATATAAATGACGCAAGAAATTTTGTTAACGATTTTCAAATTATAATCTAAGATCCATTAAGATGGTTCTCGCATCTCTTTGAATATTTATTTTTTTATCTCTAAATATACATTTTTATGGAAATTAAACTATCATTAGAAAGATCAATTTCTGTTTTCGCTTATATATAAAAGATTTTTAGATTTTTGTTATTTTTTTTTTTTTTTTTTTTTTTGTTAATCCCATACTTTAAAAACCACTTTTATAAATGTAATCAAATTGCATGTAAATTTCAAAAGGACGTCAATATTTCTACTGGATTTTGAATTTCATTAAAATTCATTTTCGATATATATATAAAAAAAAAAAAATTAATTAATACACGATGAGATAAAATTTTTTAATTCAAGGTCAATTTTAGGCCAACGCATATAAAAGAAAATGTTGGATCTTCAAAAAAAAAATTACTAACATTTTATTTATTATGAAGAAATTTTTTATTTTTTATTTGATATAATGCTATTTTGAATTTTAGTACTGTCATCAAATAAAAATTTGGTAACATGAAAATTTTATATTATTAATTGCAAGAAAGGAATACAACATTTTTCAGATAGGTATTATAATAATATTGAAAAATTTTAATTATTAAATTTTAATTTAATTAAATTACTCGTTCCGAAGAAAGAAAGTAAAAAAAATTATAGGTTATGTTTGTGATTGCTTCGATTAAAAAATTATTATGACCGTTTCGAATTAAAAAATTTAAGTTATGTTTGTGTTTGTTTTTAGCTACCAAAAAATTTTTTTTTTTCTGGCAGAATTTTTATGTTATTCATCATTAATATAAAACCAACCTGTTTTTTAAAAACCACTTTGCCACCAAATTTTTTTTTTTTTTGGCAGAATTTTTATGTTATTCACCATTAATATAAAACAACCTAGTTTTTTAAAAACCACTTTGCCACCAAATTTTTTTTTTGATGGCAGAATTTTTGTTATTCATCATTAATATAAAACCAACCTGGTTTTTTAAAAACCACTTTGCCACCAAATTTTTTTTTTTGGCAAAATTTTTATGTTATTCATCATTAATATAAAACCAACCTGTTTTTTAAAAACCACTTTGCCACCAAATTTTTTTTTTTTTGGCAGAATTTTTATGTTATTCATCATTAATATAAAACCAACCTGTTTTTTAAAAACCACTTTGCCACCAAATTTTTTTTTTGATGGCAGAATTTTTGTTATTCATCATTAATATAAAACAACCTGGTTTTTTAAAAACCACTTTGCCACCAAAAAAATTTATTTTTTTTGGCAGAATTTTTATGTTATTCATCATTAATATAAAACCAACCTGGTTTTTTAAAAACCACTTTGCCACCAAATTTTTTTTTTGGCAAAATTTTTATGTTATTCATCATTAATATAAAACAAACCTTGTTCTTAAAAACCACTTCAATTTTTCTTCAATTCTCTTTCGTGTGTCCATATAGACATATATCTGTAACAAAAATAACAATATCGTTTGGATTAAAAAATTATAAGTTATGTTTATGATCATAACCTATAACATTTTAGGCTCTTTTCACAATGGGCTTTTTATAGGCTACGTTCTTTTAGTACAAGGAGCCCATTGTGGACTCAGCCTACAAAATTATAGGTTATGTTCATGATAGTTTACTACTTTTTATAATTCATATATCGATGATGATTATTATTATTATTATTATTATTATTTTATTACATTTATTATTATTACTATTATTTTTATTTATTTAAAAATGTTGTGCGCTCTGAAGAAAGAAATAGATTATTATATAAGAAAGTAATTATTGGTTATGTTTATGATCGTTGAAATTAAAAATTATAGGTTATGTTTATAATTGTTTTGTTTAAAAAATTATAGATTAGGTTTATGATAGTTTGTAGTAAAAAAAAAAATACCCAAAAAGCACACAAATATCTTGAGTATCCATATGTAATGTTGTTGCAAAATTTTAAAATACGTTTTAATGAAAACTAATCAATCGATGTGATTTCTAGTCACATATATATATATACATAACCAAAATAGAGAGACGTCATTGCCTCATGTTTGCAATAATTAGTTCTAGTTCGATTATTATTATTATTATTATTATTTTTTTGAGGGATATCCAAAAAAAATTGTTAAAATGAGGGGGTCGGTACCAAAATTTTCTAAATTAAAAATATTGGCAAAAAAAAAAAAAATTTTTTTTTTTTATATAGATACATATACATATATATATATGTATATATATACTTTCCCAGATTATGTAAAAGTCTAGCTCCTCAAGATGTGCCGGTGTGTAGACGTACGGCCAGTATAAAGGTCGGCCGTGCCCCCATCTCCCGAAGAGTCGCTCACGAACTTCACATCGGCAATCATCCAACAGTGATCTCTATGAACACTAAATACAAACAAATATAACAACATTCACACATATACATACAAACAAACACATAAAACTAAGACGTTTATGTGAATTGAGTGAACATCACCTTTTCTGCACTGATATTGCAAATTTCTTACAACATCCAGTGTGACACCAACAACTTGACAACATGCGTTTTCTGGTGAGTCATTTAATATATAAAATTTACACACAGACAATAAAAAATCGAAATTTCACACAAATTTTAGCAAAAATTTTTTTTTTTTTTTTTTGCTAATTCAGATTGAATTTTTATAATTTTTTTACATTAAAAAAAAAAACACTTTTCTTGAATTAACCAAACATTTTTTTTTTTGAATCAAGCAAATATTTCATTGAATTTATCAAACATTTAGTTGAATCAACGAAACATTTCTTTAAATTAGCTAAATATTGAGTTAATTCAGCTAAATATTTCTTTGAATCAACTAAACATTTCTTTCAATTAGCTAAATATTGAGTTAATTCAGCTAAATATTTCTTTGAATCAACTAAACATTTCTTTAAATTAGCTAAATATTGAGTTAATTCAGCTAAATATTTCTTTGAATCAACTAAACATTTGGTTGAATTAGCCAAACACTTAGTTAAATCAACCAAATATTTGGCTAAATTAGCCAAACATTTATAGTTAAATCAACCAAATATTTGACTGAATTAGCCAAACATTTATAGTTAAATCAACCGAACATTTTGTTAAATTAGCTAAACATTTAGTTAAACCAATCAAATATTTCGTTAAATCAGCCTAACATTTGGTTGAAATGGCTAAACGTTTTTTTTTGAATTTACCAAACATTTGATTGAATTAGCCAAACGTTTAGTTAAATCAAACAAATATTTCGTGAAATTAGCCAAACATTTAGTTAAACCAACCAAATATTTCATTGAATCAGCCAAACATTTGGGTGAAATGGCTAAACGTTTCTTTGAATTTACCAAACATTTAATTAAATCAAAAGAATATTTCGTGTAATTAGCCAAACATTTAGTTAAATCAACCAAATATTTCGTTGAATCAGCCAAACATTTATAGTTAAATCAACCAAATATTTGACTGAATTAGCCAAACATTTATAGTTAAATCAACCAAACATTTATAGTTAAATCAACCAAACATTTTGTTAAATTAGCTAAACATTTAGTTAAACCAATCAAATATTTCGTTAAATCAGCCTAACATTTGGTTGAAATGGCTAAACGTTTTTTTTGAATTTACCAAACATTTGATTGAATTAGCCAAACATTTAGTTAAATCAAACAAATATTTCGTGAAATTAGCCAAACATTTAGTTAAACCAACTAAATATTTCATTGAATCAGCCAAACATTTGGGTGAAATGGCTAAACGTTTCTTTGAATTTACCAAACATTTAATTAAATCAAAAGAATATTTCGTGTAATTAGCCAAACATTTAGTTAAATCAACCAAATATTTCGTTGAATCAGCCAAACATTTGCGTGAAATGGCCAAACGTTTCTTTGAATTTACCAAACATCTAATTGGATTATCCAAACATTTAGTTAAATCATCCAAATATTTTGTTGAATCAGCCAAACATTTGGTTGAAATGGCCAAATATTTCTTTAAATTTATTAATCATTTCACTAGATTAACCAAACATTTCGTTAATTTTATCAAATATTTCGTTGAATCAAGCAAACATTTCATTGAATTGCCTAAACATTTTGTAAAATCAGCCAAATATTTGGTTTAATTATATATATATATACAAATATTTTTTATTGATTGAGGCAAACATTTCGTTAAATTAACCAAATATTACATTGAATTGACAAAATATTTCGTTAAATTAATAAAATAAATGTCAAAATGACTATATTATAAAAATAAATATTCATTTGTATATTAAATAATTATTATTTGATTCAAGTAAATATTTACTTGAACAATGTAAATATTTTCTTAAACCAGATAAATATTTACATGGTTTAAGTAAATATTTACTTGAATAAAGTAACAGATTATTTGAATCAAATAAATTTTTTTTAGTGTAGAAATGAAAAAAAGAAACAAAATTTATAAATTAAAAAATACAAATAATTGTTAATTTTTTTTTTTTTTGAAACTGCGTGTATGTTTAAAGATGAAAAATTGTTTCGTTGTATATCGAGAGAGAGAAAGAAAAAGACGATTTAGTTGAGTAATTCGCAAAAATAGGTGCGAAGCTGTTATACATTTTGTTGAATCTATAGAAACTCATAAAATAGAAAGTGAATGCTCGATGTCTGACATTTCGAGAAAATCTTATTTATATCTCTATTTATGTATAACACACATTTTATAACATTATATTAAGAATTTTGCCATTTTGCAGTTTTTTTTTAAATATCGCCCCTCGAAGTTTCGAAATAAATAGAAACTACACACATCACTTAAAAATATATTTTTTTAAATACTAAACATTTTCCTACAAGGAATTTTCATACACAAACGAGTTCAACAGCTTAACAATAATGATAATAATAATAATTATTATTTATTATTATTATTTATTATTTATTATTATTATTTATTATTTATTATTATTATTATTTTTATTATTATTTTATTATTATTATTATTATTATTTTTAAACATTTCGTTGAAACAAGCAAACATTTCTTTGAATTTATCAAACATTTTGCTGAATTAATCAAACCTTTCGTTGAATCAAACAAACATTTCTTTTAATTTATCAAATATTTTCTCCATATCATTTTTATTAATTATTATTATAAAATTATTTAATTCTTTGTAATTTATTGTTAAACACATTCTTTAAAAAAAATTTTATATCTTTTATTATAATTTATTTTATTTTTAATTAATTATTTATTTTTGTTTCGTTCTTTTTTTATAAAATTTTTTATTGAAACCTTTGATTTTACGAAACTTATTTAATATTTTTTTTTTATATTTTGATTACTTCATATAATTTTTATTATTAGCCGCATAATAATAATAATAATAATTTATTCATAGTTGCAATATATGTATTCTATATTGCAGAATAAATTTTTTTTTTAACACTAAAATTGAAAAGAATTCTAAGATTTTTAACTTTCTATATAGATAAAAAAAAAAAACAAATCCTTGATTATCAAACTTATTTTAAAAATTGAAGAAAGAAAAAAAAATATTGAAAGATAATTTAAAAAAAAAAATTTTATTTATATAAAATTTATTTGATATCAAAAATTATTATAATTAAATATAATAATTATAATATAATATAATTTTAATAATATTAATAATTATAATAATAAGAAATAATAAATTTCACTGTCCTTTTTTTATATTATATATCAGATTATATTCACTTTTATATTCATTTCTTTCATTGTTTATGGTTAATAATAAAAAGGTTAATTATAATTATATTATTTATTATAATTAAATTTATACCATTCAATTACGATTTGGTCTTCTAATAATAATAATAATATTATTTATATTTATTATTATTTGTAAATAAAATTATTTCATCTTGTGAATCAATATAAAAAGTTTATTGACCCCTCACAATGATTCAATGATTAATATCTTTCTCTCTCTCTATATATATCCTTTTTGTATATGTATATATATATATAAAATAATAAATTTCCTATATATACTATAATTTGCATTGAACGTAACAAAAAGTTATATATGTTATAATTCAATTTCCAATCATTACGATAGTAATTTATTGATCATTATCGTAATTCGCTGTGAATACAATTCAGTCTCACGGGATCCCATCAATAACTATATATATATATATATATACCTATATATAGTTAATGCTCGATAAAAGCCGCAACTATTAAATCAATCGTTCGGTAACACTTTCCATACAAAGTAATAGGATTAGTATTATAAATATATTTCTAATCTTGCTTACACGAGAAAATAATTATATTTTGTTGTTAAAGGTCAAAAAATCACTCTAAATATATGTATAATATACAATTTTTATTTTAATAATAATAATAATAATAATAATAATAATAATTATAATAATTTTAATTATTTTATACTATTTTTTATTTATATTTAGTTATAGTATTTTTTTAAATTTATATTTATATATAATGATATATTTATATTTATTAAATTCTTTGTATTATTTAAATTATTTTATAAATAATAATAATTTTTAAAATAAAATAAATTATGAAAAAAATTTTTAAGGCCACAAAATAAATTATTTTTTTTGAGAATTTAAAAAATTTTTAATTATATTTTAATGTTAATCATAACCTTAAAAAGAAGGAAACAATTTTTATATTTGAAAAAATTAAAGATAAATTAATTATTAAAAATAAACAAATAATAATAATAATTATTATTATTATTATAACAATAATTATAATAATAAGAAATAATAAATTTCACTGTCCTTTTTTTATATTATATCAGATTATATTCACTTTCATATTCATTTCTTTTATTGTTTATGATTAATAATAAAAAGGTTAATTATAATTATATTATTTATTATAATAAAATTTATACCATGCAATTACGATTTGGTTTTCTAATGACACCCTTTTTTTATATTATATATCAGATTATATTCACTTTTATATTCATTTCTTTCATTGTTTATGGTTAATAATAAAATGGTTCATTAAAATTTTTTTTTAATTCAATTATTATTTTGTAAATTCAATTGCATTGTTTTAGAAATTTTTCGTCTATTATGTTGAATTTGCCTTCACAATTAATTGTACAACACATTTTAAATCATTAAATAAAAAACTTTTGCCATCCAAATTCAATGACGTGAAAAAAAAAGAATTCTGCTTGAAGAACGCAAAGACAATATAAAAAAATGGTTAGTCGACAGGGTTGGGTTGTCAATTATTTTAAGTGTACGATCTCAAATGTTAACAAAATAATTCGTCTGTTGTAAATTTCCTGAAAAAAGTAAAGATAAATGAATTTTATAAATAAACAAATAATAATAATAATAATTAAATAATAATAATTATTATTATTATTAGAACAATAATTATAATAAGAAATAAAAAATTTCACTGTCCTTTTTTATATTATATCAGATTACATTCAGTTTCATATTCATTTTTTTCATTGTTTATGGTTAATAATAAAATGGTTTATTATATTATTTTTTTTTAATTCAGTTTTTATTTTGTGAATTCAATTGCATTGTCTCAGAAATTTTTCGTCTATTATGTTGAATTTGCCTTCACAATTAATTATACAACACATTTTAAATCATTAAATAAAAAACTTTTGCCATCCAAATTCAATGACGTGAAAAAAAAAGAATTCTGCTTGAAGAACGCAAAGACAATATAAAAAAATGGTTAGTCGACAGGGTTGGGTAGTCAATTATTTTAAGTCGACGATCTCAAATGTTAACAAACTAATTCGTCTGTTGTAAATTTCTTGAAAAAAGTAAAGATAAATTAATTATTATAAATAAACAAATAATAGTAATAATAATAATAATAATAATAATTATTATTATTATTATTATTATAACAATAATTATAATAAGAAATAAAAAATTTGACTGTCCTTTTTAGATCTTTTTTTTTTGTATAAAATTTTAATCTTTTTTTTTTCTACAATTTTTTTTAGGTTATCCTAGCGTTGGCGGGCCTATCACAAGCTCAGGATCTTTACTTCAGAGAGCCAGAGAAAATTGTTAGTGAAACACGTGATCTTGGCGATACAAGGGGAAATTATGCCTTCACCTATGAGACGGAGGGTGGTATTTTACAAAAAGAACAGGGAAAACGAAAATACGAAGGCACCAGCGATGAGACACAATTAATACAAGGTTCAGTGCAATATAATGCACCCGATGGTACACCAATTGCAATAAGTTGGACTGCCGATGAATTTGGTGCTCAAGTATCAGGTACACATGTACCAACACCACCACCAATTCCACCAGCAATTCAACGTGCACTCGATTGGTTGGCAAAACAACCATCAACAACTGAACAACCTGAAAATGAGTCTGAATATAAAGAGCCAATTAAAAAGAAGCCAGTTTTATTGAAACAACAATTTCGACCACCACAAGCGAGAAGAAATTAAAATTTAATTTTTATTTTTTTTTTATATATTTTTAGAATTTAGGTGAAAAAATAATTCACTTTTTTTTTTTGGTAAATAAATAACTTTTCGGAGGGGAAAAGAAAATTTTGTTATAGAGAGGATTATGAAAATTAGTGATTATTATATTTAGATTTAAGAAATGAAGTCAAATTTGTTCATTGAAATAAATTAAAATTATTTTTTAAGTTATGGTTTTTATTTTAATTAAATATTTTGTTTACATTTTTTTTTAAATTTTTATTAATTGCATAAATGTTGTCCTTCCGGTTTGATGGTATTTTGAAATTCGCCATTTTATCGTACGCCATAAACTAAATAAAATTTGTCAACTACCGCACCATGTTCTAATAAAAATTTAGTGACTTTTTTTTGTTTAAATTAAAAGTTACTATAAAGTTACCAAAATTTTTACTAGAATAAGGGTGCAATAGTTGACGAGAATTATGACTAATGGCGAGTTAATTTTCGTCAACTACCGCACTCTGATCTAATAAAAATTTTAGTATCAAATAATTATATATATTTATTTATAGAATTTTTATATATATATATATATATATATATATTATAAAATATTATTTGGTATTAATAAATATATTTATTTAATATAATCATCAAAGCCAAAACATTCTGCTTGGAGAACACAAGGAAGATATAAAAAAAAGGTTAGTCAACAAGGTTGGTTGGTCAATTATTTTAAGTGTAAGATCTCAAATGTGAACATAAATAATTCGTCTGCTCGTATGAATAAATCAATTCTAACCAAAAAAAAAAATTATCATTTCTAGGAATTTGTAAGTACATAACTATTATTAATTATTAATAAATTGCAAATAATATTAATTAAATTTCTACTTAAATTTAATAATAATGAGCGAAAAATTTATAAAAGAAACAATTTTTTGTTTTTTTTTCATCAATTTTTTTTTATTTTTATTTGTAAAAAAATATTAATTTACATTAGAAATATAATTAAAAAAATATATACGCATGTTCCGAAGATCCATGTGCAAAAATAGATTGTCGATTAAAATTGTGTCAAAAAATCTGAAAATAGAAATGAAACAAAAAAATATTATTTTTTTAATGAAAAATCAGAAGAGACAAACGTTTATTGTTACTTAAATAAATAATTGATTGCATTTTTAAATAGAATTTATTTATAAATAATTAAAATAATTTTTAATAAATATTTTATTTAAAAAAAAATAAATATTTACTTGAACGAGAAAGATGTTTCATTGAACCAAATAAATATTTACTTGAACGAAATAAATATTTCATTGAATCAAATAAATATTTTATTGAATTAAATAAATATTTACTTGAACCAAATAAATAATTTACTGCTCCAACTAAATAAATGTTTCATTGAACCAAATAAATATTTACTTGAATCAAATAAATAATTTACTCCAAGAAAATAAATATTTACTTGAACCAAATAAATATTTTACTTAAACCAAATATTTCTTTTAATTTGAATTAAATAAATTTTTTTCTTTTTCAATCTATAAAAATCAAAATATTGATATATTTTCTCTCACCAGCCGTGAATTTTTTCCCAACATGTTTTTTTCATTGATCCAAAATATGCTTTGCATCCTCCACTGCAACATTCACTGTCACTGTGGCAAGTTGCGCCAGTTCCTTTGCAAGCCAAAGTTGTACCAAACATGGCAAGCAAGCAAACAAGAAGAATCATGAGAGTTCTTGTGAAGTACATTTTGGGGTTTTTTTTTCTTTTACAAAAAAAAAATATACAAGAAATAAAATCAAATTATGATCTGATGTCTTGACAATTAAGTTCTATCCTTTTTATATCCGTAGAAATATCATTTTATCGATAATCATTACTTTAATTATTTTATCTGATAAGAGAATTTAAAAAAAAAAAATATTTCCTTGTTCCACTTAAAATCAAATTGAATTTAATTATATAATAAATAAGAGTTAAATTTTTTTCAAAAGGAATAATGCATTATTTGCATATGTTATCTAAATGATTTTTTTTTTTAAAAAAACCCTAATAAATTAAATATTTTGCCATAAATGATAATTTTGAATTTTTATTAAAAAAATATATATATACATAATTTTAAAAATATATAGGTATTTATATTTCAATATTAATAAATAATAATAAGAAGCGCATTATTATTTATTACAGATGTTGATTAAAAGATTAAAAAAAATTTCCTCAATTTGTTCACTTTTTTTTTGCAAATTTTAATTAAAGACAAGTGTTTTTGCAAAAAGATAAGAAATGACTTTTAACTTTTGTTCTAAAATAATAATAATAATAATAATAATAATCACCCATATATGAATCATAAAGGAGTAAACTATCATAAACATAACCTATAATTTTTTAATCCAAACGATCATAAACATAACCTATAATTTTTTTTTAATTAAAACGAAGGCCGCAAGAATTTTACAGAAAAATAATTAATTATAATTTTTATTTTAAAAGTATTTTAATAAATAATTTATTTTTTAGACAAATTTTTTATTTTCTGAATTAACATTTGTAAATTGAAAATTCGTCTGAAAAATAATTATTTCTAATAAAATACTTTAAAATAAAAATTTTAATTAACGATTTTAATGGGTTTATCTATCTTAGATTCAAATATATTGTTCTTTTTGTTTCAGATATAAATGACTATGGACACATAAATGAGGATTGAAGAAAAAGTGAAGTGGTTTTAAAAAAACAAGGTTTGTTTTATATTAATGATGAATAACAAAAATAACATTAAAAAAAAAAAAAAAAAACAAAACAATACTTAGGTCCACTTTGAATCAGAGGCTGACTATTTGCTTTTGAATATTATTAATTCGTTAGTAGAAAAAAAATGTTTTTTTTTTCTACTTTTACTAGTTTAACAGTCCCGATTCGTTTACTAAATAAATTAATAAAAATTTTGACTAAATTATAGAATTTTTTTTAATTAAAAGAATTTTAATTGTCCGAACAAACAATAGACAGAAAATTATTTCGTTCGCAATTTTTTGAAAATTGCGCCGAAATCTTTCTGTCAATTTTTTATTCGGACGTTTGTAATTTCGGACAAAATGAAAATTCGACATTTTCAAAATTCCATCAGTTAAAAATTCGTAATAATAAAAATTCTGTCAAACAAAAATTCGGTAGCTAAAAATTTTGTTATGTAAAAATTCGTATCTAAAGAAAATCCATAAAATTTTTAATTTGAAAATTTACAAATTCGTGTAAAAAATAATTATTTTTAATAAAATACTTTAATATAAAAATTGTGAATAATAATTTTTATGGGAAATTCATGCACCCCAATAATACTAGTAATAAAAATATTATTATCAATAATTATAGTAAAAAAATAATAATAATAATAATAATAATAATAATAAGGGTAACAATAATAATTATGATAATTATTTTTATGTTTCAATATTTATTTGCATGTTATAATAATTGTTATAATGTAGTAAAAATTTATTGAAACTTAACAAATTTCTTGGAAATAATTCATGTAAATTTCTGGAATCTGAAAAAAGAGAAAATTTTTTTATATAATTTTAATATAATGCCAAAAAATTTGTAATAAATAAATTTAATAAAATCCACTTGCTAATTAATATTTAATTGAACCAAATAAATATTTTACTTGAACCAAATAATTATTTTACTTGAACCAAATAAATATTTACTTGGACGAAATAAATATTTCATTGAATCAAATAAATATTTTACTTGAACCAAATAAATATTTTACTTAAACCAAATAAATATTTACTTGAACGAAATAAATATTATACTTAATCTAAAGAAATATCTAGTACTTTAAAGAAATAAATATTTACTTGAACGGTATAAATATTTTACTCAAATCAAATATATTTTTATTTGAATTAAATAATTTTCTTTTTCACTATATAAAAATTTAAATATTGATTATTATTATTATTTTCACTCACCAGCCTTTCATTTTTTCCCAACATGTTTTTTGTGATGATCCAAAATATATTCTGCATCCTCCACTGCAACATTCACTGTCTGTGCTGCATGATTCATCGACTTTTTTGCAGGCAAATGTTGCGCCAAACATTGTTACCAAACAAACGAAAAGTAGTAAAAGAGCTTTTGTGAAATACATTTTTTTTTTTTATTATAGTTTTTAGACTTGAAAAAAAAATTTCTTCAAAAATAAATTTATGTTTATATTTTTATTATCTGTATGTGAAACTGTTTTCTTGTATTTTAATGAACGAAAGGAAAAAAAAAGTTACTTTATATATACTAGAGCGTGAAAAATTGTAACAATATAATTTATTCATGATAAGGAACAGAAAAAACATTTTCCCTATTCTATTTTTAAAAGAAAAATGAGTAACATTGTTGTAAAATGTATTGATAAGAAAATTCACTATGATAGTTTGGGGCAAAAATATTATAGGTTATATTTATGATTGTATTGGAGCAAAAAAAAATTAGATTATGTTTATGATAGTTTAGAGGGAAAAAATATAGGTTATGTTTACAATAATTTGGAGCAAGAAAAATATAGGTTATGTTTATGATAGTTTGGGGCAAAAATATTATAGGTTATGATTGTATTGGAACAAAAAAAATTAGATTATGTTTATGATAGTTTAGAGGGAAAAAATATAGGTTATGTTTACAATAATTTGGAGCAAGAAAAATATAGGTTATATTTATTATAGTTTGGAACAAAAAAAATTATAGGTTATGTTTAAAAAATATTTTTACCATAAATTAAAAAATTAAAGGTTATGTTTATTATACTTTGGAGAAAAAAATATAATAAAATTTTCAATTAACAATACAAAATCATGAAAATTCCCTTTTTTAGAAAAGGGTGATTCCCCTATATTTAATTTATTATATAAGGGGATTTCTTTTTATCATTAGACGCAATATAATACCTGGAAAATAAATTCTTTATCAAAATATATGTAAACTTTTATTTTTTGTATTATACTGCAAGCAATCTTAAGTGGTACAAGGAAAAATTACAAGTTTTTCTTATCTCAGATGATAATAATAATAATAATAATAATAAAGTGTTATAATTAACATATTGATTCGATATAAATACATGTCAAATATTGTCAAAAAAAATCAGATCCAAATTCAAATTCATTCTTAGTTTTTTTTTTTTTTGGTAAAAGAAAAAAAGAAAATTTCAAAATGTATTTCACTAGAACTCTTGTGCTTCTACTTGTTTGTTTGATAGCAATGTTTGGTACAACATTTGCATGTAAAAAAGAAAACGAAAGTTGCAGCAGTGACAGGGAATGTTGCAGTGGAGGTTGCAGAGCATACTTTGGAAAATTAAACAAAACATGCTGGAGAGAAGTCAATGGCTGGTAAATATTTATTTAAATTAAATAAAAATTATTTGTATAAATCAAGTAAAATATTATTATTATTTGTTCAAGTAATTATTTATTTGGTTTAAGTAAATATTTATTTGTTTGGAGTAAATTATTTATTTCATCTAATTGAATATTTCTTTGGTTCCAGTAGAATATTTATTTGGTTCAAGTAAATATTTCTTTGATTCAAGTAAAATATTTATTTGGTTCAAGTAAATATTTCTTTGGTTCAAGTAAAATATTTATTTGGTTCAAGTAAATATTTATTTAATTGGAGTAAACTACATATTTATTTGGTTCAAGTAAATATTTATTTGCTTGAAGTAAATTATTTATTTTGAACCAAGTAAATATTTCTTTAGTTGAAATAAATTATTTATTTTGTTGATGTAAATTATTTATTTAATTTGATAGTTTGTAATTTAAGAAAATAATTAAATATAAACTTACATACTAAAATATAATTTTTTTATTTTCAGATTTATTTGGCACAATTTGATCATTAACGATATATACGATAAGGAGAATGAAATATGAATAATATATTTTTTTTAATGTATTTTTAATATCAAATAATATTTTGTTGAAAATAAAGATAACATGTGACAAAAAAACAAAAATTATTTTTACTAATAATTTCTTATAAATTACAAATCCCATCACACGTATTTATTTATATATAATTAATTAATAATAAAAACATTAGAAAATTAGACGTAAAACTTTCTATATAAATAAGGTGATTTTAAATTTTTTCGCAAAATTGAAATTTTTTTTTTGAAATTGAATTTTTTGAATTTTAATATTTTTATCGTTAAAAAGTAAATGAAGTTTAATTTATGTTTATGGTAATGTGGTTATGATTATGATTCTTTTGAATAAAAAAATATTTGTTATGTTTTTTGATGGATTCGATAAATTATTATAGGTTATGTTCATGATTGATTCGATAAAATATTATAGGTTATGTTTATGATTGTTTTGATTAAATAATTGTAGGTTATGTTTATGATTGTTTTGATTAAAAAATTGTAGGTTATGTTTATGATAGTTTACGACTTTATATGACTCATAGATTTATGATGGTTATTATTATTATTTTATATTATTATTATTATTATTATTATTATTATTATTATTATTATTGTTACTATTATTATTATGTACATAGCATACAAAAATAAAATACTACTACTACTACTATTATTATTATTATTATTATTATTATTATTATTACTATATTTTTTATAATTGTTAAAGTTGCTATCAGTAAGTTTAAAATAAATATGTGACGCGTTCTATAAAGAAAGGAAGAAGCAAAAAAAGCAGGTTATGTTTATGATTGTTTTGATAAAAAAAAATTATAGGTTATGTTTTTGATAGTATTGGGGGTTAAAAATACAAAAAAAAATGATAGAATGTCCTTAGTACATAGAAAATAAAAACTAATTTTTATTTTATATAAATAACTAAAATGGAGCTTCTAATCGCAATGTAAAACGATCATAAACATAACCTATAATTTTTTTTTGCCTTTCTTATCTCCAGTGCTTATTACTTTTAGAACTTAGTATATGATAATAAAAAAATTTTAAAAATTAGGACCTGAGAATAAAAAAAAATAATTTGTAGGTTATGTTCATGATATTTCTTTCTTGATTAAAAAATTGTTGGTTATGTTTATGATAATATTAGCTTAATTAAAAAATAATAAATTATTATGTTTATATTTTTAACTTGATTAGTATATAATAGGTTATGTTTATGATAATTTTATCTTGATTAAAAAAGTGTAGGTTATGTTTGTTGATAGTTTACTAGGTTTTATGAATCAAATTATTATTATTATTATTATTATTATTATTATTATTATTATTATTATTATTATTATTATTTTGTACTGTTATTATTATATTACTATTAGTTTTCTTTATTAAAAAAATATGTGATGCGCTCTGAAGAAAGAAAGAAAAATTTTTAGGTTATGTTTATGATCATTTTTTGTTTAATAAAATTATAGGTTATGTTTATGATATTACTAATTGAATTAAGAAAAATTGTAGGTTATGTTTGTTGATAGTTTACTAGTTTTTATGAATCATATTATTATTATTATTATTATTATTATTATTATTATTTTGTACTGTTATTATTATATTACTATTAGTTTTCTTTATTAAAAAAATATGTGATGCGCTCTGAAGAAAGAAAGAAAAATTTTTAGGTTATGTTTATGATCATTTTTTGTTTAATAAATTATAGGTTATGTTTATGATATTACTAATTGAATTAAGAAAAATTGTAGGTTATGTTTGTTGATAGTTTACTAGTTTTTATGAATCATATTATTATTATTATTATTATTATTATTATTTTGTACTGTTATTATTATATTACTATTAGTTTTATTTATTAAAAAAATATATGATGCGCTCTGAAGAAAGAAAGAAAAATTTTTAGGTTATGTTTATGATCATTTTTTGTTTAATAAATTATAGGTTATGTTTATGATATTATTAGTTGAATTAAAAAAAATTGTAGGTTATGTTAATGTTATTTTTAACCTCGATTAAAATAATAATAATAATAATACTAATAATATGTTATATGTGTTTATGATATTTTTACCTCGATTAAAAATTTATAGGTTATGTTTATTTTAATTTGGAGGCAAAAATAAAATTTAAAAAAAAAATAAATAAATAAATAATTTATTAGGTGATTCTTTTTTTTTATCATAAGATAATAAAATATCTGGTAAAATAAAGAATTCTTTATCAAAACAAAAAAAAAAAAAAACATATGTAAACTTTTATTTTTTTCACATACACTGCAAGTGATCTTAATTGGTATAAGGAAATATTACATGTTTATTATTCTTATCATACTCATTATAATATTTTAAAAATAATTAACATAACTAATGCACAAAAATAATTTCATATAAAAAGCAGTCATTTATTGCCAAAAAAATCATCAGATCAAATTTGAAATTCAATTTCATTGCATTTAAACTTTTTTTTTGTAAAAAAAAAAACAAAAAAAAAAAATTTCAAAATGTACTTCACAAAAACTCTTGTTCTTCTTCTTGTCTGTATAATTGCTATGTTTGGCACAACATTTGCATGCAAAAAAACCGATGAAGCCTGCAACAGTGACAAGGAATGTTGCAGTGGAGGTTGCAGAGCATATTTTGGATCAACAAAAAAAACATGTTGGGAAAAAATTCACGGCTGGTGAGAGAAAATAAGTCTTAAAATTTTTTTTTGATTTTTATTAGACGGAAAAAAATAAAATTTATTTAATTCAAATAAAAAAAAAAATATTTTGTTTTAAATAAAATATTTATTTGGTTCAAGTAAATATTTATTTACTTGAAGAAATTTATTTATTTGATCCAAATAATGATTTCTTTGGTTCAAGTATAAAATATTTATTTTGTTCAAGTAAATATTTATTTGATTGGAGTAAACTACATATTTATTTGGTTCAAGTAAATATTTATTTGTTTGGAGTAAATTATTTATTTCATTCAATTAAATATTTCTTTGGTTCAAGTAAAATATTTATTTGGTTCAAGTAAATATTTATTTGATCCAAGTAATGATTTCTTTGGTTCAAGTATAAAATATTTATTTCGTTCAAGTAAATATTTCTTTGGTTGAAGTAAATTACATATTTATTTGGTTCAAGTAAATATTTCTTTGATTGGAGTAAACTACATATTTATTTGGTTGAAATAAATATTTATTTGCTTGGAGTAAATTATTTATTTGATTCAAGTAAATATTTCTTTGGTTGGAGTAAATTATTTATTTGATTCAAATAAAATATTTATTTAATTCAATAAAATATTTATTTCATTCAACTAAATATTTATTTGCCAATAATCAAGTAACGAATTATTCCAATTAAATAAATTTTTTTTTTTTTTTTTTAGTGTATAAAATCGTAAATTCAATACATATAGTTGTAAAATGAAAAAAAAAAATTAATAACAATCAATTTTTATTTTCAGATTTTATATGACACAATTCGATCGTTAACGATATATGATAAGATGGATGAAATATGAATAACAATTATTTTATGTATTTTTTAATATAGAAATATTTTTTTTATTAAAAATAAAGATAAAATTTGAACAAAAAAAAAAATTTTTTTTAGTAATTTACTTTTTTCATTACGAGTCCCACTTTTTTTTAAAAAATTTTTTTTCTTTAAAGAAAAAGAATGTGCAGAAATTTAATTAACAGTTTTAATTAATTATTTATTAATTAATATTTAACAATTAAAATTTTTTTTTTTTTGTTATCCATTGAAAGAAAAATATTTTTATACCTTACTTTAAGTCGCAGATAGAAGATGGCAGCACTTATTAGTTTAATGAGCATATAAAAATTATTTATATAATAATATTTTTATAAATAATATAAAAAATTTTTAAAAATAATATATTTTTTTATTTATATTATTATTATTATTATTATTATTATTATTATTATTATTCATATTATTATTATTTTTATATTTTTATTATAATATTATTATTTTGCATTTTTTTTATTTAGATTATTTATTTATTTATTTAATATAATGTGTTGATTATATTTTACATTAAACAAAAATTAATAAATTATTCCATTATCTATTTACTTTACAGATATAATTTATTTACAATTTTTTTTTTTTTACATTATAAAATAAAACTTATTTAAATAAACTTATTTAAATTTAAAAAAAAAAGTTTAGAGATAAGAATAATAAATTATAAATATTTTAACTTATACATCATAATCTCTAATTATTATTATTATATGCGAATACATAAAAAGGGGATAAAAATTTTTTCATTATATAATTTTTTTTTTTTTTTGTTTTCTTACATATTTTAAAAGAATTTTAATAATTTTTACACTCACGCAGAAAAAAAAATATATGACAATCAAATTTTGAATGTTGAAAAAAAAAAAAAAATAAAAAACATTGAAAATTAGTTTTACTTAGAAATTAATTTTTCTCTCACACATCATTGCACATTCTCTCATCATCAATTTCATTTAAAATAAAATTTTTATTAAATTTGTAAAAAAAAATATATATATATATAATTTAAAAAAAGAATTAATAAAAAATCTTTTTTATAAATTTTCTAAAAATTTTTTTTTTTAAATTTTATTTTAAAAAAACTTGATATTTAAAAACACATTATAAAATTTTATAAAATTCAAAAAATTTTTAGTTCTTTTTTTTTTTTTTTTTTTTTTTAATTTTTACAAAAAACTAATAAACATTTTTTATTTTAACAAATTTTTTTCTTATTTATTTTTAGAAAAAAAATTTTTTTTTCTTCATTTTTTGAAAAAAAAAAAAAAAAAAATTATTTTGGCGAATCAATGTTGTCCTCCTCGGGATGAGCTGCATTCCATTCGAGTGCTTTGAGAATTTCTGGTGGGATTGGTGGTGGCGTTGGAAGATGTGCTCCTTTAGGTTGGAAACCCTCTAAAACATTTTTTTTTGTTTTAAAAAATCCAATTTTAAATTTTTTATTTTTTAAAATATAAAAAAAAAATTAATTAAAAAATTAATTATATAAAAATAAATTTAAAAAAAAATTTATCAATTAAATACAATTAATTAATTTATTAATTATAAATATAAATTAATCAAAAATATTAATCATTTAAAAATTGAAATTAAACTAAAGAAATAAATTAATGTACCGAATTAATTAATTAATTAATTAAATTATAGAAATTAATTAAAAAATTATTTTTAAAATTAATTTTCTTACTTAATTAAAGTAATTAATTTCATTAATTAAAATTGATAAATAATCAATATTATAATTTTGATTATTTATTTTGTTAATTTTTATTTATTTTTTAAAAACTAATTTTTTTTTTTTTCAAAAAATGAAGAAAAAAAATTTTTTCATATATAAAAATTAAAAATTATTTATTAAAAAAAAAAAAAAAAAAAAAAAAAATTTTTACCCTCATTGGCAATGTATTCCAATTGAATTTTATTTCCCTCGGGATCGGTATAAGAAAATTGTCCCACAGCTTCCATTGCTTCATTATCTGATCCGGCATTTTTTACATGACCCTCTTCTTCGGCTGCAATTCCATTTCCAGCTTCATAACTCCATTTATAGGAACCATCTGGATTTGGTCCCTCTTGACTTTGACGTATTATGGGAATTGGTGTACTTCCCGATTGTTGTTGTGCCAATGTCACTGCGACTAAAGCCGCCAATAATATTACCTAAGAAAAAAAAAAAAAGAAAAAAAAATTTTATTTTTTTTTTTAAATTTTAATATTCGAATTTGATTTTTTTTTTCATACAAAATATATAACCACAATTTTTTGCTTCAAACAGAAAATATACTCAAAAATAGAAAATATTCTTATTTTGAGAGGCAATATTCTTATTTTAAGAGGAAATATTCATTCCTCTCAGAATGAGAATAAAAAAAAAAATTTTTTTGTAATAAAGTAGTTTTTTCTTCATTGATTTTTTTTTTGTATTAAATAGTGAGAGAAAATTTTTGAAGAAATATACTTTCTTCTCAAAGAAAGAATAAATTGTCATTGAATTATAAAATTCTATTCTTATTGTGAGAGTAAGTAATTATCCTTCTGAAAGATTTTTTTTTTGAAAGAATAACCACATTTTTTAGCCACGAACAAGAAAATACTCAAAAATAGAAAATATTCTTATTTTGAGAGGAAATATTCTTATTTTAAGAGGAAATATTCTTATTTTTGAGAGGAAAAATATTAATTCCTCTCAGAATGAGAATAAAAATTTTTTTGGTAATAAAGTAGTTTTCTCTTCATTGATTTTTTGTTTGTCTTAAACAGTGAGAGAAAATTTTTGAAGAAATATACTTTCTTCTCAAAGAAAGAATAAATTGTCATTGAATTATAAAATTCTATTCTTATTTTGAGAGTAAGTACTTATCCTTCTGAAAGATTTTTTTTTGAAAGAATAACCACATTTTTTAGCCACGAACAAGAAAATACTCAAAAATAGAAAATATTCTTATTTTGAGAGGAAATATTCTTATTTTTGAGAGGAAAAATATTAATTCATCTCATAATGGGAATACATTTTTTATTTTGTAATGAAGTAGTTTCGTTTTTCTCTTCAATTTTGATTTAAGCATTGAGAAAATTTGAAGAAATATAATTTCCTCTCAAATGAAGAATAATTTTATTCTTATTTTGAGAATAAGTAATTTTCCTTTCAAAGAATTCTTATTCAAATTAATTTTTATATTATTATTATTATTATTATTATTATAAAATTATTCTTATTTCGAAAGGAATATACATTCCTCTCAAATTAAAAAAATAATTTTTTCCAATAAAATAGTTTAGCGTTTACACCTGAATTTTCATTAAAATATTTAAGAAATATTTAATAAATAAATTTTCATCTCAAAAGAAGAATATTTCTTTCTTTAAAGTGGATATAATTTTATTCTTATATTGAGTGGATAGAATAGAAAATAATTAAGCAATTTTTTTTTCGATAATTACATTTTTGGTTGCAATCATATTTAAATCGAATATAAAATGAATGATAAAAAAAAAAATAAAATAAGAAAAGAAAAGATGAAACTTGCTTTGTTGCTTAATTATTATCTAAAAGGTAAAATATACGAATCAATCACTGATTATAATTGCGTTATGTAATCTATTAGTAATTTCCTGGTTTTGATTGCATAATTATATATAAATGTTATTTTGAATAATTCTTTAGATAAATTTTTTGAGTCATTGCCACTTAATCATTTTTCTCTAATTAATTATTTTTTATTCAGATTTTTTGTTTTTTTTTGTTTTTATTTTTTTTTACAATTTCGCAAAAAATTTTTTTTTATTCAAAAACTAAAAAAAAATACTCAGCAAAAATAAACAACAACAAAACAAAACAAAATACAACAGAAAAAACTAAACAAAAACAAAATACAAAAAAAAACTGAACGAGAACAAACAACAACAAAACTAAACAAAATACAACAAAAAATACAATAAAAAAACAATAAATAACAAAAATAACAAAAAAATACACAAAAACAAACAACAAAACAAAACAAAATACAACAGAAAAAACTAAACAAAAAAAACTGAACAAAAACAAACAACAACAAAACTAAACAAAATACAACAAAAAATACAATAAAAAAACAATAAATAACAAAAAAAATACACAAAAACAAACAACAAAACAAAACAAAATACAACAGAAAAAACTGAACAAAATACAAAAAAACTGAACAAAAACAAACAACAACAAAATTAAACAAAATACAACAAAAAATACAATAAAAAAACAATAAATAACAAGAACAACAAAACAAAATACAACAAAAAATAAAACAAAAAAACAAAAAATAAAATAAAACAACAAAACAAAAAAGTAACAAAAAACTAAACAAAATACAAAACAAAATAACAAAAACAACAAAAAATAAAACAAAACAAAATCAAAAAAAAAAACAAAAAATTTTTTTTTTAAATTTGCGAAATAAAAATGAAGAAAATATTTTCTTTGGTTTTTAAAAATAAAAATTCTAAAATATTGAGTAATTTAAGAAAATGATTATAAATTCTAGAAAATTTACAGTAAATTGTTTTTCAAAAAAAATTTAAATTTTGCAAAAAAAAATTTTTTTTTTTTATTTTGATATGATAGTTTTGCGATTAAGAAAAGGTTAAACGAGGTTCACTGGGTCATGGTATATTTTGCATATTGTAACACGATGCTTTGTCTTTTGCCACATAGCAAGTTACTGAAATGCGCGAAAGTCACTTCTATTCACTTTGACATTTTGTATAAACGCTCCCTCTTTTACACAAGAGACATTTTCAATATTTTATTGACTAAATGACGCAGCTCAATTTATTACAACTAATTTTTCCATTTTTCATTCACCTTTTTTTTCTCAATTAATATTAAAGAAAAAAAATTAAAAAATAATTTTTAATTTAACTTTTTTTTCAAAATTTTAATTCATAAAAATAAAATTATTAAAATTTGAAAATATAAAAAACAAAAAAAAAATAAAAAATTTTGGAAAAAAGTATTATATTTTATAAAATTGAAATTTTTTTTGAAAAAAATGTATAAATTTTTTTTTTTTTAATAAATTAAATTCAGTTTTTTTTTTTGCTGCGAAAAAAGAAAGAAAAGAAAAAAATTGGGAAATATTGAAAATTCAAAAGAGGTACTAATTAATTTTTTTCTTTTGATTATTAAGTCATATGAAAAGTATTTATTACTTAACTCGTCAAGAGATTGAAACCCCCCGATGACCCTTTAATTTATCACCTGTCTTTCTCTATCGCAAGAGAATTTTCATCATATTGAGAAAAAATTGTAATTAACCTTTTTTATTATTATTATTATTATTATTATTATTATTATTATTATTATTATTATTATTATTATTATTATTATTTTAAATTAATTACAAAAAATTAATTTTTGAAAGAAATTAATTTAAAAAATAATTATTTCTAATCAAATACATTAAAATAAAAATTTTAATCATTTTAAAATTATAATTTTTTTCCAGATTCTAATATTTTTTTTCTTTTTGTTTCAGATACGACTACATGGACACACGAAAGAGGGGTTTAGAAAAAGTGAAGTGGTTTTAAAAAAAACAAGGTTTGTTTTATATTAATGATGAATAACAAAAATAACATTAAAAAAAAAAAAAAACAATACTTAGATCCACCTTTGAATTAGAGGCTAAATATTTGCTTTTAAATATTCTTAATTCGTTTGTATAAAAAATAAATCAAAAAAATAATAAAAAAAAAATTAACACATTAAAAAGAAAAAATTTATTTGATTCAAATAATCCGATTACTTGATTATTATCAAATAATTATTATTTGAATCAATTAAATTGTATTTCTTTCAAATACAAAAAAATTATTGATTCAAATCACAATTTATTTAATTTAAATAAAAATTATTAAGGCTCAAGTAAATATTTATTTGTTAATAATCAAGTAGTCGAGTATTTGCATCAAATAATTTTTTTTACTGTATATAAAAATAATAATTATATTTATTTATTGAAAAAGTAAACGGAATTATAATAATAAAAATGCCTTTCCGTACTAAATTATAAAAGAAAAAAAGGAAAAAAAAATTATTAATTCTAGTTTGTTTCTCTTTTTTTGTTTTTCGTAGAATATAAAAAAATCAAAAAACTAGTATATTATAATTATCAATCCTCCAAGTTAATAATAATAGCAATAATAATAATAATAATAATAATTAAAAAATAGTAATAATAATAAATTTTTTGGAATCACAAAATCCATAATTATTTATTTTTCACTGCATCACTAACAAAAAAAAAATCTCGATATAATCCAAAACAGGTTCGAAGTGTTGAAGAAAGAATTGTTTCCACTATTTACTGAACTTACCAAATGCTTCATGATAATCACAGATTAGGGTAAAAGAAAAAAAATTTTTTTTTTTTTTTTTATAAATCCAAAATGATTGTAAAGAAACTCTTCACTGAACTGACTCGTGAAGCACTGTGAACCTTCCGCTTTATATATCCTCATTCACGGATCTTCATAGTGTATATGGTATATATAAGTAAGTATAAGGTAATACCATACCTTATTTAGACCCCCCACCCCATTTTGTGCGGATGGGCCCAAGTGATGCTGCATCAGTCCCTACTCACTATAATAACAATAATAATAATGATAATAATAAGAAAAAAGAGAGAGAGAGAGAGAGATGAGTTTTGTTTGTCTCCTTAAAGCGGCTGAGAAGTTGAGGTCAAGCCTCTTCTTGTCACGTTGTCTCATGCTCGAAGATCAACCGGTCATCTTATCATCAGTCATCATATATTATATATTTATTTCAAAGAAAGTTATGGGTCACCTTCATTGACAGACGGAGAGAAAAATTGCAAACCGATCACTTTCGTTTTTTTTTTTATTTACATAATTTATGTGAACGAAAAGGGTATCAATTTGGTAATTTTTTTGGGAATTATATGAAGAGTTTTAATTTTTAAGGTTATTGAAATTTTTACAGCACTTATTTTGGGAGGATTTTTAAAATTTTTATTAATTAAAACTATTTTTATAATTGTCATAAACAAAAAATGTAGGTTATGTTTATGATTATTTTCATTTGAAAAATTATAGGTTATGTTTATGATCATTTTCATTTGAAAAATTATAGGTTATGTTTATGATCATTTTTATTAAAACAGAAAATTCGTATACAAAAAAAATTAATTTATAATTAAATACTTTAAAATAAAAATTTTAGTTATTTAAAATTATAATTACTTCTTAGATTCTAATGTTTCAGATATATGACTATGGACACACGAAAGAGGATTGAAGAAAAAGTGAAGTGGTTTTTAAAAAATAAGGTTTGTTTTATATTAATGATGAATAACAAAAAGAATTTAAAAAATAACACTTAGGTCCAATTTGAATAAGAGGCTGACTATTTTTTTTGAATATTATTAATTCGTTAGTAGGATCAGTTGGGGTAAATGGGGACAAAATCCCTATTTTTTTTTTTACAAATGACGTAAGTTTCTTCCATTAAAAGTTAATTTTTGCGGATTTCTTTTTTTTAAGTTTTTATTTACATTCCCAGAATTAATTTTAAGAAAAAAATTTAAATAAGCTTTAAACGCATAAAACTGACTGTCCCTTTATAATATAATAATAATATATTTATTTATAATAATATAAATATAATAATAAAAAAGTTATTGGCTTAGTTTGTGGTGGTTGTGATAAAAAAATATAGATTATGTTCATGATCGTTTTCATTCGAAAAATTATATATTATATTTATGATGAATTTGACATAAAGCGACAATTCGTCTACAAAAAAATTAATTCTAATTGAATACTTTTAAAATAAAAATTTTAATTAATTATAATTATTTCCCAGATTCTAATATTTTTTTCTTCTTGTTTCAGATACGACTCTATGGACACACGAAGGAGGATTGAAGAAAAAGTAAAGTGGTTTTTAAAAAATAAGGTTTGTTTTATATTAATGATGAATAACAAAAAGAATTTAAAAAATAACACTTAGGTCCACTTTGAATAAGAGGCTGACTATTTTTTTTTGAATATTATTAATTCGTTAGTAGGATCAGTTGGGGTAAATGGGGACAAAATCCCTATTTTTTATAAATTACGTAAGTTTCTTGCATTAAAAGTTAATATTTGCGGATTTCTTTTTTTCAAGTTTTTATTTACATTCCCAGAATTAATTTTAAGAAAAAAAATTTAAATAAGCTTTAAACGCATAAAACTGACTGTCCCTTTATAATATAATAATAATATATTTATTTATAATAATATAAATATAATATTAAAAAATTTATTGGCTTAGTTTGTGGTGGTTGTGATAAAAAAATATAGATTATGTTCATAATCGTTTTCATTCGAAAAATTATATATTATGTTTATGATGAATTTGATATAAAGCGACAATTCGTCTACAAAAAAATTAATTCTAATTGAATACTTTTAAAATAAAAATTTTAATTAAATATAATTATTTCCCAGATTCTAATATTTTTTTCTTTTTGTTTCAGATACGACACACGAAAAAGGATTGAAGAAAAAATGAAGTGGTTTTTAAAAAACAAGGTTTGTTTTATATTAATGATGAATAACAAAAAACATTTTCAAAAAATCAACACTTAGCTCCATTTTGAATCAGAGGCTGACTATTTACTTTTGAATATTCCTAATTCATTAATATAACATTTTTTTTTTTTACTAAAACAGTTCCGATTTAATCAAATTTTTTTTATTCCAATATCAATAAATTATATAGGTTATGTTCAGAATCGTTTTGATTAAAAATTATAGGTTATGTTTATAATTCGATTCTTGCTCCGTATCACCTTTTTAATGAAATTTGCAAAACAAAAAATTTTTAAATTTTGTCGCTAAAAAAATGAAATTAGTTAAAAATAATATTAATTTATTTTACTATTTGTAATTTTACCAACAAAGTTGTATTATTTTTTTTCTCAATAGGTGTTTATAAAAATGAAAAAAATATATTTTTTCTTTTTAAAAATCAAAAACAATATGACAAATGATGTTTAGTAAATGCTTCGGAAGTGCTAATTTTGTTATTAAATGAATAATGTTATTTTTCAAAGATTTAAAACTTCAATTTAGTTAGCGTCAATTTTTTTTTATAAATCTTGTTTTCCAAAGTAGATATATAATTGTTCATTCATCTCGATTTGCATCTTTGATTTTAAATTCACATGTATATCTTAGAATTATTTAATGAACAATAATCATTATACGTCATTCTGTCACTCAAATGTTTGTAAAATGAAAATTGCATTTTACAAATTGTTTAATAGCATACAAATTGTTAATAGAAAATATATTTTTTTCATTGAAATTTTATACATTGTTTTGTTATATCTATAATTTGTTTTCTATTTATAAACAAATTAAAGATATAAATTTTTTTCCCATTTAAACAAATTATTTTTCAAAAATTGTTAATTAAAAACGAAGAAAAAAATAAATATATATATACCTATATATAAGAGGGGGAAAATAAAAAAAAATTGTTAATTAGTAATTTATCGTCTTCGAATAAAAATATACGCGTAAATGAAAATGTAAAGAAATTAAAATTTTTTATAAACGCTAAAAATCGTTCAATAAATATAAAAAATGTCCAATAAATTTTATAATTTATGATTTAAAAAATGCGTCTCATCTTTCGTTTTAAAAATATTGGACAAATAATAATAAAAATAATAATTTTTTTTAATGAAAACGATCATAAGTATAACCTATAATTTTTTTTCTTGTTTCTTTCTTTAGAATAACAAATTCACAATTATAAAACAATTATAATATTTATTTTATTATACTATCTTACCGACCGATAATAAGGAAAATTTCTACTTAACCACCAGTCGGTAATTTCATTTATTTCCCTACCATACCAAACGCTGACAAGATAGATGTATACTTTATTGACTAATGATAATGTAGATTCATACTTTAAAAGCAATCGGTAATTTTTAGGTAGTTTTACTTTTTCTACTTTGCCAAATGTTGTTAAGGTAGGTTCATACTTTGCCACCAGTCGGTTATTTTTTATAGTTTTATTTTTCTACTTTGCCAACTGCTGGTAAGGTAGATTTATACTTTGCTGTCAGTCGGTAATTTTTGATATTTTTATTTTTCTACTTTACCTACTGCTGATAAGGCAGATTAGTACTTTTCCAGTAGTCGGTAATTTTTAGTTAGTTTCATTTTTCTACTTTACCGACTGCTGGTAAGGTAGATTTATAATTTGCCATCAGTCGGTAATGTTTTATATTTTTTCTACTTTACCAACTGCTGATAAGGTAGATTAATACTTTGTCACCAGCCGGTACTTTTTAATACTTTTATTTTCCCATCTTACCAATTTTTGGTAAGGTAGATTCATACTTTACCATTCGTCGGTAATTTTTATATTAAATTTTCCTATTTTACCGACTGTTGGCAAAATAGTTTTCTACATAAGGTTTTTTTATATTAATAATTTTATTTTAAAAAATAAATATAAATAAATAAAACAAATAAATAAAAATTTGATATTTTTTAAGAAAAATTGCTTCCTTTACAAAAAAAAAAATGTTTCTATTTCTGAACATTTCCATTGACAATAATAATAAGTAATGTACTAATAATAATAGTAAAAAAAAGAAGAAGAAATTCTATAATATTGGCATACGGCAATGAAAAATCAGTAAATATTAATTAAAGAAAGTCGTTTTAAAAAAACTGGTTTCCATTGTAACGGTGTATTTTTTTCTTCTTTTTTTTTCTTTAAAAAAAAAATTTTATTAGCTGTCACTTTATTTACTTTTATTACACATATAAAAATTTATTATTTTTTCCTGTCGATAATTTTCATATGAAGAATTTAAAAAAAATGAATACAACTTTATTAATTTCTTTGAAAAAATCTTTGAGATGAAATATGATTAATTTTTTTTTTTTTTTGAGAGAGAGAGAGAGAGAGAGAGAGAGAAAACGATTTCGATGATAAATATATTTACCATAAAAATATACTGGTTTTAAGCCTTGACTTAAAGATTGGAATAGAATATCAAAAGTGCCACACGCGGAAAACATATATTTCAATATATATATATATATATATATGCGAGTCGTCATCATCATCGGTCATTACAATCATCATAGTTAAGGGTGACGTAATCGAATTTACCTTGCGTCTCCCTAACTGATGAGAAATTATTTACAATTTAAGTCGATTTCTTTTTTTTTCTTCTTCTATTTTTTTACTATTTTTGATATAAATTATATTATTGTGAAATTATTTATTAATCAGTTGCGTTATTTAAAATTTAAATAATAAAAGGGAGAAAAAAATTATAGAGACACTATTTTAGAATTATTTAAAAATATTACGCACTCTGAAATTAAGGGACGTATGAAGCAAAAAAAAAAAAAAAAAAAAAAAAAATAGGTTATGTTTATGTTTGTTTTTATTAAAAAAAAATTATAGGTTATGTTTATGATGGTTTACTACTTTTTATGG